TCCGGCTGCATAGATGCAATCAAATGCTTCATCCGCGATCTGCAGCGTCGGACGAACCCTCACATGGCCGGTTTCCGAGACTGACAGGGGCGACCACTCCTGTACCAGCCCAGAATTCGGCCGTTGACCAACACATTTCACCTAAACCTCATTAGCAATACTCCATCAATCAACCAAGGAGACCAACCAAACAATCACACGGCACCACCTCGCCAGACTTCAACCGCACCCCATCATCCCCCTCCACCACCCTCTCCCCAAGCACCACTCTCACCCCCAATACCTCCAACTCCTCCAACACCCTCTCCGTAAACCTCCCTCCATCCCCCCCGGCCCTACCCAACAACCTCTCCCTCGAATGCACCAACGTCACATTCTTCCCGGGATACATCCCCTTCACATCCCCAGCCATTTCCACCCCCGCCGCACCCCCACCAACAACCACCACATCCTTCGCCCTTTGCACCCTCTCCTGCTCCCTCACCAACACCTCCATCCCCTCCTCCCTCCCTCAACCCAACCCTCCCCGGCACCCCACTGCCAGATACTCCTCCCATCCCCAAAACCAAATACTCGTACCCGACCACCCTCCCATCCTCCAACTCCACCCTCCCTCCCCCTACCCCCATATCAGGCAAAACCCTAACCACCCCCCCTAACCCACTCCCAAACCCCCACCCCGCGGGTGCCAAATACCCTCCGTACGGAATAAACGCCTGTCTTTCATACCCCGGCACCACCGAAAACCTCGGAAGTACCCAAGTTAGTTGGAAATGACTATTCTTTTCCACCACAACTACCCGGTACCCGGTGGGTATACGGGCAGATAAACACCTTGCAGCGTGGTATCCAGCGAATGAGGCACCAATCACTAGGATGGTTTTTGATTGTGACATAGGATGGTAAGTCAGTCTTTGGAATTGGCATTGTAGGGCGTGCTGGAAGAGATTTGTGAAGTGGCGGATGGCCAGCCGGACGGTTTTCAAAATGAGATGTATTTCAAATAGCATTTTCCTTTCCTTTCCTTTGTTTTGTTTTTTTTGGGGTTGGTTAGGTTGATTGGAGATTAGTTGGTTCGTGGGTGTTGGTGTAAAATGGTGTATGTTGATCGTAAGAGAAGTAACCGTTGAACAACAACGAAGTAAGACGTAATTCGACTATTCCAATTTCCAAGAAAGTTCATTAAATTCCAGCAAGGGTAGGGAAGGTAAGCAGGTAAGGCATATTTATACCGGGAGGACATGATGGATACTCCGCGGAATCTCCGCCCCGACTTACTTAATTATCAGATCTACATCCGGTTCCGCTCCGATGATCGGGTTCGGTGGTGGATGTCTTCTCCGAGTCCGAGGCCGAGGCCGAGGCCGAGATTGAGATTGAGATTGAGAGTGGGATTGAGATTGAGATTGAGATGGTGTGCTGTAGGAGGATTTATGTGGTGCGGAATTGTTCTGATGGTCAGTGTATGTAGGTTAATTGGTGTGGATGTTTAGGGTACTCTATTTTTGGGGCGCGGAGAGGACTGGGAGTTGGCTTGGGGGATGGTATGATTCCAGTTACGAAAGTGTGGACGCCAAACTGACCTGATGTAGTTAGTTGAAGTGATGTTTGTTCTGGGGGTTTAAGATGATGGGTTAATTTAGATTATACAGTATGTGGAAGCGCATATACCGAGGAATATGATTATCAGGCAATCAGGTACCTGATTTGTGGTAGTTTTAAGTAGGGGGCGTGTTTCATGAAAAATTATGCATCTACATACTAGTATAGAGATAGGGTTACATCTACAGAGACCCAATCTACAGTATTGCAATACCAAAAAGCAAAAATTCATTCACTAGAGCCGTGGTAGAAAACAATCTGCCAACTCGCAACCAGCCAATGTCAAGTGTCCACCTCCGCATTCACCCTACCAGGCTCATTGTTTGTCAGACTCCGTGGAGTAAGACCCGTGCGTAGTACTCAAGCCTCGTCATCGGAGCGTCGGCGGCGGCAGTGACCATAGCGCTGAGAGATTCAGTCATGATGATCCCTAAAGACATGGAATGGTGTGCTTACCTCACCGCTACGCCTGTAGCAATCATGGCAGCGATCGCCACGACGACACTCCCAGTCGTACTGGCAGCGTTCACCGCAGTAGTCGACCTGGTGGTTCAAACAAGGTTAGGTGCAGCCATTAGGGCAGGATGGGACTTACGCCGAGGGTTCCGTCGGTGGCCTTGGTGGATCCGACGTCGTTGGTGTTTTGCTCCGCGGGTGTGGCCATGGCAAGGCCGAGGAGGGTCACGGCGATCAGGCTGAGCTTCATGCTGTGGGATTGGTTTGTTAGTGTTGTTGTGAAGATGGGGAGAAAGGAACGTGCTTGGAAGGTTGGTTGGTTTGGTTTGGGCTGTGCAATGTTGCGATTGATGTTGAGGATGATGTCTTTGATGGCGAGTCAGAAGGCTCTATTTATGTTTTTTTGAAGGCTGTTGTCCAAGGAAGATTGAGATCATGTTAACACATGGTTGACTCGTCGGCATGATTGTCTGTTTTACTGAATCCCAACGGAGACTTCTGCTGCAAGGCTTCAAGTGGAGTAGGTTTCGGAGGGTATACAATATGGCATGGGATGTTCCTCATAGCCGATGCTACCATCGTGGGTTCTATCGTGGTTGGTTCAGGAACCGCTCCGCCAAGTAGCACAGGTTCGATGCCGTCGGTCCAAAGTACGGGGTTGTTACACTTCCCCGGCCTCCATCCCGGATATAAGGTTTGTACCACCTGCGGAGGAAACATTAGTTTGTCCACTTTATGATGTTCGGTGGTCGGATGACAGCTGTAGGGTTGCATCTGATTGATGATTGACTCGGCCACCCCGATTGACGAGTAGTTCAAACGAACGATCTACCGTGGCGAATTTCACTCCGCTAGGTGATACAGATCCAAATGTTGGTCAGAGCTGTAGCAGATGAACTACTCGGTGTTTGGCAGGTCGCGACAGTAAGGTCGCACGACTTTGCGCTTATTCTGGCTCGGCAAGCCATACGCTTCAATCGAATTGCCAAGATGTAAGCTTATTATGAGGTCTATCGTCCATGACTTGTCTTCTGACAGCGACCTGCCCAACCTCTGGACACGGCAAGACTCGGTGAATAAACACATCGAGGTATGGTGATTGGAAAGCATGAGATCCAATGAATTGTCTTATTGCTGTCATTAATCCTTCCGAAGGCACTGACTTATGGGCTGATGGATGCCACAGAAGCCTTCGCCCTATCAAATAGAGTTGAAGTCTGCAAGGTCGATATGGGATCGACGATCCGAACACGAAGCGAGGCGGTTCCAAGAAGGAGTGACGGCCAACAAAGCTGTCAACTGACTTGGTGAATGCCTGATCGCACGCATGACCGTGTCAATATCCAGTTGCCTTGCACATGCGCCGGTTGCATCCAGAGTGAATGCTCCGAGCCGAGATGAGTGGAGAAATGCAATGAAAGATTGGTCTTCGACGGAACGTAACTTCAAGCTTGGAAAAGGAGATTAGACCACGGTTTATTGGATTATCTTTGCAAGCTATCCAATCGAGCAGCATCAGCATCGTATCCAGACCCAGCAGTTTTGGGATTTGTGAGCAAAGTCATTCGAGGCATAACGCTTACCTACACGCCCGCATTACCGAGCCGATCTTTTCAGAGAAACCCAGATGAGGATGCTGGTTGACATGAAGCATGTTCCGCAGGCCATCATGTCTATACAGAGAGAGGAATTGGAGTGGCTTCTGCAGGAGTGAACCACCTACCCTACCAGGCAAGCCATTTGTCACTCTTTCCTTTTTCCTACCTCACTGACTGTCGCCAATGTCTTCCAGTATAAAGAAACTGGATAACATGAGTAATGAACATGCTTAATCATCCGATCCAGGGTTACGTCGGCTTCAACGTCGGAACTTCAGCCATCCACTTGCCGAGTCGGCACAGATCAATGATCCAGACAATGCCCCACAGCCAGATAGTGGCCATCGTTTCGATCTACTGGGCAGAAACACCTTGCCGCAGCTCTGGCTCAATCCTGCGGGAATTCCGACCGCGAACGGAGATTCACTTCCTGTATGACGCCTTTTGACGTCGGCAAACGGAGATATCCGTGGGATCCTCAAGATGATGCCTCGCCAATTTACCGAGCTAGATGGAGGAAGCTCAGAGACACATCAAGCACGCAATCAATTCAGTGAATTTCAAGAGAAATAATGACTGCTTTGACACGTCTCCAGCCACTGCCAGTGGCATCACCTCGTCCGTATGCATTAAGCAAGCCAGTAACCAGGCCCCTGCCTATCACCTTGGACTATACCCTGCACGATCTATATGTTTTGGACAACGACGATGGCCCTCACAACATCATCCTAGCCTATGATCACCCTTGCAAGTTCCCTCGAGACCAGATTAGCACATCGTCGACGGTACAATTTCTCTACGCAGGCAATTTTCCAGGGGCGGATGCAGAGGAGGAGTTCCCTAATATATCGAAGCGCGGCGTTGCTCAGCGATATTCTTTCGTGGCCGGTCGTGCATCGGTTATCATGGTCGATCTGAGCGGCAGTGGAGGGGATGACCTCGCCGCTATCGTGCACACTTCAAAAGAAGATATATTGGCTGTCTACAACCAGCTTTGTCCCGATCAGCGACCTAACGTGCAGTTCATCCGGAATGTACACGATATCCAGCTCGACCCAGATTCGCGCGCAGCCGTGGTCATACCACAGGACCATCTATGCCATTTCAATCAATTATTAGATCCAAAAGTGCACTATGAGATTCTTTCGAAGCGCTGGCTCGCCCTGTGCGGTCTGCCTACACCGAAGTCTAGGGTCATCGACCCACTCCCGATGGAGACCCGGGCTGGACGGGATGTAGAGATCAAACGGATGCTGCACGCTGTTCAAATACAAGCCCTCCCATTTGTGGTTAAAGTGTCAATTGCTACCTCTGGTCGGGGGACATATGTCGTCTACAGTGAGTCGGAGAGAAGAAGTACCTCCAACGAGCTCCGCAGCCTCCTAGAAGACATCCTTGATAAGGTTCATGAACAGAATGAGGGACTATACCCGGCCAGCTTCGTGATCCAAGAGCTAGTGCCCGGCGAAGCCCATGGGGTGACATTCTTCGTGACCAAAAAGGGACGAGTTGTCTATCTGGCAACATGTCAACAGCGTTTCGACGAGGATGGCTACTGGCACGGCGCACACGTTTCGTACCTTTTGGAGCCGGCCTTTCAACATCGGTACCGGAATACCCTCGAAATACTGGCCAAGGAATTACACAAGAAGGGGTACTACGGGCCTGCTGGAGCAGATATCATGACGGATAAAAATGGGAAGCAGGTGATTGTGGATGTCAATCCGCGTGTCACTGGGTCATATCAGTTAGGCCTGCTGAAGACCCATTTCATGCAGCGTGGGCTCTTCGAGGCGGCTGTTCTGACGCCGTTGACCATGCGATGCACGCGGGGTACATTCGAGGGACAGTTTGCGAGAGAGATCATGGAGGGCAGGATGATCATCAATTCCTGGGTACATGATTCCAAAAGAGAGTTCAGCTATGCTGCTGTGACGGTGGGTGGGGAGGACACTGTCCAGCTGGGTCGGTTGGTTCGGATAATGGAGACATTTGTCAACACGGGGGAGTATTCAGTAGGTGCTGGACTATGACTGTATAAGAAAGTGTTATGTTGCTTTTCATGGGATGAGTCTAATGTAACAAGTAACAGTCTATATACTTTTCTAAACCAATTCACCTATCTAAAACATCCCACAACAAGACCACCATCCCAACCCACGACGTCCCTCTCCACCACCCCACCCCTTTTCATTCCACTCCTCACCCTCATAACCCTCACTCGCATCCGGATCATCTCTATACCTCCCTTCCCCTCCCCCTTGCCTTCGAACTGACGCCTGAATCCCCTTAATCCACTGCACCTCCAACTCAAACGCCCCCTCCTGCTCCCCAAAGAAACTATCACCCGTCAGCACACCCCTGACCCCCTCAAATAACAAAGACAAAAAAAAAAAAAAAAAGGAAACCACTCACCTCCGAACCATAATCCCCACCCTCCTCACCCCACTCAAATCCAACTTCCTCGCCCCCTCGACCTCCCTCCCGCGATACGTCGGTTTAAAATCCTCCCACGCAACCCTAACAACCCCTCCCTCATAATCCTTCACCCGGAAATCCACCTCCCAGACTAATCCGCTTCGTTCCCGACCATCTGGCCGTTTCTCCAAAAGTTCGTCTTTGAGTGTCAGGGTGTAGGTTTTCTCGTCGCTGTGCGGGATGGAGAGTTCGAGGCCCGTGTAGGGGGTTAGATCCCAGGTTGTGGTTGTGGTGGTGGTGCGTTGAGAGGCGAAGCCGGCCCCGCCGAGGGTGGTTATGTCCAGGGTGCCGTGGAAGGTTGCTGTGTTGGGGGCGGGGTTGATGTGCAGGGAGGAGTGGGAGGCGCCGCCGCGGACGCGGTCGTCGGTTGAGGTCCAGTTTGTGGAGGACCAGGGGCTGGACCGGGGGTTTTGGTTAGATGGGGTGGTGGGGGGGGGTGGTGGATGGGCTTACTGGGGACCTCCGAAGAGGTAGGGGGTTGGTTGAGGGGTGTATATCATTGATGGTGACATTTTGTGTATTTGTGTGTGTGTGTGAGGTAAAAGAGGAAGAGAATTGGAAACTGTGGTGTTGGGTGGGAATTGATGAGATGGCTGGATCGATCGATCGACGGGTTGCGGATGCGATGACGTCGTGGGAAGAATGTTGGTGCCGCTCTTGATCGGTGGAGCTGGGCTTGTGAATGAGTGCTCTGGTGGGTTCTACTGGTCTCCACTGGCTGACTACGGGGGAAAGCTGTCAGTGCATCCGTGGTACTGCAGGGGCCCAGTTGCGAGGGGGTCAGAAATTAATGCGGGAGGGTTAGAAAACTCCTGACACTTGATGAGCTCAATCATGTGAAAAGATGATCCAGTGTCAGGAATTCTCTGAACCTAGCCGAGCAGTTTTTCCATCACCGGTCTGACACCCTCGCACTAATTTCTGACACCCTCGCACTAATTTCTGACCCCCTCGCAGCTGTATCCCCTGGAGGCTGGTACTTCGTTTAAGCTCTGATGTGCTGCTGAAACTTGATCTACGATCTGCGATCTGCGATGCGATGCGATCTGGGGTTGGGCCTAGACCGTGTTTCGGGGGCTTTATGTTGTATGTCTGTTGCAGAGATCTTCAATTTGGGGTTGAGATGCAATTGTGTTTGGTCATTGTTTACTGTGGTTTAAGACATGTACACAGTACTTTTTGTTTTCTTTTTTCTTTGTTTTATTGCTTTCCATTTCTGTCTCTGTGTCGGTTCTAGATGGGAGCTGTCGCGTGATTCGCGTGCCCTGCACAAGATGAATATTCAGCTAAGCTTATGCGAACAACCGTTTCAACAATATCCTACATTACATCTTACCCTATGATCTGAGCCTCGATCTTAGAACGTGCATAGATTCCTCAATTAATAACTGAAAAAAAGACGCCATCACCAACTACGCCCAGAGGGGCTGCTAGACTGAATCATCCCCTCGGGCGCAAACCCTCACCAAAATGCCCCCAGGCAGGATAACGTCTTCCTGACGCAACAATTATCCAAGATCCAAGATACAGGAATCGGATGTCAAGGCTATAAGCTTATCCGGCGGAACACATCCCTCTCCCGACGGATGGTTAATTTTGACGTCACCTGGCCACATCCATCTTAACTTATATTACCATTGAACCTGTCCTCATTAATTCACACTCCCACTAGAACATCAATCTATCGTACTAAACCAACCATACCAACCAAGTAAACAAAATGGCCGCCTACGCCGGAGGACTTACCAACGGTCGCCCGTCAGCTGTGCGGTATGTATCATCACCTCTTACACTTTTTGTACTTCTTGTGCATCTACTGATAATGATAATGATAACAATAGATCCCGCAACATTGCCCTCTTTAGCATCGTCGGGATGATCACCGGCGGATGGATGCTCTTCCGTGCCCAATCTCCCAATAAGGAAGACAAGCTATATTCGCAAAAAGACCTCCAGACGATGGTTGGAGGCCAGACGGGAGAGAATCGAGTTGGTCGTGCTCCGAGTCATCAGAATAGGGATTGAATTTATCCATTTGAGGGGGTGTATAATGAGGGTTGAATGGTGTATAGGGTGGGTATGAGTGGCGTATGGTGTTCATTCTTCTTCTGATATATTAAGTATTATGGACTTTTGTATAGTAATCACAGTATCAAATACACACGTCCATCATACAGACCATATCAATGCCAATACTACCGACGCTACCCCCTCTATAACCCTCATAATCTCAGGCAACACTCCTCTTTAAACCTATCAAGTTATCCTCCATATGCAACCCCTCACCCCTAAATATATCCCCAACCACCATAACAGCACCTCCCAATACCCAACCCATACTTTCCATGCTCAGCAACAAACTGCACCTCCTCCACCGCATCAAAATACTCATCATCCCATTACAGACAATGATGCAACCGTACAACAGTGATGGGTTCTCGCTGGCCGTGTTATGTCCAATGCTCAGGGTCTAAATCCGTACAGGTGAGCGGGTACACTAACCTATTACGGCTATCGATGCACTGAATGCGGTTGGCCTGATTGGGATATTGTCTGCTTGGCATCTAAGAATCAGTGAAGAATGATCTGTTTTGATAGTCACCGAGGTTGGTGGAGATTTCAGTGGCGTCAGGTACTCTTATAGAATTAGTTCATGTTTTTTGTAGACGAAGAATTGGGGTCAGTTAGTTAATAGGGTAGAAAGTGGTTGAACTGTAATGTAAATGAGGAATATGTCTATGAGGAACATTAACTAACTAACGTATTCCACAAGCGAGTCGGCACCACAAGCGAGCCGGCACCCCCGCTCCAATTTCTGCCCGCGGGCCAAATACTAAAGGCTTTATCAACAAAATAATTGCATTTCTATATAAAAACTAATTAGGAACTCAAGTAGGACATTGTAGCCGTCTATATCCTAGAATATGACAATTACTGCAGCGTGGTGGCGCTCGTACGCGTGGCTCAACTGCAGAAAGTGCAGGATCTATAGGAAGCGTATTTTGAGCTTCATCAACCTCATTCTCGCGCTGAAATCGCTCTAGGCCTTCTTTAATAGCTGATCCCTCTGTAATAGCTAGCTGTCTAGTAGAGCGTTTCTTTTTTTGAAGCTTCTTTTCATGAGAAGCGCGTAATTTGCGGATTTCTTCGCGTGCAAGAATAAGCTCATTAAGATGTAATTCATGACCTTTAATAAGCTTATCAAATCGTATCTCTAGCGAAGATGAAGGGCTCTGCGTACGCGCTTTAAGCAGCTTCTTTGCTGTAGATGCCTGCTTGTCAAGCTGCCTAGTTGTATAAGGCGTTTTTGGCGCTGAATTAGTTGACCGGCTGCCTGGTGGTGTAGGGGTCTTTAGTTGAATATTCAGCTGACTGAGTACCCTATCTGGATTGAATGGAACTAGGCCAGCGCCTGCGAAGCTATTTCGAATAGTATCTGCTTGAAAAGCGCGTTCACGAGCTTGTGGAAAGGCCTCTAAGAAATCAAGTTTGTCGATATGATTGATTCCTGAACGTGCCTGTTCCTCTACTAAGCTGCCGTATGCTCGCTTTAGAGGTGCAAAGCAACCCACATCCAAAGGTTGAAGTTTGTGAGAAGAATGAGCTGGCATGCAGATAGGAATGATATTATTCTCACTGCATATCTGATCGAATTGAGGCGTAAGATGGCTGCCATGGCCGTCAAGAATAAGAAGACGATATCTTCCAGTTGTACAGCTAGTAGTAGTAGGAATGAAGAGATTTTGAAGCCAGCGAAGGCCTATCTCATCTGTAGTCCATCCATTAGGACTAACCTCAATCCTACTATCGCGTGGGAGTTTGATATCTTGATACCAACCCTCTATATGGACCTTGCCTTTAAAGATCACACATGGAGGAAGCGCCCAACCGGTAGAGTTAATACACTCAATCGAAGTAACCCATTCTCGATTACCTGGCTGTACAAGAGAGGCCTTTCCATAGTAGTCAGCTCTAGTAACTACTTGAGCAGTAGCTACTAAGCCTATAGCGAAGCCAGTCTCATCAAAATTGTAGATATCTTCCTGTGCAATCCCATGTTGCATTATAATGATTTGTACGCGATCAAACCACTCTCTGATAATCTTGGGGTCTTCACATTTAGCGCGCCGATAATCATAGCGTCGAGTATAGCGAGTTTTCAAGCAATCTTGTCGTTTAATGAAGTTAAAGACCCAGTTCTCTCCGACTGATTGAACTGGGGTAGTACCGCGCGCAGCAAGAAGAATATTAGCCATTTCTCGTATATGAGATGGTTGGGGAGGCGCTCCACGTTGATCTAGCGATAGAATCCATTGTAGAAGCGATTCCTCTTCATTTTGAGTCATTTTATGACTATTGGCACGTGTTTCTGAGCGATTTGTTTTTCCGCGTAGTCGATCTTGTAGAGTAGAACGAGGCACATTATAATGACGTGCAGCTTTAGCAATTTGGGTAATTTGTTTATTTTCTATAGCAGAGATTGCTAATAAAATTCTCCCCTCCTGCTCGGCTGAATTTCTTGATTTTTGACGCGCTTTTGGAGGCATGGTTGGTGGTTGAATTGAGTGAGGTTTTTGATCGCGGTGAAAACGCGTTGGGGTGCCGACTCGCTTGTGGTGCCGACTCGCTTGTGGAATACGTTAGAGAACGGAGTGCTGAATCAGCTGTTTCATTCTCACTCAGAGCAAGGGGATTAGTAACTATCTTTAGGTTCAGAGCATCGAAATAACGGTCTCTCTCCCCGCTGCTTCCGCCACGCATTGGTCGATTGAAACAACTCCCAGCAATCTTGCATCGCCCAGCCCCACAACTGCACAAAGGTTTCTGTCACCTCCCACCCCTCTGGATCCCAGGGGTCCTTCCAAACAATCACCCCGGTCTCTCCAATCCCGCTGTTCCGTCCATTTCCAGCCTGAGATCTCCGATGGCCGCACATGTCGTAACATAGTTGAGTGTCATCCATTACGCTTTCCACCAGGATGAGATTATCTCGCATCTTGGGAATTGGAATCAGGTCTAACCATGGATGATGAGGTATAGTGCGTTGAATCAGAGTGGGCTGCAATGCTGGTGGTAGGAAATCTTCCCGGTTCTGTGTCGCCGCGCATCGTGGTCCATTTGTACTAAACATAGACAGGACGTCATCATCTCTCATGTCGATGGCCCGATAGCCCAGAACGTCCAAGTTGGTGTCTAAAGCTCGTAGAATATTCAACCGAGTGACTGGCAGGAGCAAATCAGCCCGTGGCGAGCCGGTTGCAAACTCGAGGTGTATCATTGCTTCCAGTTGTTGCATGACACGTCGGGTCTTTGGGGCAAGAGGCCCCAGGATGGGGAGTTCTTCCAGGGACTTGAAATCGACAGCTGCGGGAACCAATGCTGTGGTGGATCGATCGGCTGGCTGCGAGGCATTCGGCAGACCTTTGGCTAAATGCTGACGGCGTCCTATTATCTGTTAGCTAGACCCCAAGGTTCGCGATGTCCACTAACTTCGGGCCCTCTGATTGAGCCGGTTCTGCAGTTTTCGCCTCTCCTTCGGGTCCGTGACGCCGATCCACACGTCCTCTAGACCGATTTTGATCTTTTCTGGTGGAGATGCGGAGTCATCGACGCCACGGGGTGCAATTCGATCTCTTTCATGGCTATTCATCGAATGTCACACTGGCTGACAGTTGCAGGATGCTAATGATGCGTTGAGGGGCGGCGCCAAGTTATGAGGGTGATTGCCCCCGCCGTTATCCCCGATCTTATTTCCGGTGTCATCCATGGTCGTCACCTCGGCACGCTCCGCTGCCGACTCATATACCGATCAAATAGCTTCGCGGCGAGATAACGTCCACACCATTGAGAAACTCATTGCAGACCAGCTTGCTTTTATATCACGTTCATACCAGTAGGCCAAAACGATATACCGCTGGCAGCTGGAGAACAGACAGAACGAAGACTGTATCCCAACATCTTATCAATGGATCGCATTTGATGAATCGTGGTTCTATCGTTTTCAGCCATCAGTGGCGTCGCTCAACTTTCAATGACACTCATCGCATTACCCTGGAGAACGCCTGGGATGGTATTCAGGACAACAGAGCTCTACTTCTGTCCAGCGATACTGTGATTCATCAACAGGTGTAGCATCCGCCTCTGACCTTGCCAGACGTGGATATCGATCCATAGCTGAGGGCAAATGTGCAGCGCCAATCTCAGCAAGCTCCTTTGCGTTATCACATCAGGTCTCGCGATAAAATTATATCTCCGGCCCATGTCGGAGGGCTCTTTTCAGAGATCACAAACGTACGACTCGGTCAGACCCCCTTCCAGTGACAAAATGACGACTGAATATGATGGGGAATTAGCATGTGGACACGGTTGAATGAATCAATAACCGCCAATGACTATGCCCAGTCACTGTCGCAGTCGAGGAAGCTACTGGCAGCTTGCACATCTTATTCTCCGGAGCAGAAGCAGAGGGATGTTGCCGTCAGCAAAGCTTATGTGGTAGCCTGGTAGGGCCTCGGCTCGGAATGTTCCGCAGTCAGCTTGGCCTCCTGGAAATAACTGCTGCCTTGGGCTATTCCTCCGTTCTTCGGACGCCGAAGTCTGCCAAGAGAGCAATCACTGGCCTGATTCGTCATCACTGAACTACTCAGGCTATACCACCGCGTACGTCAGAAGGCGGCCCATATCACCACCAAGCGGCTAGAGACTAAGGTTATCTTTCCTGAACAACCGTTGAGAAGGTCCAACCAGACGGCAAATCATATGCTGCAGTGCTCGATTCACGTTACAACCTGCATGAAACTAACCCGAATGTCGGCTGACTGCCAGGCCTATATCGGCGACCCTGCCTAACGCATGGGTTTGCAATGTATTTCCCCGATGCAGACAAATCAGATGGATCGGATCACACGATATCCGCTGCAGGGAATGCAGGGAGTACAGGGAGTGCAGGGAGTGCAGCGACCAGGAAGGAATGCCATTCTCACGACTCGGCCAGCCTATCTCGAAAAGCGGGGAAGCTGGATTCGGGCCTCGGGGCCAATAAGCATTGACTCCATGAAGATAAACGTGGTTGGAAATGAAGCAGAGGTGGTTGATCGCCCCCCGATTAGCCTCCATCCTTAGCTCCACGCGGCCCCTCCGCACCGTCCGAGATAAGACCACTCACAGCACCGAGTCAGCACGCCATCCGGAGTAAACTGAGGGAATCATCATCGCACCACCACCATTAGTATAAATACGCAAGAGTTGGCCCCTATGGTGTTTGGAGAAAAAATTTTCAAGCCAGTCCGGTTGCTGCCTGTCCTTGTCCCTTGCCAGCGCGACCCTCATGCGGCATCCCTGGGGAACGCCGGATATGCACGATTAGCACGTAGTCGGGTTCTCCGATGCTAATGGCAGATGTCATGACTCGTGGCTGGTCTGGAGCTTATCGGAAACGTCAATCGTTGGTAACACTGCATCCGCTAGAGCTTCATGGTCGCTCTTGGCTGCTGAGGATTCTAGCCAGATTCACTAACGATAGGATGGTGTGCTTGACTTGCATGCTGTTATCATTCACAGTGGGACTATCGCAAGATGCACCTACTCAGACTAGTCGTCGTTCCTTCTCACCTCCTGGTGGTAGATAAGATGACCGGATCCGCGAGGTCATGTCGCAAAGGGCACGTCTCGTCTCATCACTCGAAGCGCTGCTTGACCGGTCGCTGTTGCACCAAACTTGTTCCTCTATTTCTTAAGAGACAGCAAGCATGGCTTCCGATAGCAAGTCAGAAGACGTCATCGAGACTCGGAAAATTGACCTCGACCTGGATAGCGATTTACTCGAACAGAATGATGAATTGAAAAAAGAACACCTCATAGCCGAGCAGAAAGAGCTCACTCCGGTCGAAGCCTTCAAGTGGAATGTCGAAGGAGACCAGTCACCTTGTGAGATTGCTTGACCGTCTATGATGATTGTTTCTGACGTGGCTCAGTTCCGGAAGTGGCGGCCTGCGTGCCTAACACCGATGATCCGAGTCTACCATGTAACAGTGAGTAATAGTCAAAGTATGGATGGTCATATACTGACGAGCTATAGCTGTTCGTGCGTGGATCCTGACCACCATCTTTGTTATGCTCTTCGCGGGTGTCAATCAGTTTTTTAGTATGCGATATGTGAGTATACCCATAGGGTTTATCGTACGAAGCTAATGAATAGCCCTCTCTCACTGTTCAATATGTTGTCGCTCAGCTACTCGTTTTCCCAATTGGACGAGCATGGGAAAAGCTTCCTCGATGGAGAGTGCCGCTTGGAAGACTATCGTTCGACATCAACCCAGGGCCATTCAGCATCAAAGAACATGCCTTTATTGCTATTGTACGATTCCTGTCGATATATATTTGCCAAAGACTGACAATCATAGTGTGTCAACATTAGCGCCAGCACGGCGTATGCTTCCGGTTCACTGGTCGCGATCATTATGCCACAGTACTGGGGCAAGGACTACGGGGCAGGATTTTCATTCCTGTACCTATTGACATCGCAAATGATGGGGTAAGTTAGTTCCATCGCCTTTTGATTCTCGCTGACAGATTAGATTCGGCCTTGCTGGCATGTCCCGTCGCTGGCTCGTCTATCCTGCAGCTTTGATCTGGCCTCAGTCTCTGTCCTCGACGATTCTCTTCCGTGCCCTTCACGAGCCAGAAAATCGCGCCCCTGCAAATGGTTGGAAGCTCAGTCGCTACCGCTTTTTCGCATACGCGACTCTCTTTGGATTTGTAATCTACTGGTTTCCCGATTACATCTGGACTAGTCTCAGTACATTCGCGTTCGTCACCTGGATTGCGCCACATAACCAGAAAGTCAACACTATTTTTGGGGTCAGTAGACACATCCTTTAATCAGACGCTTGCTTACCTTTGTAGATGAATTCTGGTCTCGGGCTACTGTCGATTAGCTTTGACTGGACACAGATCAACTACGCCGGCTACCCTCTGATGACGCCTTTCTACATCACCTGCAATGCTTTTGCAGTGGTTGTCTTCTTTTACCTCTTTCTCTCGCCGATATTGTACTACAAAGACGTCTGGTTTAGTGCATAGTAAGTACCAGATTCCTCTGCATGGCTATGCTAACGAGTCAGCCTGCCTCTTCTGTCGTCATCGACGTTCGACAACACCGGCAGCTCGTACAATGTGACGCGGGTCGTCGATTCTAACGGAGACTTTGTCCTCAGCAACTACAAGGAATACTCTCCCATGTACATCTCCATGTCCTACTCGCTCACCTACGGCCTGTCATTCGCTGCCGTGACTGCCATCGTGGTTCACACATACCTCTACAACGGATCGGAGATCTGGGCCAAGTTTAAAAACTCCCGTCATGGAGGTGAAGACATCCATCGCCGCTTGATGCACTCATACCGCGAAGTCCCAGACTGGTGGTATGCAGTGTTGTTTGTCATCATGGCAGGACTTGGCATTCTCACCGTGCGATACTGGGAAACGGGCTTGCCAGTGTGGGGATTCATTGTCGTCTGCTGCGGAATGGGCGTGGTTCTGATCATCCCGGAGGGTATCCTGGAAGGAACTACAAACCAGAGAATTTTCCTCAATATTATCACTGAGCTGATCGCCGGATATGCTTGGCCAGGAAAGCCCATTGCCAACATGATGGTCAAGTGCTACGGCTATAACTCGGTCAAGCATGGGATGGACTTTGCCCAAGATCTCAAGCTCGGGCAGTACATGGTGAGTACAGCAACCAAGTCTGCAGTACAAACACTAACTAGTCCAGAAAATTCCTCCTCGTGTCCTCTTCTGGGGTCAGGTGTATTCTAGTATCCTGGCTACCATGACCCAAACAGGAGGTAAGCACCCGACCCCCAAATATCAAACTAAACTAACAATATAGTTCTCCGCTGGATGATGGGCCATATCCACGGACTGTGTGACTCGGATAATGCCCAACGATTCACCTGCGCCGGTGCAAAGGTGATGTACAACGCCAGTCTGATCTGGGGCACTATCGGTCCTCAGAGAATGTTCCAATCCGGACAAGTGTACCACTCCCTGATGTATTTCTTTTTCATCGGAGTAAGCTCCTCCGCCCCCTGGCTGTATCGCATCGCTGACAGTCATAGCCCGTGGTCACGGTAATTGTGTGGCTCTTCTACCGCCGGTACCCGCAGAGTTGGGTACGGTATATCAACGTTCCGATTTTCTTCAACGCTGCAGGAAACATCCCCCCTGCCAATACCAGTCAGTACCTCTGACCCTTGCTGCTAATGCAAACTAACAAGATACAGCGCAATACTCTCTGTGGTTCTTCTTCGGATTTCTCTTCAACTACCTCATTCGCAAACGCGCATTTGCCTGGTGGAAGAAGTATAACTGTAAGCCCAACCCCCATTATTATCCATCCATTCCATATAGAACTAACACAGCATCAATAGACCTCTTCCAAGCCGCCATGGACACCGGCACCGCCATCGCTACCATCATCATCTTCTTTGCTCTGGGATACACCAACACCACCTTCAGCTGGTGGGGTAACAACGTTGGATCGAACACTGATGATGCGAACTCAGTGCCGTGGTTGAAAGTTTCCCCGGGGGGTCATTTCGGAAAGGGCCCTGGAGAGTTTTAATGTCTACCAAGATACTTATTTTGGGGATTATTATGAGTTAGCATGCTAAGCGCACCATCATTGCATAGAAGCAAAATGGTCTGAATTGTATCATATGGCATCGCCAATCGACTTAATCAAATCACCTCGAATATTCATTCAAATGGTACTATATATCAGATCACTCCATAAAGTGTTGAAGCCAGTCATGTCATTCCATCTTAGCTAAGTAATTAGTTACTCGTCAGTAAATCCACTCCCCATCTTCATAGCCAAGTTCAAAGACATGATAAATAAATAGTATTTTCTAGAACAACCACTTGGTTATTTTCTTTGTTTTTAAGCCCCATCTTTCTTGTGCCCCACTTGGGATCATCAATGTTGAACTTCATCGACACGAGGTCATTACTGCGAAAAGGTAGCTAATCAGTGTACAGGATACCCAGCTGTGGATATGGATGTGGAATCAAGCCCGTGCCAAGAGCCCCTCACAACAAGTTCCGCTTGATGTAACAGAAAACCCCGGGGTTACTTGTCTAATATAAGAGGATAGGTGACGGATGAGAAATAAGAACAAGATAAGCCCAACATAGAATACAGGCCCAAACGTAGAATAGGATCAGATTTATCCCTCCAAGGACAGGAATAAAATATAAATAAGGGCATTTGTTATCCGGCACGATTTCCGATTGAGATAACAGAGGCTATGGTATTATCTAGCGGGTTCTAGATACCTACCCACCTACCTACCTACCTACACCCTATAGGCCTAAATTAATCGAGTATTGACGTAGTGTCCTCCACATGGTTGACATTTCCAATCAAGGAATACTAGCCCAGTGATATGCGGCACTATGACATGGAATTAAGTAACCAACAAACGTGCAGCGGTCTTATCAGTCTGTTTGACTAGCCCCGTCATTCTGTAGTATACAGATTTTTTTCCTGCCCGATGGGTGGTTTCGGGTATCATCGGTTGAGCTCGGTTGCCATCGGGAGCAGCCACAATGCCGAGCGGCTGTTCCTGACACGAGCCACAGTGCCGAGTATATCCGCTGTCAGGTTTGCTCAGGGCGGATACACCATTGGCTGCAGACAAATTAGGGCCGGAGTAGTGGCTGGTGCATAAGACACAGGGATAACGGCAGCGCGGAAAAAGATGGAGCGATTCCAAGGCATTGTTTCGAAGTGGGAACTGGGCCTGGGGCTAGATGGCGCCATGGGGGAAGATGGTGGAAGAAATTTTTGATAGAGGATTGAGTCTAGTTGGGTGGATATTGGGGCTGCGTTGGTACTTATATCCCGGGGAGGGCCCTCAGGGTTGCTAGTTTGGTGTGTCGGTTATTGGTTTTATTGTTGTGCACTGAGGTTGTTGGATAGTATGGAGCACATCATGGAATACGCCAAGGAATCTTCCCCCGTCGATAGTGCCAGTGATGATTACTCCGATGAACATCCCGATCATCCCGACTCGGTCGAGCTCGCTCGTATCAACACATATCGTCTGCAACAGAGGGCTACGGTAGGGTCGACGCGAGGACCTGAGCCTAGAGAGGAATGGTTGCCTATGGGTGCTGGGAAGGAGTATCCGCCGGTGCTTCCTGATCCGGAGACATATGTGGTGGAATTTGATGGTGCGGATGATCCGCTTCATCCGTGGAACTGGTCGATAGTACGGAGGTTAGTTGGGTTGTGTTCCTTGGTGCTGTGACGACCACTGATTGGGTATAGGACTATCCTCGTCGCCATCCTCTGTTACTCTACCTTCGCTACAGCCTTCACCAGCGCCGTTTTCTCTGCTGCCGTCTCCGCCGTAAGCAAGGAGTTTCATGTCGGGAGAGAAGTCAGTACCCTCGGAGTTACTCTATACGTGTTTGGATTTGCGGCCGGACCGACCATCTGGGCACCGGCATCAGAACTCATCGGACGACGCTGGCCGTTGTGCATTGGTCTGTTCGGATGCGGAATCTTCACCATTGCTGCTGCCACGGGTAAAGACATCCAGACCATCATGCTGGGTCGGTTCTTCGGGGGCCTCTTTGCTGCCAGTCCTGTTTCTCTGGTCCCTGCCGCCTTTGCGGATCTGTTCAGTGCTGCCCATCGTGGAGTCGTCATGTCGATCTTCTGCATGGCGGTGTTCATCGGACCGTTTGCAGCTCCGTTCGTGGGTGGGTTCATTGCCACGAGTCCCTTGGGATGGAGATGGACCATGTATATCTCGGCTATCATGGTCTTCCTTGCATTCGTGCTGGTATTCCTCTTCCTCGATGAGACATACGCGCCGGTCATTCTCGTCCGCAAGGCTGCTGTCCTGCGCAGACAGACCCGCAACTGGGGTATCCACGCCAAGCAGGATGAAGTGGAGGTTGACATCAAGGAACTGGTCCGCAACAACTTCCTTCGTCCGTTGAGCATGCTTGTCACGGAGCCGATTCTCCTTCTCATCTCCTTGTACATCTCCTTCGTCTATGGCCTTATCTATGCTCTCCTCGGTGCCTATCCAGTGGTCTTCGACGACGTGTACGGAATGAGCATGGGCGTCGGTGGACTCGCTTTTATCGGTCTGATTCTGGGAGAGTTGATCGGTGGTGTCTTTATCTTGTGTCTACAAGGTTCTTACAAGCGCAAGTTGGCAGCAAACGGAGGCAAGCCTATTCCTGAATGGCGTCTCCCGGCTGCCATTGTCGGCGCTGTTGCTTTTGCCATTGGCATGTTCTGGTATGTCACCACCCCTTTATCCTGAGGTAAAGCATACTAACGAATCAGGTTCGGCTGGACCGGCTACACGAACAAGATCCACTGGATGGCTCCGACCGCAGCAGGTGTCCTGATCGGATTCGGCATCCTCTGCATCTTCCTGCAGTGTTTCAACTATATCGTCGATTGTTACCCTACCTTGTATGTTTCTTTCCATTTCACTATAGGGTAAAACACAATGCTAACGAGCACAGGGCTGCATCCACAATTGCTGCAAATACAATTCTCCGGTCAGCCGTTGGCTGTGTCTTTCCGCTGTTCTCGCGTCAGATGATGGTTAATCTGGGCGTGCAGTGGGCGGGGACGCTGTTGGGGTGCATTGCGGCCATTATGATTCCCATGCCGATTGCGTTCATGATCTTTGGTCCGTGGATCCGGCAGAGGAGTAAGCTGGCTTCGTCGCCGGCTCGAGATGTGGAGAAGAAGAGTGATGTTTGATGTAATTATGATAGATTAGATAGATACCCTTAATGATTTATGCGAGCGTGATGGTGTCGATTGATGTAAGATTGTGGTGGGCCAAGCAAGACTAACAGTCAACTTGACCGCATGTATCTAGGCTCTTGTCTATATTTGGTGCTTTGTCTGAATGATTGTAGTGAGGGGTCAGCAATGATTGTCTGATTGGTTCTCAAGATTAAGCTTACTTGGGATATTTCCACTTGCTGGGGCATCTTCCAGGGTCCACAGTCTACCACTGTGGACGTCAGGTAAATCTTGGCAGTAGAAGGAAGTAAGCAATTGCTAGTAAATGTCAATCCCTTTGTCGATTAGTTTTAATGTTGATTTAGTAGCCTGCATTTCTGGTTAAGATACTGTGTGGCGGTTTATATATTTTTCGCGGGTGTTTCCCCACTTAGGTAGATGGTCCTCATGCTATGCTGGATGACGACACAACACCAGGCAGGTTTAATCTGCAAGTCTCAAGAAAACATTTCTTCAATGAAGCGGACTCCCTGGGTTTGGCATTTTGGTAAATACGCGGTGTTCCTCGACTGCTTGCGCAATAGGGGCCCCGGATAGCCCCTTGATTCTCAAGAGAAACGGATCCCGATGCTCTTCGCATCTCCCGCGGTATGATTTTAGAGTCGATAAAGATGGTAAAGGATAGACTATGCCGTAGTATGAGTACGGTCTTGATTCGATGATAAGTAACGGAGGAAAGTCAGCCTGGAGGGACAAAGAGATTGGAAGGGAGAGACGGGTCAAAAGTGGAGGCATCAAAGCCTATTTGGCTCCACTCGGGCCGCCATGACGATCCTCCTCGCGCTTAGCAGCCTCTGATTTGTGAATTCACCGTCCGGCCATGCTTAAGACCGCCGTGCACTTACTCCGTATTGGAGGCTGAGGCTACTTAGCCTCAATCACCAGTTGAGGAAACGATCCTCTCTGGATTTGGAGGTATCAGAATGCCCCCACTCGACGGGCCCCAATTTCTCCGTCCTAGCAGCGCTCTGATGACTCGGTTCTTCAAACACGGACCTTGACGTTTTCCTCCGCCATCCTTAGCACGAAGTCCGTCCAGAATGCCCGTGTTCAACAAGCTCAAGGGCATTCACAGCCCCCTCCCTGGGTCTTTTCGCAGTATGCCCCTCCCATTCCCGTTTCAGACCAGCGGTGCAGCTAACAAAACGCGACCATAGGTGAATGCGACAAAGCAGCCCAGATCCTCGATGCCTTTACCAACCCCGCCAACCTTGACGGCCCGGATAGCCTCATTCCTCCCAAAGTCCTTGCCGCGGCCAAGGTGAGTCGCCCTGGCCGACTTTCCCCAGGCCATTGATTAACACACCAAGCGCAGGGCTTCGCGGTATTCTCTGTTTCAAAAGTCGGCATCGTTGGCTCCGTCCGGATGGGATCCGGTATCCTGATCGCGCGCCTCAAAGAAGGGGACTGGTCGGCTCCTTCTGCAATTTTGACTGCCGGAGTGGGCGTAGGAGGACAGATCGGCCTCGAGGTCACCAATTTCGTCTTCGTCCTGAATACCACCAGCGCCGTCCGCACTTTTGCCCAGCTCGGAAGTTTGTCTCTGGGGAAGAATGTATCCTTTGCCATGGGCCCGACGGGTCGTTATGGGGAAGTGGGTGGGGTGGTGAGCGCGGGGGGAGTTGCAGGGGTCTTTTCATATGGACAAAATAAAGGCTTCTTTGGCGGGTTCAGCACCGAAGGGAGCATGCTATTTGAGCGTCGCGGCGCGAATCAGAAGCTATATGGAAAAAAGATCAAGGCGCGAGATTTGCTCGAGGGCCAGTTTCCTCCTCCCGAGGAGGCAGATAATCTGATGCGCGTACTGCGTTCGGATCTCTTCGCTCCCCGACCGGACTTGTTCAAGACTTCTTCTTTCGGGTCGCCGAAGGTGTCTCTGTCTTCGGATGGGGCATCGGAGCTCCCAGTAGGGACCGAGGTGCAGAAACTGCCCATTGAGATGCCGGCAGACGAAGTGGTCAAGTTGCCTGCTGAATTGCCTGCCGAGTTCATTGCCGAGTTGCCAGCGGAGGTGGTCCCGGACATCTACTTTGATAAGTCAATGGAGAAGCCTCTGCCGGAATTGCCAGGAGAGACAATTGCATTGCGACCTGCCAAGAGTTGATCGAGGGTTGAATCGCATACAATTATCCGCATATCACCGATAACATCTGACTGCCACGGAATACTGAAGAACAGTCAATTCTTGTGTCTTCCAACGCGAGCTCATGGTTAAAGGAGAAGGGCTCACCATAGGCTATGATCGTGTCTGCGCCCCCAATGCAATATGGTATTCGCCAGTTGCATCCCCGACAAGGCAACGACATTATGCAGACCTCGCCAACCATTTCGGTTTCAATCATGCATGCCTTTTGCGGCAGACTCTGTTTCCTACTTCAAGCGAAAGTACAAATCGCCATCTACATTGGGTGATACTATTAAAAAAGTTGGTATTGCCGACCAGGCTCTACTCAATCGACCATAATCACGTCAACTTAGCCTGCCTCCCACGACCATCAAAACTCCAATCAATCTGGGTAGCCATCTTCACCTTAACCCCCAACTCATTCGCAAACGCCCGAACCAAACCCGGATTCTGCTGGAACCACCGACCCGCCTGAACGGCATCAATGCCCGACTGCACCACCTCCTCCGCCAGAAGCCCTGTCTTGATCCCTCCCACCGCCGAAACCAGCAACCTATCACCCACAGCCCTCTTAATCTCCTGCGCAAACTGCACCTGATACGCCGGACCTGACCGAATAGCAATCGCCGACTTGGGATGAACCCCCCCAGAGCTAACATCCACCAAATCCACCCCACAATCAGCCAGCAGCCCAGCAAGCCGAACCGACTGCCCAACCGTCCAACTATCCGGAAACTCCCTCTTCAATCCCTCATCAAACTCGAACCAATCCGTCGCACTAATCCGAACCAACAACGGCATAGTCGACGGAATAACCCCCCTCACCACCTCACAAACCTCCACCAACAACCTCACCCGATTCTCAAACTCACCCCCATACTCATCCGTCCGCTGATTACTCACCGGACTGAGAAACTGATGAAGGAGATACCCATGCGCAGCATGAATCTCCACACCATCAAACCCAGCTGTGACAGCCCTACCCGCAGCATCCCCAAAATCCCCCTTCAACACCCGGATCTCATCCCCCGTCATCGCCCTCGGCACGGCATGAACTCCCTCCTCGTGAGACATCGCCGACGGCCCAACTATCTCCCCCGGCCATCCACCAACTTCCCTCACGGCCATGGCATTCTTACTTAACCACGGCGCAACTCCACTCCCTTTTCGACCCGCATGGCTTAGCTGGATAGCAATCTTCTGACCCTGCCCGTGCGCAAACTCCGTAATTCGCTGCAACGGCCCGATCTGTCCGTCTTCGTACAGACCCAGGTCCTGTGGCGTGATGCGGCCGATTTTCTGTACCGCTGTGGCTTCCATGATAGAGAGCCCGGGACCGCGCTGGATGATTCCACCTATGTGTGTTAAGTGCCAATCATTGGCGTAGCCATCTTGCGAGGAATACTGGCAGAGAGGGGCGAGGAAGAGGCGGTTGGGGAGGGTCAGTCCGCGGATAGTGAGTGGGGTGAAGAGTTTGGTGGAGCCCTCGATTTGGGTTCCTGCTGGGGGATGCTGCGCGGGGGTGTAGTAGGAGGTGCCGGGGGCGGGGAGGTTGTCGATGGGTTGTTGGTTCATGGTGGATTCCTTTCTTTTCTTGATAAGGGGGAAGTAGATGGTGGTGTTACTTGTAATCTAAGAATGATGTTCTGTGCCTACTTGATATAATTAATCAGGTCCATCACCCTTGAAACATATTAAATGTACTGTGTAAACAAATGTATTATTAATCCCCCAATCCATTGCTAATAGAAATAATGAGCCATGATGGCGTGACCGTGCCAATGCCGATGCCAATGCCAATGCTGTAGGTATCACGGAGTACTACACCACCAGACCAACAAACCCTCACCTACATTCCCCATCCTCACTACCAAAAGGCACCACACAATGCAAGAAACACCGGGGGATAAGGCATTGCTTATCAATCACGTATGTTGCAATCGCCCCAACGAGGTCTGTATTGGTGGTTGGCGTGCATATGGCCCGCTAGTGCTTATTCTTAGGGCTGCCCCCCTCACACTGTCTGCGGGTTATCCCGATACTATCCACCGGGTAGGGTAATTCTTGTTCCGTGTCCTTCGACGTGCGAGCCAGAAGGACTACGGAGGACGGGGGAGGGGGTTAGTAGGATTATGATTCTTACGTTCTTGGCGGGTCCTCAGGTAATGATGTTGGCTAACGACCGTTGGAAGGACGGCCTACGGCGTGGCGTGGCGTAGCCCTTTAGCTTGTTGAGTCTATTTGTTTTGCAGTTAACTAGGTTGTTCGGGGTTAAGATAAGGATTCCGAAACACGGCCTAAGGCACTGGTGGATGCAGCTTTGCCGTCTGGTTCGTATTCACCCTGTGTTGTTTGTGTTTTCATGTGTCAACGTGTCCTGGGATCTAGAAGACCATTTCATCATCTTGCAGTTGCATAAACCGTGGAATATAGAATGGTCCTCACGATAACGGTATAAACACCAAATGAATTCGATGAATCAAGGAATAGTTGACACCTCAATTCAAAGGCATCGAGGCATCCAGGCATCTACGCGATGGATTCAGTGGGGATCTTGGCTGCAGTCAGGCGGAATAACCAAGGCAAACAAACCTGTTCCATCATTCCATAAATCCTCAAATAGTGACATCTGATAGGAAAAACCATCGTCTTCCTTTAGAGTGCCACATAGCCACCAGACCGACTCCGCCGATCGGCAGTCCGACCGAGCAGAATGCCTTGCTGGGGGTGAACAGCGTCTGTCCTCTAAACCGAAACAAGTAGTAGAGAAGGAGCCGCGCGTGGAGCTCCAACCGTCCGGTTAAAAATTAAGCAAATGGGGGGAAATGCATTCTCGTGTTGGCTCCACTGGGATTCGCTGGAGGCTCGCCCTCCATACCGCATCGGGCATGCTTGTCAAAGGCTTGGCCTTAGCTTGGGGGCTGTGAGGCTGAGGCTGATCCCATGCTTTGGGCCTTAGCAGTAGACCCGTCAGCTGCGCGGCCATATAAAAATTCAGTCCCAGCATCGGTTTCCTGGTTTCAATCATCCTCATCCCTGAAGATTCCGTGAATTCGGCACCACCAGTTCGACGATGGGTTTCCTTCATCTGCATCTGCACGATCATCACTCGTCCAATCATACCTGCCCCTCACATGCCGTCTCCGAAGGTAGTCAGCCCCAACTCAGACAGAGACAGATCTAACCATGCCCAGATGAGACCAAGAATGTGGTCGGCAACATCTCCTTCTACCATTTGAATATGATCATATCCGGCGCGTCCACTGCCTTAGCCTGTCTGATCATCTTCGCCTTGATGTTCAGACATGCGACGCGTTTCAGCAACCCGACCGAGCAGATTAGGTAGGCTGGCGGATCCTGAATGCAGGTAACCAGGTTAACATCTCCCAGAGTCATGAGAATCAGCAGCGTCGTTCCCGTCTACTCGATCTTCTCCTTTCTGTCCGTCTGCTTCCCCGCCGACTACGTCTACTTCTCGTCCTGGCCGGACCCGTTCGAAGGCATCGCCCTGTATGCCTTTTTCTTGCTGTTGTGCGAGTTTATCGCGCCCAGTGATGAACAGAGAGTGCAGTTGATTTCCACCCAGCAAATCAAGCCTTCTAGGTTGCGGCGACGAGCACCGCCGATGGACGGATTGACTTGGTTCAAGGTTTGTCTCTCGTGCTGCATACGAGCAATATACTGACTCGCATGATAGCGTACCTACTATGTGGTCCTGCAGTACCCCGTCGTCGCGTTGATCACAACGGTGGTGGCCTGTATTACTCAAGGAGCGGGGGTGTACTGTCTCGACAGCAAGGAGCCTTACTTTGCACACATTTGGGTATGTCCTTTCCTGATGAAAGCAGACACCGGCTAATCTGCTGGTAGATTACGATCCTCAAGAACCTGTCGGTTTCAATCGCGGTCCTGGGCGTGGTCAAGTTCTTCATGCAGCTCAAGAGCCACATGGAGGGGCACCGGGCTTTTGCCAAACTGCTGGCGTTCAAACTGATTGTCGGCTTGGTTTTCGTCGAGAGTGTATGTCTGATGCTGAACCTATCCGCTACCGCGCTAAAGACCACAGATCCTGTTCACTATCCTCCGAACGGCCTCGATTCTCAAGGCGTCGTCTGTCATGACGTACACCGACATCACCATCGGACTGCCGACCATGATCATTTGCATCCAGATGGTGCCGCTGGCCTGCTTCTTCCACTATGCATACAGCGTCACCCCCTACAGCGTGATGAAGATGCCTCTTATGTCCCAGCCGCAATACGAGCCAGTAGACGACATTGCACAGATCAAGATGCGACAGAAGTACCAAGGCGGTCCTCTGGGGATCTACGCGTGGGCGCTCTTTTTCAACCCGGTGGCGATGGTGCAAGAGTTTTCATACCCCTTGACCTTGCTGTCGACAGCGACGCGGTCACCGGAGCATCAGATCCTGACCCCGGAGCAGCAGGATGAGCGGTATGAGGGGCTGTAAAAGTGTGATATAATTGATGTGTTATGATTTCGCGAATACCAGTTAGCAAGCAAGCATTGATTTGAGTGGGGTGCCAAGCCCGAGTCGGTGAGAACAGCAAAACAGCTTAAGAATTGAATTCTGCCCGACCGCTCGGAGGACTTCGGGCATCCTTCCGGCCCCTCCCCGAGTCTGGTTGACGGCTGGCTCACCATCGCATTCCATCCTATTATCCTTCTCCCGTCCAACGGTGTAGGTCGATTGGCATGGCCCCCCTGCACCATGGATGATCGCCCCAGCCAATCCCCCGCGGCTCCTCCATCGCCCAACCCCCGTAGCTGCATCCTGTGCAACCGCCGGAAGGTCCGATGCGACCGTCAGGTCCCTTGCGGCCGTTGTGTCAAGGGCGGCGAGAAATGCGTGTTTCCGGGACCCAAGCGAGCTCCCCGCCAACTGAAACGCCCGCCCATCTCCGAAGTGCTGGCTCAGCTGCGGCACCTGGAGGATGAGGTCCAGAAACTTCGTACTCATCCTCCGGCGGCGGATTCCGGGTCAGCTGCCAGCTCCTCCCCACTGGGATTCCCCGCCGAACGTGGTCCGGTGGGCCCCAGCAACCAGGAGGGCCGTCTGGTGATCAAGGAGAACAAGAGTCGATACATTGGCGATGAGGCCTCTGCCGTCTTGGGGGATAAGGTCCGATTGCTTCATTATTTTGAAATCATGACTGACGGGTGGTGCTAGATTCGAGAACTGCAGGACATCTGCGACGGATCGTCTTCCGATGATGAGTCTGATGTCCCGGAGCTGACAAGCCTGCAATTCGTGGGCGCGCTGGGCGGCAACTGGCGAGATCATAGCTTGCGAGACAACTATCTTCAGCCCGCCCGAATCCAACTCTTATGGCGTGTGTACCAAAACAATGTCGCCCCGCTTATCGCCGTTCTTCACACGCCGTCGGTCGAGGTCATGGTTCGTCAGGAAGCCGACAACATTAATCCCGATCCTGCCCGGGAGGCCTTGATTCTCGCGGTGTGCTTTGCGGCCATTGTTTCCCTGCCCCCGGACCAGTGTCCGGCGATACTAGGTCTAGATTACGACCGAGCCCTCCAGAGCTACCGACGCGGTGTCGACCAAGCTTTGGTTCGAGCCAACTTTATCAAGTCTCAGAACATCTGCGTGCTTCAAGCTGCCGTGGTCTTTTTGCTCAGTCTGCGTTACAGAAGCGACTCCAGACTGGTGTGGGCTGCGTCGGGAGTAGTTGTCCGAGTTGCTCAAGGGCAAGGGGTCCATCGAGATGGCCAGGCTCTAGGACTGAGCCCGTTTGACGCCGAAATGCGACGCAGGCTGTGGTGGCACATTTGCGTACTCGATATGATTTCCTCGGAAGACCAAGGAACCGACACTCAAATTCATCCGGGGATGTTTGACACGCGCCTTCCCTCCAATATTGACGTGCGGGACCTGTCGCCATCCCTGACTGAGTTACCACCGGAGAGAATCGGTGCGACGGATATTACACTGGCCATTGTCCAGTGTGAGATCATCTCCAAACTCCACTGGTCCAATCGATCTTATGATGCGAATGACCCGGCATCTACGAGTGATCGCGAAACAATAGTAACCACATTGGCAAATGCTCTTGAGGAGCGATATTTGCAACATTTGAACATGGATGTCCCGATCGAATGGGTCTATGCAATGATTGTCCGACTGACTTTGTCGAAGATCTGGCTGTCAGTCCATTACAGAGATCTGGCCGGTATGGGACAGACGGGGTTGTCGCAAGAGGCCTGTGATGACGCGTTCGAGGCTGCCATTGAAACAGTCAAATTTACCATTCTGTTACACACGAACGAGACCACGTCACAATGGGCATGGCTGTGCAAGAGCTACAAGCAATGGCATCCGGTTGCATTCATCCTGGCCGAGTTGTGCACCCGCCCGATCACGGTGCAGACAAATCATGCCTGGGATATGGTGACGGAAATCCATGGCCAGTGGGAGCAGGATGAATCGCAAACGAGCATTATGCTTCGAAAGCCGTTGAAGCGACTGATGGAGCGGGCGGCTGTAGCCAGGGCTGCCAAGATGGAGGTGTCTCCATCACTTGGGACTCTGCATACAGCTATTGATCCCGCTTTAGAAAGTTCGATTCCCATTGGACCGGAGACTGGAATTAAATCAGATATGTATTCAATCGATGAGTTTGGTATCTCAGGCATGAACTGGATCTGGGAGCCACTAATGTGATGCCTGTGGGCAATGCTGCGACGTGGCAGGGATGGTACGCATGCTAGACCATGTACTTGAGGTGCTGTCTTAATGGAATCTTCTAGGATGCAGTTTCATAATGGTAACGGAGATGTTTGGGAGGTGTCTCCCGACAGTCGGGGTGGATTCTCGGGCTTGATCTCAACCCCGAAAGCTTGTCATTTGTAAGAAGGTTACTAACTTCGGCGTGGCACAAGACCGATTTGCGAGATAGCTGTCACCCTACGAATGTATAGACACTGTTTCCATGGGATTCATCATTGTTTCCAGATTGGTATCCCGGATCGGCAGATCCCAAGGATCAGTAAGAGAATAGGGTGATCTGCATCGCGGGTGTGGCGTAACTTACGCAAATATCAGGAGACCTGCCAGGACAGGATTGAGTATACCAGCAAGTCTACAGGAATACATCAATCGAAGGTTCTCTTCCAATCACAATGTCCAAGATCGTCACTGTCTTCGGTGCCACTGGCCACCAGGGTGGTTGTGTTATTCGCACCATCCTCAACGACCTCGACCTGTCGAAGGAGTTTAAGATTCGGGGTGTCACTCGTGATGCCTCCAAGCCGGAAGCTCAAGCCTTGGCCAAGCAAGGCATTGGGATCACCACTGTAAGCCCATACTCACTGTTTGCGGTATTCATCTAACTTCCCAGGCCGACATGAACTCCAAAGACTCGCTCCGACAAGCCCTGCAGAACAGCCACTCCGTGTTCCTTGTGACAACTCCTGCCTGGGGCACTGCTGGCTCCGACGCAGAACTAGTCCACGGCAAGAACGTTGTCGACGTGGCCAAGGAGGCTGGTGTTGAGCACTTAATTTTCTCTTCCCTCCTGCATGTCACCGGGACGACGGCTGGCCGCCTCAAGCATGTCCCTCACTTTGATCAGAAGGCCGAGGTGGAGCGGTATATTCGCTCCCTGGGTGTGCCGGCCACCTTTGTTCTCCGTGAATATTTCATGACCAACTACTCCATGATTGGCTTCATCTGGAAGGGCGAGAATGGGATCTGGACGCTTGCTTATCCCGTTGGAAAGGAGGCCAAGTTCCCGCTCATTGATATTTCGGCGGATATGGGTACGTCTGACCTTGAACATGGAATGTGTAGCCGACTAACACGTATGTATAGGTAAATATGTGGCCGCGTCTTTGAGGAATCGGTCTGCTACACCTGGTACTCAGCTCCTGGGTGCGGAAGATTACTACACTCCTACTCGCATTCTGGAAGAGTTCGAGCAGGTTACCGGAAACAAGACTCAGTTTGTTCTGGTCGATCCTGAAACATACAAGAGCTTTATCCCGGGTCCGATGGGACAGGAGATGCTGGAGAACCATCTGTTCATTGAAAGTCCGGGATACTTTAACGGAAAGAGTCTCGAGGAAAGCAAGGAGTTGGTGGCCAATGCTAGATACAAGCTTACGACCTGGAAGGAGTTTTTGGAGCAGAACAAGAACTTGTTTGCATGGCCTGGCATTGAGGTTAAGATGATGCTAGACGGAGGTAGAGTAGAAATAGTAACAAATAATTTAAATCTATACCAGATATGCAATTTCCACATATTATCACGTTATCACATGCACTAGTCAAACTGCCATCTCGACTAATAATCAAATGCAGCTAGGGCAATCTGCCAGACATGGTCCCGGTCGGGCTTTCTCCACGACAGATCGCGCCATTCGATTACGACGCCAGTACTGAGAACAGGCCGATCTAGGAATCATTTAGTCTAGGAGGCTTGGCGAGCCCAGCTAGCGCACCGGCCCAGGATGTACAGAGCACGCCTTCGCATCCCGCTTTGATGCCATGGATGCATATCGCCGAGATAAGAATCAACGTTCTTTCCTCGCACGTACGAATACCTTTTCGTCTGCTGCATTCTCAAACCATTGCCAAGTTCTTTTTCCGTCTGTCACTGCCTTGAGCGACCGGAAATGGATACTTCCGGGATTAACACCAAGGCAGGGGCCATTGATAGTATCAATTCTATCGATGAACACCCAATAGAAGACATCCGTCCTGAAGATGAACGAGCGCTGGTATTTTTCCTCCTCATCTATGCTCACAAGTTGCTTGAGAATTAACGGGGCTAGGTATGGCGACTCGATTGCTTTTTCCTCGTCGTGGGGTTCCTAGGATATGCGTTTAAGTATCTTGATCAGACGAATATTGTGAGTATATTTTCTGTGTGTGTATGATATGAGGTGGTAACTGATTCTTTGCAGAGTAATGCCTATGTCTCTGGCATGGAAGATGATTTGAAGCTTTATGGGAATGAGTATAATTATTTTACTACTTTTTTTAAGTAAGTGAATCCTAGGAACATGGATGGATGGGTGAATGCTGATGTATGTTAATAGTATCGGGTATATGGTTATGTTGTACCCTTCGTGCATAATTATCTCTCATGTTGGGCCTTCGGTTTGGTTGCCTACTTGTGAGGTGAGTTTGTCTGATGGGTATGAGTGAGTGAGTGGCTGATGAGGGACAGGTCCTGTGGGGGATTCTCACGTGTTGTTTGTCGACGGTTACGTCGGCGAAGCAGGTATGTATCTGCATGTTTTAGTCGGTGGTTGCTTAAGGCTAAGTCGGTAGGTGTATGGTTTGCGGTTCCTGATCGGGTTCTTTGAGGGTGCGACTTGGCCGGGCTATTTTACTATTATCAGGTACGTTGGATAGAGGTAAGGTGGATAAAGGCTAATAGTGACAGTCAATGGTATCTCCCCCATGAGATGGCCTTGCGTATGAGCTTGTATAATATGGCTCAGCCGGTTGGTGCTATGCTTTCTGGGGCTATGCAGGGGGCACTCTCTACTAACCTTGATGGGGCGATGGGGCGGAGTGGTTGGCGATGGGCTTTCATTATCAATGTATGTCATTCTTGTCGCAAGCTGAGATTCATGCTGACTCGATTTGTATAGGGCGTCTGCACGATATTCATTGCTTTAATGGCTTTTGTGGCTTTGCCGGGATTTGTAAGAATATAGATCTCCGATTGAGCCCTGCTAACGAATCCAGCCTGAAAGCCAGAACCCGCTATCGAAAATTTATCTCAAGCCTAGACATATCAGTATGTGCAAATTACCATAATCAGTGAACGTGCTAATTTCAACAGAGACTGCTACCGCGCGCACAAAGCGTGTTGGCCGCAAGCCACAGAGCGGCATCCGAGTGGGAAGCTTCCTACGATGCTTCAAGTTCTGGCATCTATGGCTTTTTGCTAGTACGTGACTGCTACACCCCTAGCACAGGACGTTATCTAATTTTGTCAGTCGCATGGGCAATTGGCACCGGCACTACCCCAACAAGCTACTTCAACCTCTGGCTCAAGTCATTGAAGAACCCTGACGGGACAAAGAAATAGTACGTTTAATCCCTCCCCAGTACGATCATCTCTAATACATACAGTTCCGTCGCCATGCTCGACTACCTCCCCATCATCGGCCAGGCCATCCAACTCGTCGCTGAAATCCTCTTCAGCGGATTCAGTGACTACTTCGGAGTCCGACTGCCCTTCCTACTTCTCCACTCAGTAAACCTATCCCCCACCCCCAATCCCCTATCCAATATTAACAAGAACAGGCCATAAACATCACATCCCTCATAATCCTAGTCATCCAACCCAGCAACGAACACGCCTACATGGCAGGCTGGTACATGGATTACATCGGAGCGTACGTCCCCCCAGACTAACCACAAAAACATCTAGTTAATAACAGCCCAGCGTCTCAACAATGCTCCTCTGCGCCTGGGCAGCCGCACATCTCGAAAAGGAACCAGAGGTCCGAACCGTCCTCTTCGCCACGGGCACGCTCTTCTCGTACCTGTTCAGTGCGTTTCTTCCTATCGCTGCGTATCCGGCGTCTGAGGCTCCTCATTGGCGTATTGGAGCGAAATTGTACCTTGGGCTGTCGTCGTTGGCGACGGTGTTGTTTGTTTGTATTCATTTTGCGTTTAAGTGGGAGGAAAGAAGAAAGGGAAAGAGGAGGGTGGGGGTGAGTGGGGTGGGATAGGTGAGAGGGGAAGTGGAAGTGGTGAGGTGGGTGCGTAGGGTGGGTTTAGAGATGAATGTATGCCTTATTATAGTCCATCTTACTCACTACAAATCCCATAATTAGCGAATGGAATATTCAGTATTAGCACCGTTCTGTCATCACTTGTATTTCGGGATAGTTAATGCGCCCAGTAGATATGTCGTAATGCTCTATCTTAACCCTGGGTTTAACCCCATTCCCAATCCTGGATCCTTCGACGCAGGCACAAAGCTCAACATATTTCCCCTATGGATGGACATTATCCATACCAGTGACCCTGTACAATGGCAGTTTGCCCACTTGTGCATCATTATTCTGATATTCTTTAAAAGGATTCAATATTTGTTACCACACCATGTTACGACATCAAGTCCAGACTCTAGATAGTCGATGATACTGTCAAAAACATGTCCGTTAATCGGAGACTTCGTCAACGGATGATATAAATTAGCTCCTCGTCAGCAATTACGAGTTATTTATTCTGTAGAGATGGGATTAGTCTTCATGGGTAGGGATAATTATACTTACGGTCCTGTGGGTGGTATACTAACTGGTTTGAATGGAGAAATTTGAGGAATGTTATGTAGTGGTACTCGCCGATATCCCTAGCGACGAGAATGTTTTGGCTACGCTCAAGTAGATAAACATGAGAAATGTATCGGCTTGGGATTTATCTATAAGTCCTGTGGCTGAATATCTGATGAATATAATTCACAGACATGAGGTCCTCAATAGATTCAAGATCACTCATCCGTGTACCTATCCACCAACATCTTAAGTATCCCCCGAATAGAACCCCCAATACTCAACCCCTGCGACCATCCCCGGATGGATATTCTCGCGGCGCGAACTTTCCAGAATAGAGAGCCCTGCGATAATCAATTCCCTGGTCTTAATAGTAGGGTATGATTAACTCACATCATAAATCCCCCGTACGTCCTCTTTCCATACCTGGCCTTCTTTGTGGATCAGTAGCCATGTAGTTCCCCATTCGAAGATGGCGGCTCCCCACTGTGGCGTGTCTGTTAGTGATGATTGTGGTTTAGTTGTTATGAGGGGGATACGTACCCCGAAGGGATCTGCCGCACAGCGATTCCCATGCATCATTTGGAATAGTTCCCGGAGAGATAATGCCCCGTCCCCGTCGTGGTCGTATTTGGCGAACATGTTTTCGAAGGATTGTGGGACGAATCGGCCTTCGGGGTCGTAGGTGTTGGAGTCGGATCCGTGCTGTGTTGGTCAGTTGGTATGGTTTCGTGGTGGGTAAATGGGTGCGGGGAGTACCTTGGCTTTATGAATCCCATCTACGTAAACCCTGAACCACGGATCCGGAAGATACGAATGCGCCAAGCGAGTTGGATAGGAAAAGTTCAGGTTAATGATCAACGTGGCTAGGATTGAGAAGAGAATGTTGAATCCCAGTTCGCGGAATCCATTGTATGTGTCCCAAGGATAGATTTGGCCATCGCTATCGCGGTCCCAGAAGAGAATGTGTTGTTGTAATGGGGTCTAAAATAGAATCAATTAGTTTCCTGGCTGTTTCTTGGGGGGAGGGAAGGGCTTACATATTCGCCATATCGCTTGGAATAGTCCTCATCTCCCTCCGGTCGATCAATTGAGGCTGCTGCATTACCGCGAGGGACCCCCGGCTTCTCGATGTAGTCGTTGGTGTAATTGGCAGGCGGGCGCGATTCCGTGGCCGGGCACTTGGGGACGCTGGTGGGAAATCCCATGGAAATGGAAGGCGGTCGGATGGGTTTCTCGTGGTTGGGGTTTTGGGCCTCCGAGAAGGAGACCTTTCGGGGCATGGTGGTGGATGTGAGATCAAACCAATTGAGGGGAATGGATTAAATAGAAGATGGTGGGGTTGGTGTTGATGATGTCGCCACTTTGCCGTGGGAGTCATGGTGAGGTCATCGTTCCCGAGGACGGCCGATCAGGGCAACCCGACGGCATTGTTGCTCGTCTTTCTTAGGTGAAGGTGCCGTGGGATAATTAATTCGAACAATATTAGTGGTCTCTGGTTAATTATAGATCCCACGTGGTTATGCCGCATGCAGATATTCCGTCATCCAAGGTTGTAACCACTATCATTATATATAAACGGGATTAGAGTTGCAAATATCGCTCGAGTAATTGCGTCGTGTTCAGCAACTTGGGATAATGTGGGATGAATATCCGAGCGAAACCTTGAATGGTAAAGCCAAGACTGTGCTGATCAACCGGTTGGCTATGTAAGAAGTCATCTAGACTATCTAGAATGCTGAAGAGGCCGGAACTAGGCTTACCTTCCAACATCCTCCACAAGCATCGGCATGACCACTCGGTTCGATAACCATGGCACCCATTCACTCATCTCAACCAATAAGACAGGCGAAAAGGTCCGTCCCGTAGAAAACCTGACCTTGTAGCGGCCATATCCCTGCGTTGTTGAACTCAATCAAGGCTGTTTCATCATGAGGGACCAACCTGCACAAGCGCCACCCCAAGGGCGGACAAACGATATATGGTTCTTGCACGCTCGCTGCCATGTTCGACAGACCAGCCCAATTCACATGCCATTGTTCAGATTAGTCTAGCATTATATTTTCGGCTAGTGGCAGTTTATTCCACGGAAGCCATCCACCATGCCCAGTTCAACTCATTGGATGAATACCTCTGGCGAATCCGACCCGGTCTGGGTTCACCACGTGCCCTACGACAAATATCCCCACTTCCCCCCACTGACGGAAAACATGACAACAGACGTTTGCATCGTGGGCGCAGGTATTGCGGGCATCTCGATCGCCTATGAGCTGGTCAATCGGGGTAAGAAAGTCACCATGATCGAGGCGCGTCAGGTCTTGTCAGGGGAAACCGGACGAACTGCCGGCCATCTCTCTACTGCGCTGGATGATGGATATGCGATGATTGAAAAGGAACACGGGTTTAACGGTGCCCGGATTGCGGCAGAGAGTCATGCCTGGGCCATTGAACGGGTCGGACAAATCTGCAAGTCCATTGGCATTGATTGTGACTATCGTCGGCTCCCAGGGTATGAGATATCGCCATATCCCCGTGGTCATCCCAGTTATCACGCACATGTGGCCAGGCTGAAACAGGAAGTCAAACTGGCGAGGACGCTCGGCCTCCCTGCTACGTTTCATCATGATCTTACCGTCCAAGGCTGGAACGGCAGCCTCGATCATGGAGAGGGTGCCAAGTTCGCAGACCAGGCCACCTTTCATCCCACCAGATATTGCGTCGGGGTTCTGGATTGGCTCCGGAAGCAGTCGAATTTCCACTGCTTTGCCCACACCCGGATGATGTCCATGCACGAGAGCGAGGTTGTAGAGGTCCACACCAAAGGTGGATATACCATTACTGCAGCAGACATGGTCGAGGCAACCTGTATACCGCTGCAGAGGCTCGGGGTGGCCGCAGAAATGCAGTCCATGCGTACATACTGCATCGCCATTCGGATTCCTAAAGGCTCCATCGAAGATTGCCTGATTGGCGCAGGACCGTACCGGTATGCTCGATGTACCCAGTGCGACGACAAGGAGGACTATCTGGTGCTTGGAGGATGCGATCATAAGGTCGGCCTGGAAAATACTCGCGGTCGCTTCGCCCAGCTCGAGACCTGGGCGCGTGAGCGGTTCACCAATGCTGGGACGGTCGACTATAAATGGAGTGGGCAGGTCTTTGAGCCCTCCGACTGCATGGCATGCATTGGCAAGGATCCGGGCCAACACCATACCTACATCATCACAGGAGACAGCGGCAACGGGCTCACGCACGGGGTGCTGGCCGGCAAAATGATTGCTGATGAGATCGAAGGCGTGGATAACCCCTGGGCGAGTCTATATAACCCCGACCGTACCATCCAGGCCAGCTCTGTGCCACGATTACTGCAGCATGCGGTTACTCATTATCAAGGTTGGGTGCAGCCTGACGTGAAGGACATTGAAGATCTCGCCGTGGGTTCTGGTGGTGTTATCAAGGAAGACCCATTGGCACCTGTTGCCGTGTATAAGGACGAGGAAGGAAACGCGCATCGGTTTAGTGCCGTCTGTCCCCATTCAAGAGCGGTGTTGAACTGGAATCAGACGGAGAAGAGCTGGGATTGTCCGGTCCACGGCAGTCGGTTCAGCTGCGACGGGGTTTGTGTGCAGGGGCCTTCCAAGTCAAACCTGACGCCAATAAATGACCTTGCAAAGCGAGAGCAGCGGGCACAGGAAGCTATTTAGGCAGCTGCCAACGTTCAAGGAGGGGTCATATTCCACATTGAAAAATGGGATCGGCTGGGCATGTCCCGAGTTGGGCAAGGGTACGAGTACGAGTCTCCAATTGCCCCAATCGGTATACGCAACGAGAAAGAGGCCAAGTCTATCCCAGCCACGCGTGCAAAGTTGGGGTTCAGGGACCGATTGCTCACTCTAATCTCGTATATCGCGACCCTTGCCAGATCCATCGCTCGCATGAATCACATAAAAGCATAGGCCCACCCTGGGTAAGTCTCTGGGCCTGCCTCAGATATCCCCTTCAGTCTTTCTTGTTGTTTGAATTGCACAGCACACCATGGAGTTCATTCTCTATTACTATACGCCCTCGGCAGCAGCAGCAGGCATCTTTGTCGTCCTGTTCGGCATCAGCACCATCCTGCACTTCTACCAGCTGGTGCGGACCCGATCATGGTTCATGATTCCCTTTTTCATTGGAGGCATCTGTCAGTTCCCTTGTATCGCAGCAAACGAGAATGCACTAACCTCTGCACCCACAGTGGAAACCATCGGATATGTTGGCCGTTTGCTCTCGGCGATGCAAAGCCCCAACTACAGCACGGGCGCATATGCCATGCAGAGCTCTCTGATCCTCATCGCCCCCGCCTTCCTCGCCGCTAGCATCTACATGACCCTCGGTCGCATCATCTCGATGCTCAAGGCTGAACCATACTCGGTGATCCGGTTGAGGTGGCTGACAAAGATCTTTGTGACTGGGGATGTCTTGTCATTCCTGATGCAGGCATCTGGTGCGTTTTGTTGATCCCCTCCGCGTACCCTGACTAACAGTATCAGGCGCTGGTCTCATGGTCACTAGTTCGAGTGATCCCACGACCGGCGAGCACATCATCATTGGCGGTCTCTTTGTTCAAATCATCTTCTTCGGCTTCTTTATCATCACTGCTGTCCTTTTCCAGATTCGCCTAGGAAAAAGCCCGACCGGGGCGTCCGTGGAACTCTCGCAGGTGTGGCGTCGACACATGACTGCTCTGTACGTCTCCAGCATCCTCATCTTCATCCGGTCTGTCGTGCGTGTGGTGGAATATCTGCAAGGATACAGTGGGTATCTGATGAAGCATGAAATCTTCATCTATGTGTTCGATGCGTTGTTGATGTTTGCGGCGATGGGGGTGCTCCAGCTCATCCACCCCAGTCAGATCAACTGCTACCTAGGACGGGGGACCCGGTACTCGGACCAGGTGGTCAAGACGTGCAAATTTGTCCCAGTGCCGATGGACATACAGGTGCCATTGGATGCTTAGCAGCCTACTCAGTTCGGTTAGCTAATTATGAATGATACGGAGTCTTGCGTTCGCTCCTCCCTATATAGCTTTGCAATGTAGCCCATGGTGTTATGATGCTGATGCTGCAGTGTATGGCAAGTTCTCAATCGATAATGAGGTCCTGACCCATCCACGTTTGGTCATCCTCGCGATGCCAGCTCCTTAGTTTAACCTTGACCCTTCACCTGAAGCAAGTGAAGAATGGCCCTAGAGAATAGCGGGCCAGCTAGTGCCCATTTCAGCCAGTCTGGCATTGGCGGTGAGCTTGGCCAGCAACGAGGTTTCACGACGCGTAGGGAGAAGTCTTTTTGACCTTGTTCTATGGTGGTATGATGCCGGTCTTCCGTTCCCCACGACTGTTTACCACTGATCCATGTTAGCGACCTACCAAGCACTGAGCTAGCAAGGCTTGGCAGAGCACGATCCCTGGACACCTCGGACAACTCCGTTGGCCTCTGAAGGTAACATCAGGCCATTTTTGAAAGCCCGTGGGTTTGTACAGATGTGGAAAATGGGATACTGCCATGTTGTGGACCCTATCTCTGGCCCCATCCGCCACATTCCTGGCCCCATTGGCCGAAACGCTGCTAGCCCTGCAGGCCACCCTCGTTCTTCCGAGTCAGGGGTAGGCCACGGAGATCGGGGTAGGGTTCTGATTTTATGTTGGTTTCCACTCTGGCAATTCGAAGGGGTTATTGGAAAAATAAAGAGCCAGTTTGTACGATGCAGGAGCAGACTCCCCGGCATGATACTCAATGGCATGGTAGGGCCCTTCCCGGGAGGCACATTTGCCGGAAAGAATAGCCGGGGGAAGGGCCTTATCTGCAGTCTGCTTATCTGGCAGGATCCATCGTGTCCACCCAAAAATAGCCCGCCTGAAAGCACTCCAGCAAGCAGCAACCGCTCATGGCACGTGGGCCGGCATTACCCCGAGCTGAGAAACTAGCCCAACGGCTTCATCCTGCGAACTCTAGTCTTATTGTCCTTATCATGATGAAAGGATAGATGTCCTCCAATTTCCGGAATAGGAAATTGCTCTATTCCCGTGGCTGCGAGGGTTCTTTCTTCTGAAACATCAGTGTATGCTAATGACTTTATGCCCCGGTGCTGGATTCCATGTATATCCTAGCGGGCGTCCCGGATGAGCAGAGGGATATATAGTTCTTGGTTGGGGCCGATCACCCGCGTGCTGACCACTCGCATGGAGCAGGCATCCAGGACTCCTCGTGTTCATACCATAAGCGGAAATCTCTACGATCCAGCTCGGACGAACAATGAGATGGGGGCCACCGAGCCCTACCAAATCTGTAAAGGAGGTCGGGCCCAAGATGGATCCGACTTGCCTGTTAGGGCTTCGGACCCCATCTTCCTGGTCGAGGCTTGTCTCAGAGCGTTCCGGACACGATGAAACTGGGCTTCGAAGTCCATGCCGTCCTTTCCAAACTGTTACATGAAATGGCAAAGCAGATGAGCCTAAATTATCTACGCAATATGGAACTTCCCATACGTGATGGTCAAAAGGTGGGGATTCTCGCAACAGATGTGGCGATAATGAAAACGGACTGAGCTGAAGCAATAAGCACTAGCACCTGTAGATCAAGGCGACCAAACTACCCCTACCTGGGGGTCAGCATGCAAAGAATCCTGCAGGCCTAGCTTGAAGCCTGCGACCATTCCTCTTGTAGTAAATCCCTCAATCAAGTACATGCTTCAAAGAGATATCCAAATATGGGAGATGCCCCAGCATAACTATATAAATGCACTTGATTCCCAGCTCTACTCGAAGAACCAGACCTACCAAGCTTTTACATTTCTTCCTCACTCTTCAATTACCCCATTGCAAAATGAGCACCAAGATTCTTAAAGGACTCGCCCTCGCCGGCCTCGTCTCGGCAGCCGCAGCTTGCTCGACCAAGTCCGACGTCGAGATCACCTTCTACGGATATCCCGACAACGACCCTCCCAGTGCGGATATCGCATACGACTGTGGTCGTGGCTACACCGCTGGGGGTATGCCTCTAAACCTGGACAGTTCTGCAGTTAGCTAATGGTGACTAGGTACTGGCACCCACAGCGACCCCCTGACCTTTGCTTCGGCCCCTGGCGAGTTCACCAAGTGCGAGATCATCTACCTCCCTTATCTTCGCAAGTACCTCCGCTTCGAGGATACCTGCGCGCAGTGCAGTACGTCTTTCCATACATACACGCCTACCCCGTTACTAACGACCCAGCTTCCGACTACGAGAATGGCAAGCGTCACATCGATATCTGGACTGGATCTACCACTTCCAATGGCGGCGACGCGCAGATCGACTGCGAGGATGATCTGACCCCTGATGACTCTCAGACTATTATCATTGATCCGTCTAGCTCCCTGACTGTCAACAGTACGTTCACCTCCCAAAGTCGAGGGACCACAACTAACCCATTGTCTAGCCGGCAAGCTGTTCTCTGATGGATCCTGCCACACCTCCAATACCTACACCGATGCCGATGCCTCGAGCTACTGCAGCTCTGGCTCGTCTAGCTCCGGTTCTGGCTCTTCCTCGTCCTGCGAATGGGAAGGCCACTGTGCTGGTAAGACCCTTTGTGACTGTGCTCTACGTTACACTAACTCTGCTTCAGGTGCCTCTTGTTCGAATGAGAATGACTGCTCTGGCGACCTGACTTGCAAGAGTGGCAAGTGCGCTTGAGTGCTGCCATCCTATGCTTAGGACCGGTTAGATATTTAACGACATCTACCGTGGGCATATGGGCCTCTATTGGGGTGTGTATGTATATATAGTCGGTGTATACATGTATAAAGCTCCCTTAGCTACCTTAGAATTGGACGATACTATTCAACTGTGCTAGTAGCGCACGGTGATGACGGCAAGATCCAGCTACTCTGTACAACACGGTCATCCCGCCAAGTGATCCAAACCCCATATTTCATGGAACGGACCCTTTTTGCAGTCGGGTTAATCACATGTCACCCCACTGCCAGTTTCCATACCTCAATCCCTCCAACAGGACATGTTGCCCCCCAAGCACCTCCTGGTTTGAACTGTAGTAATTGACAAGCTAGACCGATCTTGCGAGCTTCTTCGGGATCAAGATCTGGCCACGGAAGCTGCATATTTCGGTGCCTGTCCCTCTCATGGCTGAGTATCTGAGAGCTGGCGATGCAATGGAGTAGCATCACGGCATGTTGTTGCAATCGAAGGGAGGGAAATCGACCCGTCAAGGGCGGGTACAACATGTTTAGTTGCCGAGAGGCAACAAAGGGTGGCAGGTCTTAGCATGCCGGTGGTCAATCACCCGAATGCTGACAAGATCATGTCTCATATGTTGGCCATTGCAGGAGCGCAGCGCTGTATACCGGTACCCGGTTAATATAGATATGCGCTTTGATCCGCCCCTTCTTTATATTATTATACTCCGTGATGATGCCCTTACTGTCTATCTCAGCATATCTTCCCCTCTTTCTCGGGATCGTTTCTGGCACCAGTCATTCCCATGCTACCCACGACCAAGCCCGCGACGTCGACGTAATCCGACGCGATGTTTGCATCATTGGCGGCGGTGCCGCTGGCACTTATGCGGCCATGAGTCTGCGACAACTCAACCAGAGCGTGGTGGTGGTGGAAAAGACTGGCCGTCTAGGAGGCCACACCATCACCTACATTGACCCAGCCACCGGCACGCCGGTTGACTTTGGCGTCACCCTGTTTGAAGATTCCCCCGAGACCGTTGACTTCTTTACCCAGTTCGACGTGCCAGTCACCAAGGCCATGCATCATGGTGACCGAATCGCACGGATTGACTTTCAGACCGGAGAAATTGTGGAGCCATACCCCGGGAATATAACCGACGCACTGGAGCGCTATGGCGAGATTCTTCAGCAATATCCTTATCTAGCTGCGGGCTGGAGTCTGCCGGATGAGGTACCCGAGGATCTGGTGATGCCGTTTGGCCAATTTGTCGAAAAGTATGATCTGGGCGCTGCCGTCGAGCTCATCAGTATATATAGTCAAGGGGGGCGCCATTGGCTAAATCATCCCACGGTGTATATGATGAAATCCGTGTCATTAGCCATGTTGGATGCCTTTGAAACGGGATTTCTGTGCACAGCGCGACATAACAATGGGGAAGTGTTCGACGCTGCGTTAGATGAGCTCGGAGAAGATGTGTTGCTGCATAGCGTGGTGGTGAACGCGTCTCGCTCGCACGATGAGACTCATTTGCTGACGGTTCAATCGTCGGATGGGGAGATCACCATCATTGAGGCGGATGCGACGATTGTGGCTGTTCCCCCGAGGCGGCAGGTGCTGGCAGGGCTGGATGTGGATGAAACCGAGTCGCAGCTGTTCGACCAATTCCTCCACGGGCATTACTATGCGGGCCTGGTGCGGGTGGACGGGTACCCGAAGGGGCTTCAGATCGTCAATCGCGGGGCTAACACGGCATATACTCTCCCCTCGCTACCATGTACTTTTGGGATTAATCCCACCGCGGTGGCTGATATTGTGATGGTCAGCTACGGCAGTGAGAAGGCGATGACGGAGGAGGACGTCAAAGCAGCCATCACGGAGGACCTTCTCGGGCTGAATGACGCTGGCTATGATCTGAGCGACCCCGAATTGGTCGCCTTTGCGGATCACTCTCCTTTTCAGATGTCGGTCAGCAGCGAGGCCATTGAGGCGGGCTTCCATCAGGATCTGAATCACCTGCAGGGGTACCGGAATACGTACTATATTGGAGGGACGTACGAACATCCGTGGTCGTCGGCGATCTGGCGGGGGGTGGATCAGCTGCTGCCGTCCATCATCGAGGGAGCCTTGGCGAGAAAGTTGTAGCTATCCCACTGGCAAGATTAATCGCATCTTCACCTTCACATCTCCACTCGAGTCATTGGCCGATAACGTATCAACCCTATGATTATCAGATAGGGCACGGCAGCTTATTGGACGGCGGGCCGGTTGCAGGCCTGATATCGGCGATAAGGCGGGGCTGATCCGCTGCAGCCCTCGCATCCAGCCTTTAAAACTCCTCGCGTAGACCCATCCATGGTTGACTTTATCCCAGTCGTGCCTTTGTTTTAGGATTGCTGTCATGAATGCCGTTGTACCTTCTGCCTCTGGTGAGAACCGCCCGGATGATAGCCCGGAGGTTGACCCCGCGCGGGTGTTACGCAAGGTGGATCGGCGCCTGTTGCCACTGCTCTTCTTTACGTATCTCCTCAACTTTATGGACAAGAGCATCCTGTCGAGTGCGTCTGTGTTTGGACTGATCGAGGATACGGTAAGTGTCTGGTTGTTTCTGAAAATTGGGCAACTCACTAATACATGTAACAGCACCTGGTCGGCCAGCAATACAGTTGGGTGTCGAGTATCTTCTACTTCGGGTATTTCTTCTGGGAATGGGTGCGACCGTCTCCGCTCTTCTACTTGAGACCCAAGCGCTGACCGATATCTAGCCCACCAACTTGCTAATCCCCCGTCTGCCCGTCGCCAAATACCTGGCCATCAACACCCTGTTCTGGGGCGCGGTGGTGGCCCTCACCGCCGCTTGCACCAATTATGGCGGGCTGCTGGCGGTGCGCTTCCTGCTGGGGGTGGCCGAAGCCACCATCACGCCCGCCTTCATGTTCATCACCACGACGTGGTACACCCGCGATGAGATTCCCCTTCGCACGGGTGTTTGGTTTTCAGGTAACTCTGTGGGTGGCCTCGTCGCCAGTCTGTTAGCCTACGGAATCGGACACATCGACCATCCTTTGAGTCCGTGGATGTGGATGTTCATCATCCTCGGAGTTGCCACCTTTCTGTGGGGGTTTGTCCTCTGGGCCCTACTCCCCGATAGCATCTCCAGCGCCAAATTCCTCACCCCCGAGGAACGCGACTTCATGGCCCATCGCGCCATGGTGGCGGGTACCGGTCGGACGGAGAAGACCACCTGGAAATGGTCGCAATTTGTGGAATGTCTCTGCGACCCCAAGACGTGGCACTTGTTTGCCCTGGCCGTGCTGACCCAGATCCCCAACGGTGGCACCCAGAATTTCGGCAACCTGGTCATCAAATCGTTTGGATTCACCTCCTTGCAGTCGACCCTGATTGTCATCCCGGCCAGTGTGATCAGCGCAGGCACGATTGCCTTGACCGGCTGGCTAGCCAGTAAATCCCGGCAGATGAATTGCATCCTGATTGTGTGTATCGTGGCGGTGTCTATCACAGGGAGCGCCATCATTTACGCGCGGGCGCACCACGTCCCCCTGGGCGCCCAGCTGTTCGGCTACTTTCTGCTGTCGACGGGCCCAGGCGCGCTCCCGCTGATCATGTCCCTCCTGCAGGCCAATTATCGTGGTGTCACCAAAAAAATGACCATCACCACCTTGATGTTTGTGGCGTATTGTGCGGGCAACATTGCGGGGCCACAGTTCTTCAAGTCCAGCGAGGCCCCGCTGTATGAGACTTCCTTCCGGGCCATCTTGATCTGCTATATTATTTCGGCTGCGTTGGCAGTATCCTTGCGGTGTTATCTGCAGTGGTTCAATGCGAAACGCGATCGGGAGGAATGTATCCAGGGCAACGCCGGACTGGCGGGGGCTGTCGGAGGCAAGATGGTGGATGAGCGACGGGATGGGGCCAATGTGTCGGTGCTGGTGCAGTCGGTCGAATTGCAGGCAGAGGACTATGAAGATGCGACCGACTGGAATACGGTGGGCTTTCGCTATCGTCTGTAGCATACCAGCTACCATCCATGATTCATGACCCGCTCTATACGTTCACTGGCCTATACCTTCACTAATTTACCTCTCTGTACCAATGTGGTCGAACCCTAAGAACCGCCCAGCTGGTGTAGTTCTGCTTGCTCCTTCTCAATCACCTCTTTCCTTTCTGGTCTGCTGTGTCTAGTGTCTCCCCTCACATCGCATCTCTGACCTCCTTGTCTTTGCTTTCTCCACCATGTCCCCTATTCTCTATCACCTTCCTATTCATATCTTATGTCCCTCGAGATGTCAACCGAAGAACCCGTCACCTATGATATTATGGCTGATCTCCCTGAAAACCATTTCGGCACCAGCTGGACCACTCCCCGCGCTCTCGAAGCTCTCGTGTACCACATCACGCTAGCCCCGGGCTTCGTAGGTCAAATCCTCCAAGTGGACAATCTCACCCCCGAAGGCCAGAACTACATAGCCAGCGGCGCCCTGCCGGACCAGCAATCATTTGTCATCGACGGGACTACCGCCATTCTCCGGCTCGTCCGCTGGGAGTGCTACCGGGCCGCACGACATCTCGTCCACGAGATATTTCGCCAGCCTTGTGCGGCCCACGCGGGAATGGCCACCACCAACGGGCGCTTCCTCTCTGATTTTACTTTCCGGGGCTCGGTCGACTCCCTCAAGCAGCCGAGCCGATGCTACTTGGCCCCTCATCCAATCACCAGCACACATGTTGACCAGATGTGGCCAAGCTTCGTCGTGGAAACCGGGGTGGAGGGATGGCTGGGCATGCTACGCCATGACGTGGACTGGTGGTTCCAACACTCCAACGGACGAACTCAGACGGTGATGCTCTTGATTGTCCACCCCATGCTGAGAAACGTCTATGTCGAAAGCTGGCAGCTCGGCGACATGCCAAGGCCGACCCGGGTTATTGACAGGTACATCCATACCGTTCAGTTTGGGGAAGGCCATCCTCTTCGGTTCGACACTCAGAGGTTAATGGGGTTCAACCTGGCCGAATGTCCGGCATTTACGGTCGAGTGGGACGATTTGACGGATTGTGCGCACCGGATCTTTGCTCTTTCATAAGGCCATGTCTCTTGATCTGTATCTCGATTGAGGTGAGATGCGAGGATGGGTTAATTAGTTGCTAGACTAGATATCTATTCATAATGGGACGGACTTGCTAGTTACCATTCTTCCTGCTTCTCCTGCGTCATACCTTGCAGTATATCTGTGGTTAACCCTGGAATGCCACCGGCTGCGGAGATGATCGGCGGTGGCACCCGCGTGCAGTCCGGCCCATTTCCATCGTAGTCACTTCAGCGGTGCTGCCAATTGTTGGACAGTATCTGTGCCACCTGCAAACAACCGAGATTGCCCGGTTATTCAAGGGTATCGCAGTTACTGAATACCCTTCACCTGTTCCTACTTAACCATGCTGGCTCTCATGCTGATGCGCCTGTCCTGACTTGGCATTTTTCAGAACATACAAACCGCCATCATGAAGCTCATCCAGAGGTCATGGTTACTATCTACCCTTGTAGCCAGTGCCGTTTATGCGTTCCCGCAAGACCGCATCTCAACCGTGGTCAAGCGCGGTATCGAGTACACTGTCTTCCACCATGCAGCCACAGGAGCAACGCTGGAAATTGTAGAGAACTCAGGCATCTGTGAAACCACGCCAGGAGTCAACCAGTACTCCGGATACCTCTCTGTCGGAGAGGACATGAACATGTTCTTCTGGTATGTCCTGACAGTACCCTCCCAACACCAACTCACATCAAACAACAGGTTCTTTGAATCACGCTATGACCCTTACGCAGCCCCTCTAACAGCCTGGTTCAACGGCGGACCCGGCTGCTCATCCATGATCGGTCTCTTCCAAGAACACGGTCCATGTCGCTTCATCGACAATCAGACCACCCCCTCCATCAACCCCTACAGCTGGAACACCCACTCCAACATGCTCTACATCGACCAGCCCATCGGCGTGGGCTTCTCCTACGGCAACGACACAGTCAATAGCACCGTCACCGCCGCCCCATATGTCTGGAAACTCATCCAAGCATTCTATGCCCACTTTCCAGATTACCAGAGTCGTGACTTTAATCTATTCACAGAAGTATCCCTCCCTCCCTCCCTCCCTCCCTCTCTCCCTCCTAATCAACCAACCAACCAACTAACTCAATAAGTCCTACGGCGGCCACTACGGCCCCGAATTCGCCCACTACATCCAAGCCCAAAACACCGCCATCACCAACGGCCACATCATCGGCGAACCCATCAACCTCGTCTCCCTCGGTATCAACAACGGGTGGTTCGACTCTACCATTCAAGAAAAATCCTACATCACCTACGCTTTGGATAACCCCTACCGGGCCTTGATCAACACCTCCGCCGGAGAAAAATACTACCACGACTACGAAACCATCTGTCTCCCTGCCCTAGAGAACTGCACTATCCTCGCTACAGACCCAGCCTGTCGTATTGCGGCGAACACCTGTGCCGATGTTGTCGAGGATCCGATCCTCAGCACAGGGGACTGGAACGTATACGATATTCGTCGGCCGGCGAATGATCCCTACCCGCCTGAAACATACGTTGAGTATTTGAAGAATGAGACTGTTATGAAAGCTATCGGTGCGAGGGTTACGTATGCGGAGTGTCCGGATGGACCGTATGATAAATTCGCCTCGACGGGTGACTGTACATGACCCACCCCCCCCTCTCTCTCTCTAAACCCCTATATTCCCCCCTCCTTTGGAAAATAACACTAACAACAAACCAAAAAAAAAAACCAGTAACCCGTTCTTTCCTAACCACCTTCTCCACAATCGTGACCTCCGGAATCAACATCCTCCTCTGGGCCGGCGACGCAGACTGGATCTGCAACTGGCTCGGTGTACACGAAGTCGCTAACGCCGTGGATTTCCCGGGACGGAGAGAATTCCAGGATACCCCGTTACAACCGTATACTGTTGATGGTGTGGAAAGGGGGATGTTTAAGTCTGTGGGGAATTTTTCCCTCCTGAGGGTGTATGACGCCGGGCATGAGGTGCCTTATTATCGTGAGTTTGGCCCCATGGTTTCTGGTGGGGTTGAAGGGCTGGTTAGGTTTGGGTTTGGGTTTGGCTAATGTTTGGTTGGTGGGGTGGGTGTGTGTAGAACCGAAAATGGCGTTGCAGGTGTTTGGGCAGGTTTTGAGGGGGGAGGGGGTTTATTCGACTTAGAGTACTTACTGCTTAGTGCTTGGTACTTGGGGTTTGATTGGGATTTGTGGGATGGGATCTGGTGGTCACGATGGAGATGGATGATTGCGACTGTGGGATGGGGGTAAGTATGTTTCGGGGTGGGTTGATCGATGGGGATGGATAGATTGTTGATATTATCGCAATGAAAGATATGATATTATGTTTGGATTTGGGTTACTTGCGCGGTGCATGTGGTTGGTTGGTTGTAAGTAGACAGCCGGTGGTAAGCGCGATTAATCCTTCAGCCTAGAGCCCTTACTCCGGAGCAGGGATTGTGAGTAGGGAGATGGGGTTGAGGATATGCAAGGTAGGATATATTCCAGGCAACAGGATATATTGGCCATTCAGAGTCAATGGTAGCATCGCCGTGATCGGGAGGAGGAAAGGGTGACATTCCGCGCTACGAGGGAGTCTTGGCCCGCTGATAAGCATATGGTATTAGATGCTATATAATGCTCGTGGATCGTCAGGTAGATGTCAAACTATTCCCATCATTTTCTGAAATGGATGCAGTGCGTGCTTGTTCCTTCTTTACTGTTGTTTTCTTGGTGTGGTCTTCGTGTGCTTCGTTCGTAATTGTGGTCTTCATCACATGCGTTGTTCCTGGTCTGCTTATTGTGTGTTGTCATTGGAAGCCGTCTCTGAGCAAGCTGTACTCGACCGGATGCTCACCGGCTTGGGCGATACAAGACACGGCAGCCAGCTCTTCAGCGACCTTTGGAACAATACCCCGATAGGCTCTCGATTGAGAATCTCTGGTGCATCCTGCAAAGCCCGTCGGATGTTCTCTCGTCCGTACTCGGCCATGTTCTCGTAGACCTCCCAGCGGGTCTTGTCGCCAAACACCTTCTCTCGCAACATGGGGGTGAGCGGGTGGAGAGGATCATCCAGTCGTTCGGATAGCGAGTTCACCCATTCCTCATACGGCACCCCCTCCATCTGGTATGGAGACATCTGATTCAGCAGGTCGAAACTGGTGTTGATGTCAATGGCATTGTCCAGGTCCGGCTGCACCAGGTTGTATCCGTGCCCCAGGTTGTCGTGGGACATGGAGACGTGCAACATGGCATCCACTACAAAGTCCACCGGGATGAATTCCTTTCGCTGGTCAGGCAGAACAGGGTACAGCCCCATATCCATGCAGCTGGTGAACAGTCGGGAGATAAAGTCGTCGGGGTTACAGATGCCCGACTTGCTGTGGCCGAGGACGAATCCGGGGCGGTAGATGGCCACGGGAAAGCCATTATCGATCGCATTCCAGACAATTGCCTCAGCCACATACTGACTTTGAGCATATCCCGTATCGTGGGGCAGGGCAGCAAGATGAGGAGCCGGTCGCTCGTCCTCCAGGAGCAGCTTTGCGCCCGTGACATGTCCGGTTGGCCCGTACGCGGCTATCGTCGAGGAGTAGTGCATGGCCTTGGTTCGACAATGCGTGGAAAACTCGAGCATGTTCAATGTTCCAATGGTGTTCTCCTGCCGGTGGGAGGAATATGGGGCCACGTAGCTGACTTTGGCTCCCAGATGGAAAATCACGCTAGACCAGGTGGCAAAGTAGTCGTATTGCTCAGGGGATAGACCCAGCTTGGGCTGTCCAAAGTTGCCTGGAACGGCGACCACCTTGTCCATGTTGGCGTAGAGACAGTATTTCTCCAGGCACCTCTCCAGCCGACGTCGGGCTGAGGGTTCATCGTCGGCTCGGACTAGACAGGCCACCTTTTTCACGTCCGGCCGTTTGACCAGAGTGGCCAGGAGAAATACTCCAACGAAGCCCGTAGCCCCCGTCAAGAAGATCCGTCCCTCATGCTTATCTTGCCAATGGGGGACAACGCCCCCAATAGGCCGTAGATGCTCGGCTAATCTCGAGTCTTGCAGCCAGACCTCTTGTTCGGCCTGGATCGTGGAGTCGTCGCCATTGACTTGAATGTTGGTGACCAGCTGAGTCAGCTTCTCGAAGCTGGTATTCTCATACAGCATCTGGGCTCGTAGCGAGATCCCAAATGTTTGGTTGATCCGGGCAATCATCGTGGCTGCAATCAAGGAGGTCCCTCCCATGGCCACAAAGTCGTCCGTTGGGCGTAAATGCTCCAGGGGGAGACCGAACACGTCGACCCAGATATATTCCAGCTTGGCGGCAACCCTCCCAGCATTGACATTCCCATTCATTCCATTAGCCCGCGATCGCTTGAGCTTTTCATGGTAATGTTCCTCCAGAGCCTTCCGGTCGGCCTTGCCGGTAGATCGAAGGGGTAGGACATCGATCAATTCCAGACGGGGAACCATCAAGTGTGGAGCCTGCTCCATGTATGTTTTCATGATGGCGCCTTCTGCCACATCTGGCGAGGATGGAATGCAGTAGGCAAGTAGGAACTGGCCCCGATCGACCTCCTCCGGAGTGATCTTGACCACCACGGCCGCACTGACCAGGCCAGTGCCGACGAGGGCTGCCTCCAACGCCTCCAGCTCCACTCTCTGGCCGCGGATCTTGATCTGGTTGTCTTTTCGTCCGAGGTAGTAGTAGATGCCGTTGTTGTCCACCCGCATCAAGTCCCCGGTTCGGTACATGTGCTTCGGTCCGCGATCCACTGTCCTGCGCATTTGTGGCATGAACAGAAAGCTCTTGGCCGTCTTTTCAGGGTCTCCAATGTAGCCTCCAGCAACGCCGACACCAGACACCAATAGTTCACCCACCTCTCCTGGCTGGACGGGACCCAGAGTGTCATCAACAAGGAACACTTCTACATTCCCGAACGGCTTTCCCACGGGAATCTCCCCTCTGCAGGCTTCCTCTTCTGAAACCTCGTGCCATAACACATACACACTAGCCTCCGTCGGTCCGTATCCGTTGATTATTCGGCCTGGTGCCCCGGCGTCAAAGATGGATTGAATAGTTTGGCAGTTGATTGCCTCTCCACCAGTTATCAAGGTGTCGAGTGTGGAGAACGCGTCAGGGCAGGCGTATGCCGTGACTGTGAGGAGGGATGTCGTGAGTTGCAGTACGTTGAGTTCCTTCTCCTTGACAAAAATGCTGAGAGCGGTTGGGTCAAGGACTGTCTCCACTGGAACTACCACCATTGTGGCGCCGCGCAGTAATGAACCCCAGATCTCCACCAGGGAGGTATCAAAGATGACATTGGACCCGTGACCGACGCGCTGTCCTTTTCGAATAAGCTCCGCTGGATCGAGAACAAGATTAATCATGCCCTCGGCAAATGCTTCGACCGCTTTTGGCTTGCCTGTCGTCCCGGAGGTGTGGAAAACATGAGAGCACGTCTGCGGCCCGTTTTGACTAGGAGAAATTTTCGCATCAAAGTCATCCGGGATAGCACGGTGGTCGACAACGAGGTGCTTGAATCGAGGCAGTCGATGTTGCTGAACCATATCTGTGATGACGAGCGTCGATCCCAGGTTGTGCAGCATGTCCGTCAACATCTCGTCCGGGAGCTTGCTGTCTAGCGGAACACAGGCCCGTCCTGCGTAGACCACACCCGCCTGAGACAACACATGGTTCATGCTTCGTGGGATAATGATGCCCACGGGTGAGAGGTCTGCGTGATTTAGGCTATCGATCTGGTTGGCAATAAAGAGCGCCTTGTCGTGGAGGTCGCCATATGTCAGTTCATGGTGGCCCTCTTCGATGGCAATGGCGGTGCCGCGAACCGTGGCCTGCTGTTGGAGAAGGCCGGCGAGCCCAAGGCCAGCATGGCACACATCCTCCGGGATTTCGGAGATGAGGAATGACGGAGACATGGTATCGACTGAAAGAAAAGCCACAGGCATAATTGTCACAGACTTGCTGGAGAAGAATAGTTGTCGGTCAATTGCCCGGCCGTGTGCCTTCAAATAGTCTTCGAAGACCGTGGCTCCTCAGGCATCGAGCCAAAATCGCTCAACGCTTCTCCCCACCACCTCATGTGAAGCCTCATCACGACATACCAGCGACTCTTTCAGGGCTGCAGTTACCAGTATCCATACTGTTGGCTGGTCTGGCCGGATCCCTTGCCTGCCAGTGGCAAACCTGTTCAGCCAGCCTGTCATTGTTTAGCAGCCGGAGTTTAGACATGGCCATATGGAGGTGTTGTGTATATTCATGACCGACGCCAACCATCGGAGAGCTGCTTACCTATCATAAGTGCCACAATAGGGCCCTTGCTCGTGCGAGGAGGTATTGAGGAATGTCACAAACCTGGTCAGGGGTGCGGGAATTGACATAACTGGGGAGCCATCATCCAGGGACCGGACAGATCTGACACCTCGATCTGAATGGTTAGTTGTGGGAGACAAGCATGGTGACTGTGCAAGGAGGCCGGTGCGAGACTTCCCAGGCCGGCCGGGATATGTCCCAGATTCCGTCAACTGCCGTGACTGGTGGCCGATCATCTGGCACATTCATCCACCAGCGGTGAGCGAGTGGCATGCTTGCAAGGCTGACCAACGAGGACGTTGAAACTCAATCTAATCACAGAGCACCTGACTGGATGCGCAGTCAACTGCCCTGCATCCTGGATCGGTTCAAGCTTCTCCTACTGACACTGACGGCTTGGCTTACACCACGATGAGTCGATGTGGACTAAACAAGGTACGACATCGACTCGATTGTGCGTGCTGCCGGATTGTCCGTAGGGGATCGTGTTCCTCTGGAGGGTTTGGCATGAATTGCGTCAAGCTTCCCGGTAACCGGGTTCGTGGTCTATCCCACTGGCTCAGGATGGGATCTGCCGTACCCCATGAGGGATTATGTCATTCAAATGCAGCACTCGGCCCGCCATGGCCTCTTCATCAGGCCAATAGCTGCAGAGATGCCTGCGACATGCAGCAGCCAGGCCTGGACACATGCAAAGCTGCCCGGTTACACGAGTCACACCGGTGGCAGTTGGGTCTAGACTGTGACCATAGAATGCACCGATGTCGATACCCCGCAAATTCCGGTAAGCTTCACAGGCAAAGTTTCTGACTTCCTACCCCGCAAACCTAATCGACAGCATTGCCTATCAGCTCATCTCCGGCCGTGAGTGGAGGGGAACCAGTTGTTGATTTGTTCCTTGTGCATCCTGACCGATCCTCTGGATGCCGGGAGGATACTGCTCTCCTTCTTTAGAAAATGCCCTGGCTACTGTGTCTATACCCAGAAATCGCATGCATGGTAGAGGGAGAAACAGTGCGCTCGGATGTCTTGTCTTGCGATGCTCCGGGTTCAACCCAGACTCGCCGTTATTCAGCGATAGTGTCAACTGTCTCATCCTATTGACATCTTCCTACTGTTAGGACAGGGAATGCGCCCCGTGTTACTGGTCAATGGCGTCGCACTTTCTTGTCCCCGAGAGCCGTGCTGACTTCACCCCTTGCGGGCCTCATCGTGCCACATTTTTCAATTCCCACGGGTTGTCGTTGCGCCGTTTTCCGATTTCTCCGCGGTGGTCACGCCATACCGCCCCTCCAGATACTTTGTACTTCTAGTGGCGACAGCGATCTGTCCGGCAGTTTGCTTCGAGACGTTCGAACCGTAGGCCTGGAGGGCTCCTAGCCGGTCAATGCTCCTGTTCAGTGGATCGCGATTGGTGCCCGGGGCGAGCCGGTGCAGTCCCTTGCATGAAATGAGGGAATCTATTTTTGGCCATCTGGTTGGCGGTCGGGGAGCTGGGGTATTGTTGCTCCAGTTGCGTGCTCCTCACAATGCACTTTAGAACTCGCGACCACTTGCGAGCCCTCGTAGCCCCGTTCATGACCAGGCTTGGTGGTGTGACCTCGTATATGCGCCTCGCTGGCCATACTCATGCTGAGACGCTTAGACGGGGCCGTTGGTACCGCTGTTGCGGGCTATGCAGCAAGGGTTAGCGTTAAGCCTTGGTGAGATGGCAGACGAGAGAGTCGAGAAAAGGAAAACATTACCTCAAGCCTGAGGCTGCGGTTCTGGAACGGGCCAAGATTCCGCTGCTTCTCATTGGCTGGTATGTGACCGGACGGGTCCACCGGTCTGCTCGATGTTTGCTTCCCTGCTGGCATTCTGTCATGGAAGGTTGGAACTTTCTTTGCGACGCCGTTACTAGTGGCATCAGTGATCCACCAGTGGCAACTATCTCCCTCCCCCCGTTTTTATCGGATGAAATGGAATCACCATGATTGACATCTCGACACTGACAGATGAGCCGATCCAATCTCCCGGGACAGAGTGGACTCCAGGATCGGACGGCCCCCCCTTATCAGCAGCTGCGCCGCTGGCCTCACCAATCGGACCATCTCGGGATCGGTCCAGTGGATGCGACAGGACCCCCTATCGGACCCGTATCAGCTTCCATCGCTCAGAATTCTCACTGATGCCCCTGTCATTCGCTCAGCATCCTTGTCTCAATCCTGGCCCCGATCCTGGTGTCGTGGAACAGACACTGACGTATTCATTTGTCATCGGCTGCGCATGGGGTCCGTTCGCCCTTATGTGCTGATGTGCTTAGAAGAGCTGCCACGTGCAACTGTTTTTTCTTCGCATCGATAACCCCTGAGATATCTCATCATGGCGACTACCACGGTTCGCGTCGCTATCACCCAGCAAGAGCCGGTCTGGCTCGACCTTGATGCCACGGTCGACAAGACCTGTCGACTGATTGCCGAGGCAGCAAGCAATGGTGCGCAGTTGATTACCTTTCCGGAATGCTGGATTCCAGGTTATCCTGCTTGGATATGGTAAGTATCTTCGATGAATGGTCGGCATTCCGCTAATTGCGCAGGTGTCGTCCCATCGATACTGATCTATTCAAGACCTATTTCAAAAATTCCCTGTCGTATGAGTCAGAGCATATGCGCAGGATATGTCGGGTTGCCACCCAGCACAGAATCACTGTCGTGCTTGGATTCTCTGAGCGCGATGGTAACTCGCTGTACATTGGTCAATGTACTATCGACTCGACGGGCAAGATTGTCATGCGCCGGCGCAAGGTCAAGGCCACCCATATGGAGCGCACCGTCTTCGGCGAAGCATCCGGGAGCAGTCTGCTCAATGTCGTCGACCTCCCCATCGGCAAAGTCGGCACGCTCACGTGCTGGGAGCATATCCAGCCGCTGCTCAAGTATCACACGATGATCCAAGGAGAGGAAATTCATGTGTCGACATGGCCACCCCTGCCTCCCCATTTCGGGGGTGATTCGTTATGGGGGATGTCAGCTGAAGGTAAGTTGTTTCCAATGGTTGGGATTCGTGATCTGACTTGTCAGGTGGAATGAGCGCGTCGCAAGTCTTTGCGCTCGAGTCGGCGGCCTTCGTTCTACACACGACTGCTGTTATGGGTCCGAAGTGTGCCGAGGTGATGAAGTTGATCCCTCCTTGGGATGTCGTCGGGGGCGGCTCGTCGGCGGTCGTTGGCCCTGATGGACGTCGGTTGACGGAGCCGCTGCCGCCTACAGAAGAGGGCATCATCTATGCAGATCTGGACAAGGATGTCATTGTATCCTGTCGGCACTTTGTCGATGCCTGTGGGCATTACAGCCGGCCTGATCTGCTCTGGTTGGGGGTTGATACCCAGGAGAAAGTCCATCACCGTCCGGCCGAGGGGAGATCACCGAGCGTTGCAAGGGGTCGGGAGCTCAGGTCGCAACCTGTGTATGAGAATTTTTGAGCTGTCTTGTGCTGCCCTATTGAAGCTGCATCTGTTGATGCCTTAGCGACTATGTATGCCTTGTCGGGTGTACGACCTCTTTTCAGCTTGTACTTGCTGTACTTTCAAGTTTGAATATCAATGGTTGCACATATGGGGATCCATTCACAATGTCGATATTCCGGAGACGGGGTTCAGAGTGTCTTCCGACAGTTGCTGAGGACACTCATTTTTTCTATATCCTCGGCGACTCCAGGTGTACCCCGGACGCAGCCGGATAAATAAGGTGTGGGCTGATGGGGTAATAACACTGTGTGATAATTCCAGTCTAACAGTGATGGACCTGCAGATCATCCGCCCATCTCTCCGCACAGCCCTCCATGACCTCTGATTAGTGGAATCCAAGCAAACCCCGTAGCTCCGTTCCTTAATCCACCCAATTCTCCTCACCTTCTATGGCCACTTTTGCCCCGGTTAATTAAACGGGTAGTATATTTAACCCTCTCTCCGACCATACTGCAACGACACACCAACCCACAATCCACCTTTCACCATGCACCTCCCCTCCCTCATCACCCTCACCCTCTTCCTCCACATAACCCTCGCCCTCACTCAACCCCAATTCCCCCCTCCACCACCTCCTGGTACCTCCAACCAGCCAACAACTTCACCTCGACCCTCCCGATCGGCAACGGCCGCCTCGGCGCCTCAATCTGGGGCACCGCCATCGAAAACATCACTCTGAACGAGAACTCCATCTGGAGCGGTCCCTTCATCAACCGAGTCAATCCCAATGCCTATGCCGCACTATGGCCCGTTCGAACTCTCCTCGCAGAGGGAAATATCTCGAAGGGGAATGATCTCACCCTCGATGATATGGTGGGGATTCCGGACTCGCCGCAGTCGTATAGTGCACTCGGAGCGTTGAGGCTGGATTTTGGACATGAAGAGGCTTGGGTGCAGAATTATAAGCGGTGGTTGGATTTGAGCACTGGGGTGGTGGGGGTGGAGTATGGGTATAAGGGGGTGGGGTTTAGGTATGTTTTTCTCTGGTTCAGGGGGTGTGAATGGGTTGTGCTGATGGGTGTAGGCGGGAGTATGTGGCTAGTTATCCGGATGGGGTTGTTGGGATGAGGTTGTCGTCGAGTAGGGCTGGGGGTGTGGATGTGGTTTGTGAGTTAGTGAGAGATCGATGGGTTGTGGGGAATACGGCCACCGTGGTGGATGGGCATGGAGTGTTGGCGCTCACGGCCAATGCGAGTGATCAGGCGGATCCGATTCGGTTTACTGCTGGGGCGAGGTTTGTTGCTGATGGAGGTGAGTACTTTTCTGGATCATTGGGAGGGTACTGATGGTTTAGGGCGGATTGTGAGTAATGGCACGGCTGTGGTTGTGCGTGGTGCCTCTACGGTTGATATTTTCTTTGATACCGAGACTTCGTATCGGTATTCAAGTCAGGCGGAGTGGCAAGCAGAGATCACCAAGAAGCTTGATGCGGCTAGCAGGGCTGGCTATGTTGCTGTCAAGGAAAATGCGATCGCTGATTACTCTGCCTTGTCGGGGAGAGTTGACTTGAACTTAGGGTCCTCTGGGTCAGCTGGCAATCTTCCTACGGATACTCGTCTCGTCAACTTCCGGACTGATCCTGACAGTGACCCTGAACTGGTTTCACTCATGTTCAACTTTGGTCGTCACTCGTTGATTTCGTCCTCCCGTGCGTCGGAGTCGCCAGCCCTCCCAGCCAACTTGCAAGGTCTGTGGAATCAAGACTTTGATCCGGCCTGGGGTGGCCGATTTACCATTGATATCAACCTCGAGATGAACTACTGGCCTGCAGAAGTGACCAATCTGGCGGACACATTCTCTCCGTTCATCGACCTGATGGACATTGTGAAATCCCGGGGCCTGGATGTGGCCGAGAGCATGTACCACTGCAGCAATGGCGGGTATGTCTTGCACCATAATACCGATCTCTGGGGCGACGCAGCACCAGTCGATAACGGCACCGAATGGACCATGTGGCCCATGGGTGCGGCCTGGCTGTCTGCTAATCTGATCGAACATTATCGGTTCACCCGGGATGAGACAATCCTGCGAGCACGCATCTGGCCACTGCTACAAAGCGCCGCCAGATTCTACTACTGCTATCTCTTCCCGTTCGAGGGATACTATATCACGGGCCCTTCAATCTCTCCGGAGGCTGCCTTTATCATCCCAGGTGATATGTCCATCGCCGGGAATGAAGAGGGCATCGATATCGCCCCGACCATGGACAATTCCCTACTGTACGAACTGTTCCAGTCTGTGATTGAAACTTGTGAGATACTTAAAATCAACACCACCGACTGCACAAATGCCACCTCCTACCTCGCCAAGATAAAACCACCACAAATCGGCTCCTCCGGCCGAATCCTAGAATGGCGTCTCGACTATGAAGAGGCAGACCCTGGCCACCGACACATGAGCCCGATCTTCGGTCTGTTCCCGGGATATCAGCTCGCTCCGCTCGTTAACGAAACCCTCGCTGCTGCTGCAAAAGCATTCCTGGATTGGCGTATCGCCCACGGCAGCGGTAGTACAGGCTGGTCACGAACCTGGACAATGAATCTCTATGCTCGGTTACTCGACGGTGACCAAGTCTGGAACCATACCCAGATTTATCTGCAGAGGTTTCCTAGTCCCAATCTGTGGAATACAGACTCTGGCCCAGATACGGTGTTCCAGATTGATGGCAACTTTGGGTTCACCTCGGGTATTGCAGAGATGTTGTTACAGAGTTATGAGAAAGTGCATCTTCTCCCGGCATTGCCGACTGCGGTGCCAAAGGGACATGTGTTTGGGTTGATGACGAGGGGGAATTTCGTGGTTGATATGGTGTGGGAGGGGGGAGTGTTGAGCGAGGCGAATATCACGTCGCGGAGTGGGAGTGTCTTGGATATTCGGGTGCAAGGGGGTGTTGATTTTACTGTTAATGGGGAGGGATATACGGGACCCATCGGTACTAATATTGGAAAGGTATACACCGTTGTCCCTGTTTAGTCCTACCTCTAGTCTATCGCATATAAATTGCACAAGACATACACCTCCACATATCCCAAGATCAACCACCAACCTGATATATACACCTCCCCCCTCAACACCAAAATCCCACATATAACAACCCCCCTCCAACTATACAACACACTACTCTTTAACCCCCAACCCAAACATCTTCACACTATTCTCCCAAGCAGCCCTAGCAACAACCTCCACCTCTACCCCCTTCACCCCCGCAACCACCAATGCCACCCTCTCCATGTAACAACTCTCATTCCTCCCCTTGATCATCTGTCCCAAAATAAACTTATTATGCTTCCTCACTCCCGGCAACTCCCTCGCACCCCTCAAATACCCCGAAATCCTTTCATCCCCACCCAGAACCTCACACCACGGCGCATCCGTCTCCAACTGTAACCTCTCCAATGGAATCGCCCTGACCATATCCAGCCCTGCATCTGTCCGAAAACTCACCCCGTTTACACTAATATCCAATCCCATTCCCACAAGCTGGATCATCTCCTCCCTACTCCCGGTGAAAGAATGCACCAACCCCTTCTTCGGCAACCGGGGTAAATACTCCGAAACAATCTCCACAAAATCCGCACAGGATTCCCTAACATGCAAAAACAGAGGCAATTGCATCTCTACCGCAATCTCCAATTGCTCTCTAAACGCCCTAATCTGTATCTCCTTGTCCGCGCGCTCAAGATACTCATAATCCAATCCAATCTCCCCGAATGCCACCAGCGGAGATCCACCATCACCCTCCTGTAATACCCTTTGACCTACTTCTCTCAACTGCGCCAGATACTCCTTCCCATCTCCCTCTCCATCGGGGGAATATATCTCTTTGACATGATAAGGATGCACACCCAAGGTCAACGAACAAATCTCAGGAAACTCCCGCACCAGAGACAGGTTCGTGTGGAATCCCTCGAGATTCATACTCGTGAGCATCATTTTCTCGCAGTTGTGGGTCTTGGCTCGGGTGATTACTTCGCTGAAGTCGGGCGCGTGGTATTGTTTTCCTCGGTAGATGCCGTGGAATTGGGGCGCTGTGTAGGTTACGGCGACCTGGTGTTTTTAGTTAGGATGGGATGGCAGTTCCCGGGGGGGTCTTACATCTGCGAAGCGGAGGGGGGACATTGTGGGCTGGTTGGTTGGTTGGTTGGTTGGATTGTATATGTTGAGATCAGGAGTTGGTAGTCTGGTTGTTTAGTTGGGCGTAGGGGTTTATTTTATTTATATCGCTGATGGGGTATATGGTGGTGGCGCCTCGTTATCTGTAGGGCGCGAAAATTTTCATTTTCATAGCTTCGGGATATGCTTGGCAGTGGAGGTTGATCGGCATGAGGGTTCTACTTTTATTTTAGGGTGCCTGTTTTGATGTACAGATGCGATGCTGGAGTCAAGTGGATATGAATGATGTAGGAATTTAATTAGAGGCACGGTTTGATGTGATTTGATGTTGGTTTTATGGTTGTTTTATTAAGTGCGTCGGATATATTTCTATGGGTCGGCGGCGGTTTGGAAGTGATATTTTAGATACAACATGGTTAGAGGAATAGCACGGCTGTTATATCGCGAATAGAACGATTTATTGATGGCAAAATGGCTAATCCTCTAGACAGATAGACGCACTCCTCTTATATACCCCTAATAAATGGAGACACGTGCTGGCAGCATGCATTCAAGCTGCAGTTCACTGTCTGAACCATAGTCAGCTAGATATTCACACAATACCAATTATGCTTACCTGGCAGATTCCAGCAACCCCCCTGAGCTCTTTATTTCATTGTGCGAAAAGCAGATGCCCATGAACTTGACCATTTCCGCGGCTACCAAGTCAGCTCGTTTCTGTAATATGCATGAAAAACTCACCACTGATTCGTTTTGCAGTTGTGTCATTCTCATCTACTCCGTTAATTCGCGTGTAATCCAGAACCAATTCAACGCGCGGTCGTCGGGCCTGTTCGTATAGTGCCAGCCGCTTGGGGATGTCTTCCACGCGAGTCCCGGCGGGAAGAAGTACTGCTAGTGAAACGGCATCTTCGATGGCCATGGCGCCTCCTTGGCCCATATCTGGATATATCAGTCCAGGACATTAAGTCGTAGAGAGGGATGCTCACATGGTTGGAATGGATGTGCTGCATCACCTAGTAAGGCAGAACGCCCCCTTACCCATGAGGGAAGCGATTTCATGTCGAACAATTCCCACACCTTCAGATTATCGTCCGCTCCGTCAACTAGTTCCTTCACGTCCGGGCTGAACTCGGCGAATCCAGCCACTAGGGCGTCCTTGCTCCCGACAGCTTGCCAACCTAGGCCTGTTAGACTGAACAACCAGTAGAATTAAGACATACCCTCTGCAGCACCTCCAGCCTCGGCAGTTGGAAGGAAAGCACAAAGATTGAACATCTTATTGTCAGAGCATGGATACGCAACAAGTCGGCGGTCACCACCAGCCCATTCGATAAACACACCCGGGTCTCGGACGATATCCTGGGTGGCTGGCAGATGGCGCAGATCATCCGTCGGAAGAAGCCATCTGAAACAGGACTTGCCGGCTGGGAATGGTGCAGGGGGGTTTTGGCCGATTTCGTTGCGGACAATTGACTACATACTTTAGTGGAGATGCGAGAAGTATCAGGGTGTACATACGTGCAGACCGTCTGCTCCTAGCAAAATATCTCCTTCGAATATTTCCCCGTTGTCAAGCATCACCGACGGGCGGTCATTGTCCACATCGATGTTGACTATCTTGCAACCCATGTGAAGAGTGGCTGTTTGCATGGCCCGCTGCTTGAGATAGTTGTGTAGATCGACTCGATGGACGAGATACCATTCCTAGCCTGTCAGACATGATCACAGAATGTGTAGGAGACATACTGCCTGCCACTTTTGACGAATCTCGGCAAAGTCTTTACGGTACTTCAGGTTACCCAGGTGGTCATATCGATGAATCTGTACCGTTAGCCAGCATACATCACCTAGAGCATGAGAAGTACCTGCTCCAGCAACGTCCCCCCAAACTCCTTCGGATCAATTTCCAACCAGTTGAGCAGAGCCGTGCAATTAGGCGGTACATGAATGGCGGCACCAGCCTCGCGAGAGAACTTGGATTTTTCCAGAATCTACCACCATCAGCAAGTAATTTGACATCCACTAAGGCCACTTACCACGACATGATGGCCCTGTTTACCCAGGGCAATGGCAGCGGTCAGCCCCGCAATGCCGGCCCCGACGATCAACACCTGCAGCGGTCGGAATTCACCAATAGAGACGGTCATGGTCAATATGCTAGTGCTTATTCTTGTCGAATCTGTCTCCTGCAGACTTGACAGCTTATAATGCAGGTTAGGGATCGATATGGGTCTCGGAGATATGCCTCGGGGAATTCCTCGGAGATAAGCATCCGTCGGATGTGGTTCAGCCCTTATACTAGACCTGTTAAATCGCTCGTCGTGCTGTCTATAGACGATGATCATTCCCTAATCTGATTTTGCAACAGCATCGAGACGGGGATCAAGATATCGCTCATGTGTCAGTTATGCAGAGGTGCTATTATCGGAACCCGCTACGCAACTTCCCGCTATTTGGTTGCTTCCGAGTTCCGGCTTGAAGACACTTGGCAGCCTCGGGATGGGCTGATCCGGGCAGCAGTGAGGAGGGAAAAGAGTTGCTTCGATATCTTGTCCACCCGATAATCGGCATTGCAGTGAATAGGGAATATCCTGTCACAATACCGACAGACCAATCCCAGCCCGCCAAGCCCGCCAGCTGTCACTGTCACTCACCGTCATTATCATCGGCTGTTATCTCCCCGCATTGTCCACTACCATGCTCCCATCGCTAGTGTCTAGATTCTAGACTCAGTCCTCTACACCACCATGTCCAAATCCATGTCCCAGGTCGTCGCCGACCTCGATAAGCACGTCCCCCCTACCCATACATCCCACCAGCTAACCAATGATCCCAGCTTCCCCTATCACCCCACCTACATACACAACCACCCCATCCTCCAAAGCTACCACGCCTTCCATGTCAACGGCATCCCCTCTATACTGGGGTACATCCCCAACACCCTGATAACCACCTTCCCCTGGCCAAAAGATACCTGGTCTATCGACTCCACCCCCACCCCCAATCCCACCATCACCCTAATGACACCCGAAACAGCCACCCCAGCAACCCGCACCGCAACCCTCCTCCCCACCATCCGCCACATGGCCAACACGGGAATCCTCACCGGCTGGCGCGACGAGACCTTCCCCATCTACGGCCCTCACGGCGACCTAATCCTCGAGATAGAACGCGCTGCGAGCGCGCTCTTCGGGATTGTTACTTATGGTGTTCAGATGCTTTGCTATACCCAAACCAAACCCCAAGATAAAGATGTGGATGTCCGGTTGTGGATCGCCAAACGCTCACCCCAGAAACAAACCTACCCCGGGATGCTAGACACGACTGCCGCCGGGGGTTAAGTACGGGGATGTCACCCCGGGAGGCGATTATGCGGGAGGCTATCGAGGAAGCTGCTATCCCTCGAGAGGTGCTAGAGCAGGGGGTCAGGTTTGTAGATCGCATTTCGTATTGGAATTTCAAGACCCAAAGGGATGGGAATGGGGATGGGAATGGGATGGAGGTGTTGCAGCCCGAGGTGGAGTATTTGTTTGAGTTGGAGCTCGGGGACGGGTGGTTCCGGTGCCGACGGATAAGGAGGTTGAGGATTTTAGGCTCTGGGGGTGGAGGAGGTGAGGGGGCGCTGGGGAGGGGGGAGTTTAAGCCGAATAGTGCGGTTGTGGTGGTGGATTTATTGTTGAGGTGGGGGTTGTTAGGGGAGGAGGATGCAGAGGGGATTCGCGAGCGGCTGCATCGGAGATTGCCGTTCCCGGTGGTGGATCATGTGGTTTTTGGTTGTAGATGATGGGAGGAGAGATGGTTGAGTGGTGCAGGCATGGTGTTGTGGTGTAGGGCATACCCTTGCATCTGTTTCCAGATCCACGTGGATATACTCCTCAAGGGCATAAACCTGTATCTCAAAACTACGAGTATCGGGAGTAAAGTTGAAGTATGGAAGATTAATTACTTTTCCTCTATAAACCAAAACATGTGTATCATCTACACCGGATGCTTTCAACACAAATAGATATCAACGAAAAGAAAGAAATGTCATGTAACATGTTCCTTCTCCTCCTCCTTGGGTATCCGCACCGACGTAACAGTAATCAACGCAGCAACCAACTGGCATCCCAGCGCAAACCACCAAATAGACCTCAGTCCATGCAGACCCACACTGCCATCCGGCTGTTTATCCACACGCGTGCCAATCGCATCAGCCACACTGGTAATAATAGCCGAGGACAAGTTCTGGTTCGTGACCAGTAAACTCCCCGCACTGCCCTGATACGAGCGCGCAACATTGCTAGTGATGAAGATCGACGCAGCCGCAAAGGCAAGATCCGGACCGAAGGTAACGAGGGCAACACCCGGGAGTGACAGTTCCCAGTACGTGGTGGTAGCTGTCTGAGGGAGGAAAAAGGCCGGGCCGAGGGTAAAGGCGAACATGGAGATGGCGTAGATGTAATGGCCCGGAACCAGATGGAGGGTTCGACTAACGACCCAGGTGGCGACGATGCCGAAAATGGCATTGGGAAGATGGTACAATGCCACGTCGATGGGGCTGGCGTGCTGGATGCGTAGCCAGAATTGAATGGCGTAGAATTGCCACGCGCCAAAAAATGACCCAAAGCCCATGAAGTAGGCGATCATCAGCGGAGTGAAGCCCTTGGTCTTCCATAGTCGGTTGGGAATCAGAGGTCGCGCGACGTAACGCTCCACGATGAATAGGCCGATCAGTAGCACGATGCCAACGGCGGTTAGTACGCAGGTGTACACAGACCAGTCGGTGACGCCACCCTGCGTGAGACCGAAAAGCAGGCAGACACACCCCCCGATGGCAAACGCAGCGCCGAGAAAGTCGAACTGACGCAAAGAGGGGACTTCTCCACCCGCTTTATCGGCCATGGGTCGTAGTGGGGGAATGGAAAAATAGGCACCCACGGCACAGATGGAGGTGATGATGGCGTTGCAGCCGAAGATCCACGGGAGATGCTGATAGAGGAGGCCGCCCTCGATCGCTCCTAGGGAAAAGCCGAACGGGGCGCAGGCGGCCATGGCGGAAAACACCCGGTTCTTACGAATGCCGGGTTTATAGACACGCCCCAGGATGCTCATGCTGCCGGAGACAAGCACCCCGATGGCGAGACCCTGCATGGCACGCACCACGAAGAACAGCACATACCGAGAGGGGTGCACTGAGAACGCGCCGATGATGTTCCAGACGGTGAGCCAGAGAAAGGCACCGACCATGAGGTATTTTGGGGGCATCAGGTCAGTCACGGAGCCGGAAACCACCACCGACAGACCATTGGCAACATTGAAAGATCCGACCAGCCAGGGCAGCTCCGTGTTGGTGATGCCGAGGGCTTCCCGAAACTGCAGCTGGGGGGCGAGCACGTCACCCAGGAGGAACGAGAACAGCATCAGGCCTGCGGAACAGACCATGACAAGCACGATTTCTGCTCCCAAGCTGCTGATCTCTGGAGGCCGACCCTGTGTCGGTTTTGGGGGTGGAGAGCCAGCCTCGTCAGCAAAGTCCTTGTCCCGATGGACAAAAGAAGGCCGGCGGTGGCTGAGATGATGGCCGTCGGTGGGATCGGCATCGCGAGTGGGCTGTACAGCAGTCAATTCATAGGAATCATCCTCGCTATCAACCCCCGGCCGAGTAATGGTCTGCGGGAACTTCTTGAGTGCATCATGGTCGGCCAGTTGACCGAAGAGCGGATCTGGGGTTTGAGCCCCGGTCGCGGGGGTGGAGGCGAATTTGCTGCTGCCCGGGTAGGTTCCCGAGAAAGAAGATCTCCGCGACGTGGGAGCAGAATCCAGGCTGGTCTGCGTCACTTGTGCGGTCTTTTCTTTCTTGTCGGGGCTCGCGGATCGGGACGCATCCCGAGTGTAGGGATCGGAGGGCATCTTCAAGATACAGCAACCAGCAATAGAGGTAAATCAGGTACGGCACTAGGCCGAAGTGCGGTCTGAGATCTTTTATGAAATTTCGGGATCAGGTCTCCGTGAAACTGGGGCAAGTGGACCGGACCAGCGCAGAGTCAGGGTTTTCGCCAGCAGGCTGGATATTGGATAAGGGCTGAAATGGGCAGCCACGGCGCGGATTCTGACTCGTTGTGCTCTCGGCCAGCCGTTGATAAGCCGGGCCGTGGCCCTCTGGCGCTAGTGATAAGATTTTGCACCGCTAACAGCAATGGTGGGCTGCAATCCCTTGCGATGGTTTGCGCGTCGCCGTCCGAGTGGATCCCAGCATCCACGGTTGATCCACGGCTGATCCTGTCAATCCATCGGATTTCAATTTCCACTGCTACTGTCATCGTCGCCACCGTGATTCGGCTTAGGCGCGTCTTGCTAGGTCCGAGTTGTGACTAACTAGCGGGCAGATGCACGGACACGGATTGAATGCAAGATCGCCATAGTTCGTTGCGTGGCCGTGGCATTCGAGCATTCCCTCCCCGGGTTGATCGACAGGGCCGCATCATCGTGTCGCACTGTAGCCAAGTGATCGGTCGGATCGGCGGCGCTATTCGAGCAGAGCTGCGAGGCTTGGTTGCGGGTGATTGCCGGACGCGCACCTCGCAGATCATCCGGTCCTGCACATGTATCCGACGCCGAGCTTGCCATTCCCTGGTCTATGGCAGCGGTATCTATGGGAGCTATGGCATGTCGAGCTAGGCAGCAGCAACTGCACGGGTTCTGCGGAAGCTAGCGGTGCAACGAAACCACCCATGTCGCAGAATTCAAGATCAACTGGGTGAGGCCGTGCTGGGATCGACCTTGCTCGTTTGGTACTCCTTCCAGGGACTATTCGCAGCGCATTGATACTCCGTCGGTGATACCCCCCACCGAGTCACCTCGTTCCCTGTTTGCACTTCCGCGGGTCGATAGTTGGACGTCGTTGCTTTTGGCACCACTATCAAGGACCGGATGGCATCGCTAGCTTTATGGTGGATCACCGTGGTAGAAAAAGCAACTAGCCACGATGCAGCCTCCCCGGTGCCGTGTCGCCCGGATGCAAGGGGGTTTCTAATCCAATGGAATTGCGTGTCATCATAACATGGGGTGTGTTCGCCAGCCGTCTGTGCTGTCTTGATGTATTGTATAGCTACGCGAGGTGGCAGTTGCGACGTCTTACTCCGCAGGGTACTGCACTGCCATATGAGGCCTCCTTCTGCAGCGGGGATAATCGCATGCATACGGAGTAGAGAATTCATCATCCTGAACTGATGTTAACTATGCGAGCTGCGCGGTTCATCTCTAATCTGCAAGCCATCTCTTGATCTGCTGCCGCGGTAAGAGCGTGTCTTTGACACTGAGTATTCCTCCGACAATTGGTCGTATAGTATTGGGATGTCGTTAGGCTAGTCATGGGCTCAGCAAGGTCTAGGCTGATGCCACCCGTGAATTGAAACCTGGTAAATGATGGCATAACGCAGCAGTGGCTTGCCTTTCTGATCGTTACTGCGTAAATGCTGCCCATGTGGTTAATGGAAATTGCGATCGTGGCAGGTTTCCCGAGGCAGCAAAAGCGTGACCGGAATCAGCCTGCGGCAACCGCCCTCTTAGTAGCCAGATATATAGGAAATCGGCCACCCTTTAACCTCAGACATTTACTCATACCTCTCACTCGCTTCAATCAAGTGAACAATGGCGATGGGAGGAAAGTGGCCTCGTCGACTGATTCCCGGGCTTGCAGGGCAACAGCAACTGGCCTCTCTAGGGTCCATTTGGCGCCTCGTCGACCGTGGCATCCTAATATCATGATGCACATGCCAGTTTGCAAACCCCGATCAATCGGGTCCTCGGGATCTGGATACATCAGCCGATTTCACCTGTCCCGACTGTCAAGCACTCGGGAAGGTCATGTTGTCCGCACCGATCCCGACAACCAGAGGGAATGATGTCAAGTGGCTGACAACCTCACGGATGGCGTTACCTTATGATCCCAAGTGCTCGATAGACGCGCCAACGTGGCAGTGTGGAGATGCTATGGTGGAACGGCAATCGGCAGAGGTAAAAACATTTGCTTGCGACTAGCGGTGGGGATCAAGTATGCGAGAGACGGGTTCAGGAACCGGTTCCAGGGCATGACATGCCATGTGGCCAGTGACTGACCAAGACCCCTTAGTACAAGGGTTGCTTGGTGCATGTCCGTGGTTACACCTTCCTCGCCCCTGCAGCTCCGGGAAGCAACCGGAGTCAACACAATGCCATCCATGGCCGGGCATCTTGCATTAGATACTGTTGATGGATCTAGACCCACTATCAAATAACAGCTTAACGATCGCGCAACTCGTCATGAAACACCATCGCTTTCCATATCTTACGCGTCTCATCGTACCTAACAATTCGCAATCAGGAGACCATCTAATCTTCAACTTCAGATCGGATGACTTCCAACACCAGCATGCCGTGGCCCCAACCAACTTGATTTCCTGGATGCGGGAGACAGTAATCCGGGTCTTATCTATAGCTGCCGGGTTGAATGAGAGATATGTCCTCCATCGGCGGAAGTTGCGTGACGTGACCGTGCCACCTCTCCATTCACGATTCACGAGCGGAGGATAAGACGCCGCGATAGGCTGACAGGATGTCTAGCCCTGCCCCGCCTGCTCTTCATTCAAGAACCCCCTCACCACCATCACCATCCTTCCTCTACCTTCATCTCTTCATCCATACATCCTTCTACCCATCATCACAATGTCCACATCATTCCCCGAAGCCATCGGCATCCTCTCCATCGGAGAGATGGGCCTAGGCATCGCCCAGCTCCTTATCGCCCACAAGTACCGCGTGCTCACCTATGCGTCCGATCGGAGGTAATCCCGATTCCCTCCCCGCACATACTTTCTGCCGAAGTCTGTCCTTCTGGGCTGGATCTAAACCATCACAGCGACGCAACCCAACGCCGCGCCTGGGAATCCGGCATCGAACTCCGCCCTTCCCTCCAGGACCTCGTCGACCAAAGCGACTGTCTTCTCTCCATCGTCCCTCCCCGCGACGCACTCGAAACCGCCCGTCGCATCGTCGACGCATCCTCCGCCAGACCTTTAGTTCGAGATACGCCCCTCTATGTAGTCGATCTGAACGCCGTCTCCCCGAAAACAGCACGCGAAATCGCATCGTTAATCTCAGCCGCGGGGCCGCATCTCCAATTCATCGATGGGGGGATTGTCGGCGGACCCCCGAGACCTTCACCTACTGAAAACAACTCCCCTGATAAACCGACATGGAAATGTCCCAGCCTGGTCGTCTCAGGACCAGTCAAATTACCAGACGAGGAATTATCAAATACACTCAATATGAAACACATCTCGGATGAAATCGGTGTAGCGACCGGGTTGAAAATGTGTTTTGCCTCGTTGACGAAGGGGTATACGTCGTTGGCTATTCAGTCGTTTACGACGGCGCATGCGCTAGGTGTGTTGCCTGATCTGAAGGGGTTAATGGAGGAGTATAATCCCGCGGGACTGCAGATGGCGGAGAAGGGACTGGTGGGTATGCCACCTAAGGCGTATCGGTGGGTAAGGGAGATGAGGGAGATTGGGGATACGATGCGTGATGACGGGGGGTTTGAGAGTGATTTGTATGTTCACTTCTTCCACCCATATTTGAGTGGGGTGGTTGTTGACTGTGGAATAGGTTTTATGCTGTGGCACAGGTGTATCAATCTGTGGCTAATGATCCGGTCCTGGGGAGGGAGAAACCGGGGGATAGACAGCGAGGACAGACGGTTGAGGATGTGGTGGGGAGTTTGCATAGAAGTTTGAAGGTTAAGATGGAGTAGAGTGGGTACTTTATATGGTATTTTGTCGGATTATGGGATATGATTAGCATTTGGGGATAATTGATCTGCTTCTTCGAGATTACCACTAATGACATAGTTGCATAACCAGGAAAGACAGAATATGCCGCTACGATAACATTTTTCTAAAGACCCAAATAAGATCAAATCCGATGTTATTTCAATGCGAACGCCTGAACACCATACCCTAACCTAAGAACAAACCACAGATCGTTCCCAAGAAATCAATCCTAACCCATAACTACAGCACAAGAACCCAAACACTATACTAAGTCTTTACATCCTCAACATGAGTCGACCCACCCCGTTCCCCATCCTCCTGTCCCTTACCATCCGGTTTATCAACCTCCATCTCCGGATGCGAACCAGGGATCCGAGTATTCGGGTCTTCTCGATCCCAGCTCTTATTCAATCGATTCAGAGGCATAAGTGTCAAGGTGAGTACCAGTAGGAAGATCACCTATACAACCATTAGCATCATATCCATCTGAGAAGAGTAAGATGACTTACAATCCCTACCAGAATCATCTGCGTACGAGCATAATCCGGTGATCCGTCCTTGGTCGGGAACCTCTCTCCCAGAGCTGTCTCGATCGTAGGCGCGACGGACGACACCGCGTTCCCGATATTATACGCCACGCCGGTAAAGGCGGCTCTGATACCAGGGTGGGGACATAATTGCTGGAGTAGATTACCCAGGTTTCCAATCGCAGCGCCGTAGAAGAATTGCAAAAAGAACGCCCCCAGGGCGAGAAGATTCCAACTTGTCGGAAGAACCCAGAGCGGGAGCCAGGGAGCAACGAGGAGGCCGGCCCCCGCGGCGACCCATTTCGCGCTTAACTTGTGGGAGAGGAATCCGCCGACGACACCGCCCAGGATTCCTCCGATTTGGAGGATGCAAGTCACCCAGGTTTCTTGGACGATGTTGAGTTTGCGTTGGCTGACGAGAAAGGTCGGGTAGAGGTCCATGGTGCCGTGGCCCATCGTGGCCAGGCAGGAGGTTAGGCAGCAGGCGTAGATGAAGGCTTTGTAGTGGTAGCGGAGCACGTAGGTGAGCTTTTTGAGGAAGGGAAGGTTCCCGCCTACTGCTGTGCGGGGGTCTTGGGCTGCTCTGGGGGTAGTTTCTTCGTCTGGGATGGCTGCAGAGGCGACGCTGTAGTAGGGGGTTACGGCGTGGAGGATGCCCACGGGGAGGGTGAGGCCTGCACAGAGCCAGAAGAGGGAGCGCCAGCCGTAGGGGTCTGGGGAGGTGTAAGTATGGTATGGTGTTGGATTGGGGTGGAAGCTTACTCATGGCTAGATGTAGTCCGGAGGCGAAGAGGTATCCGGCTGAGAAGCCTTGCTGGGTGAATCCTGCGACGACGCCGCGGGCCTTTTCAGGAACGGCTTCCAGGACTGTGGCCATGACCAATCCATATGTACCGCCGTAGGCAACACCTGAAGGTGTCAGTGGATTTATGGATGATGTCCTGGTTGTCCTCACCAAATAAGAAGCGAAACCCGATCAGCTGGGGGAAGGTCTGGGAGAAGCCCGTGGCAATGGTGAACCCGCACATAAGAATCAGGTCGATCAGCATGGGAATCTTCCGCCCGTATTGGTCGGACAGAATGCCAAAGATGATGGCTCCGACTGCTCGAGAGATCATCGTGGTGGTGTTGGCTTCGGAGACATTTGTCTGGGGGACATTCAGTGCTTCCGCCACGTTGCTGAGGGTGAACGGCAGGGCATAATATTGCAGAGAGCCCAACGTCCAGCAGGACCAGCAAGCCAGCCAGATCAAGGCCTGGACTGGCTTCATCCGCAACGTGGACCCGATTTCCCTAGGGAGAGCGGCAATGGTGGTGAGTATGGTCATGATTGTGTGACAGGAAGGCTATGGTCCTCGAAAGCCAGCCAGAGCGAGGGAGGTTTATACCCAGATGGCTGCATCACACTTGGCGTCATCTTGGCATATGGGGTACCCCAGAACTGCGGGGGAGCAAACTAGGGCCTGCCAGCTCTCTGGGTCTGAGCTTAGCGAGTGATTCTGTCGTGTCATGCTTCCTGCTACATGGCTCGCCTAACCCTCGTGATTCAAAGTCACCGATAGCCTCGCCCGTTCTTCCAGTGGATGCTGTTGGGTTAGCCTATCATATTCTTTTTGAGACATGTATATCGCTTGGAGATTCTTGTGGTGCTTTTCCTTGCTCGCTGCAGGCTTTGACTAGTCCTAGATGCCTCATATGGCACAGGTCAATCCATCTGGGGTATGGCTATATTGTCACATTTCACTACCGTTACCATGCCCAAGCTCGAGTCCCAACTATCCACTGCAGATCCCCAGTCCTCCGCATGGGACCTACCGACAGGGATGTTCCCCACGGGGGCTGATCCTCCTTGGTCCAGCAGTGGATTGACGGACGATGATGGTCCGCCAACGGCCGTGGCCGGTCCGAGGCGCAATGGAGCATCAAGCTCCAGCCAATGATGCAACCATCCGAGGTCAGCTGGTATTACATATATGCCAGTCATGCATGCATGTCTTTGACCGACCACCGTTCCTCCAGCCGAATCCCAAATCACCGCAACTTGACCCCTTCCCCTCATCTGCCTACCGCAACTCATCTAACCCTGATTCTCACCATGGCTGAGCTCGTCCCTGCCAATGCATGGGATACGCACATCCATGTCTTTGACCCCGACACCTTCCCTTATGCCGTCCCGCGGTCGTATAGTCCCAAAGCCGCCCAGATGGCCGAATATCCCACGGCTGTGACGGGCTGTCGGAACATAGTGATCGTCCACGCCTCTATGCAAGGCGTCTCCCCGGCCCCTCTGGTCGATACCCTCTCCAAGCAGCAGCAGATGCCCGGGTACACTCTGCGAGGCCTAGCGACGATTGACCCCTACACCATCACAGACCAAGAGCTCGACGCGTTACACGCGGCGGGAGTGCGCGGTGCCCGTTTGCACGAGATGGCCTGGGGCCACGGCAAGCAGAGTGGAGGCAGCGACATCATCAAGAAGGTGACTGCCCTGGCCGACCGGCTGGCCCGGTTGGAATGGGCCATTGGGATCTTCTGCCCCATTAGTGCGTGGGCAGCCATGGCAGACACGATCCGCAACTTGGATCCCCGGATCCAAATGGTGGCCGATCATTTTGGGGGCACGTTCCCCGGGGAGGAGGATTCGCCCGAGTTCGCCACGTTCCTGGGCCTGATCCGGGAAAAGAGGGTGTGGGTGAAGGTGTCGGGCTTTGAGCGTCTGTACCACGGACACGCGAGCGGGATGCAGGCCATCGAGCCGATTGCAAAGGCTGTGATCGCGGCAGGTCCGGATCGGATTGTCTTTGGTACGGACTGGCCGCATACGCAGCTGGGGGTGACGCGCAAGGGCAAGACGGACCAGCAGCGTTTGGAGGAGGTCGAGGGCTTCCGGGAGGTTAACGATACCGAGCATATCCGGACGTTGCGTGAATGGATCCCCGACGAGGAAACCTGGCAGAACCTGTGGGTCAATAACCCTGCTCGGCTATTTCAGTAGTGATTGGAGGTGGAGATGACGTCTTTTGGTTGACGTGGATGCGGATGGCGTGCTAGTGGCTGTCATGTACTCATACTTCCATTATATATCCAGCGAAAGAAGTTTGCCCGAGAATATCACAGAGGACGTTTCTCATTTTTTTTATTGAAGCTATTCTTTGTATCAGATCATAGTATCATAACAAGCTGTAACCCCAGAGAAGCAGTCCAAACGAGTAAAGACAGCCAAGGGAGCAGCATCGATCTTATCGGCCGATCCGACGGACAGGCGGGGTATCGCATACCCGACGGGGTTTATAAGCAACAACCCTCCACTCCCATCCAGCTCCATCCACCACGTTCTATACATGTACTGACTACCCATCATGTCGCACAAATCTAATCTCCTCATCTTCGGTGCCACCGGCAGCATCGGCCAATACATCACCGACGCCATCGTCAGCGCCCAAGACTCCTTCGGCCGCATCTCCATCTTCACCAGCCCCAACACCCTCACCAACAAGCCCGATGAGATCAACGCACTCCGCCACAGGGGTGTTGATATCCTGGTGGGCGATATTACCAATCGCGATGAGGTGCTCAAGGCCTATGGAGGTATACATCGCCCAGCTGCACCCGGTTTGTGGTATGCTAACAGCACCAGGCGTCGACACCATCATCTCCGCCCTAGGTCGTGGCGCCATTGCAGCCCAGATCCCTCTTATTCAACTAGCTAACGAGACTCCTCACATCAAGCGCTTTCTACCTTCGGAATATGGCACGGATATTGAATACAGTCCCGCTTCGCAGCACGAGAAGCCCCACCAGCAGAAGCTCAAGGTCCGCGCTGCCCTCAAGGAGGTGCGCAGTGACCTCGAGTATGCCTACGTCGTGACGGGTCCTTATGCAGACTTTCCCTTCTACCTGGGCCGGTCGAACTTTGCCAAGGGGGGCACCTTTGATGCGGTCGCCAAGAAGGCTGTGTTGCTGGGTGATGGACAAGGTCGGATCAGTCTGACCGCGTGTGCGGAGTATGTTGCCTCGATGAAGAAACCAAGGAGTATGCTGACGAGATAGTGTCGGAAAATTCGTCGTCCATGCCCTGACCCACTGGGATGCTGCTCGTAACCGCGCACTCAAAGTCAACTCGTTTACTACGACCCCGGCCGAGATCCTGACGCTCTTTGAGAACCAGACCGCGAGTGATTGGACAGTCGAATATACCTCGCTGGATGAGCTGCGGGCGTTTGAGAAGGAGGCCTGGGATAAGGGTGCCCCCGAGGCTACACTGTACACGCTGCGGCGCATTTGGACGGAGGGAGGGACTCTGTACGAGCGTCGGGACAATGAAGACATCGGCGTGACGGAGACGACGACGTTGTCTGAGCTGGTGAAAGACTCTGTCCAGAAGCAGGTCGAGGCGGGTGCAGCTAAGCATTGAGAATGAGCACGGGCATGTAACAAATAGGTATATGATCGATGATCCCAGCTGTAGTCTACGTCGCACTGGAAAGTATCGAGGCGAACTGCTCGTAGGCGGAAAACACAATACCACCGCTCAATACCAACCGGCCAAGGCGCATAGTGCTGCCTCGCCAGAACCCCTGAATGCCCTCCTCGCGCAGCAGCTCCGTCACCGCTTCCGACATGCCTTTCTGGCTCATCCCCTGGACGCGGGTCTTGACCGTGTCAAACGGCTGCGTCGCGTAGACGGTGATGGTGCCGGCTATTGAGCCCATGAAGAAGGTGGTAGCCCCGTTGACCGGGATGGACCGCTCCTTGAATGTTTCTTTGAGCATGTTGTAGGACCCCATGCGCACTGCGGAGGTGGCAGACTGCTTCACCGTTGTAGGGACCACGCCGCGATAGAGCCCACGAACGCCTTGTTGAGATACCAGCATATATGCTCCATGAACGGCGCCGCGTGCTTTCCGAGGACGTTTCGCATCGTCAATCCTAGCCTCGAATTAGCCATGGATCACGCGGATAGCATTAGAACACCTACAGAGCAGTCTTGATCCTCTCCGTAGGCGTCACAGCAAGGACACTCTCAAACCCGCCAGCAACCATGCCTGCAAGGATGCCATTGGCAGTTGACATTCGGCCTGCATCATCCACCAGCTGGTTCTTGATGGAATCGAAACACAGAAACCGCACCCCCGCCTTCAGCATGGTTCCCACAACCAGACTCGAGCAACCAGTGTATATTCCTCCGATCCCCTCCGCGGCGATGACCTGACGAATGAGCTGAAAGGGATTCTTCGTACTACCGGTGTTCCCTCCGAGCTGCAGACGCGTTTTGGCGAATTCGAAAGGGTACTGCAGGGCGTTAGAGATGCAGGGCGAGCCGGGGGTTGGAACATGCCGTTGTTGCTGCCTCTGCTCCCCCGGCCATGCCTCCTGCCAGGAGGGAGACGGCTGGGGAAATGCGTTGCCCCTGATAAGTTAGCGTTGAATGGAAATAGGTAGAATGTCTACCTTCTGATTAGGAGTGTGGTGTCGCTCATCTTGAGCGGTCGCGAGTTGCTTTGTGGCCATGGCGATGGTTTGACAATGCCGAATGCCGTCTTGAAAGTGTCATGGTCGCACAATTCGAGCTATACTGGTTATTTGAGCTATACTTGTCGTACTGAGGAATGCGACTTTGTTGACGCGCTGCCACGGGGAGTTGTGCTCCGGGCAAGGCGAGATAGTCTGCATCTCACAGAGCAGACAGGCGCTGCTTCCTACCGACGAGGCATATGCGAGCCATTCTAGTGCTCCATTCTCAATCGGACGTCCGAATTGATCGGAACCTACCCGTCACCAAGTGGAGAGATTGTTGTGGTTGAATGTTGATGCGGGCAGCCATGACATCACGGGATCCGACGGAGCGAAATGCTCCGTGGCGCTAGTCCCTATTGAGCCAGGACTGCGTGTCCGTGTCCTGTGACCGTATGGCCAATCAGCAATGCGGATACCGGATTAGTCAGAAGAGCATGCCTCGTCCGAAACAGGAAAGACATCCCATCCTACAACTCCCGTGCTTCAAGCTTTCTAACCGAGGACTGCATCGATGCTAGTTCATAGTATGTACTACTAGGCATAGCCGCCGCCTTCCCCGCAGACTCAGATCGGATGCTGCGTCATGCTGGCCGTGCCCCGACTAGTTGCTCTTGGCTCCCCCGGATCGCCCGCCTGCGGCTTCTGAATTAACCGTCGTGGCCTCTCATCAGCCCCCTCAATCTTACACTGGCAATTCTCCGTGCTGTCGGCATGTACGGCCATGAGTCCTAAACGCCAATCTCCTCCGACCACACCCCGGGCCTGTCAATTCTGTCGCGTTCGCAAGATCCGCTGTGACAATGTGAAACCCGTCTGTGGCTCGTGCCAGCGCCATGATCGACAATGTGTCTATGTCGTCGACCCACCCCGGCAGAGGTACGTCTCGTTATCCGTGGCTGGCCAGATCATGCCACGCCGGTCTGACCTGCCATAGGCCATCCAGAGCCCTCATCAACGCGGCTCATCGTCAGAGGCGTGCGGCTGAGAACGTCATCATTGCCTTGAAGAATGCGGAGCCTAATGCCCGGGATGGCATTCTAGACTCGATCCAGGTCAAGGATGGGTTCCTGGAATTGCCGCCGGCCTTGACTGGCCCCAGTTCCACCAACATCCCGGCCCAGCCGGCCCAGGCCAGTGATGCATACAACGGCTCGACCCTGTCCAGCACACCCAATGACTTGAATGATACCACCTCCGAGGACGAGGAATACGACCCCACCACCTTTCTATCCCGCGATGAATGCGGTACAGTCGGTATATTTGGCCCGTCGTCGGCGTTGCATGCCCGGAGCCCCGTCGGCCTTGTTGACGGCGCCAACCCGCGATCGGCTGCTGAACCGGATCGGTATCAACTCATTGCCGAGGCAGCCCTACAGCGCCAACGCGAGCCTGACCTGCGTCATCTAGTGACCATAGGGGGGATCCCGTCCGAGTTGGCCTTGCATCTGCTTGACCTGCACTGGAACCGCCAGCATCACACGTTCCTGCTGACCTATCGCCCAGCATTCATGCGAGATCTGGTCACCGGTGGGCCGTACTGCTCGGAGTTTCTGCTTAGCGCCGTCTTTGCCTGTTCGAGTAAGTTTTCAGAACGGCTCGAGGTGCGGGAAGATCCTCGACGGCCCGAGTCTGCTGGGAAACAGTTTTTCGACCGGTGTGACCAATTGCTGGCTGAGCAGTCACTCTTGACACATTCTAGCATTCCCACTATCGCCGGGTTGATCATGCTCGGCAGCACTTTCAACGCCCGAGGACAGACCTCAAAAGGTTGGTTGTACACGGGGTTTGCCCTGCGCATGGTGTACGACATGGGGTTGCATCTCGACTGCAAGGAGGTTGCTGCCAGTGCGGAGGATATCGAGGTCCGTCGTCGTGTCTTCTGGGCAGCTTTCATATGCGACAAACTGCAGAGCTTGTACTTTGGGCGTCCCTTTACCATTCAGCTGCGTGATGCCCATGTATCGCGAGTCTTTATGGATACTTTTGAAGAGAATGAGCTGTGGATGCCATATGTCGATCCCCAGAAGCCGGAGAGCCAGATCCGCTCTAATGTCCCTACGCGCATCTATTCCGTGACCGTTTTTCAACAATTGTGCTCATTGTCCAAGATCATGACGAGCATCATCGATCGCTTCTACATGGCTGGTGCCACTGGGAGCAAGACGCGCAAGTACCTGGAGCTGATCGACCGCCGGCTAGCGACGTGGTACCGGAAACTACCAGTGGAGCTGCAATTCGAGCCCTGGGCGGATGATGGCCGGTCTCCACCAGCTGTCGTCGCGCCCAATGTCATCATCCTTCTGACCACCTACAACGCGCTCATCATCTTGCTACATCGCCCGTTCATGGGCAGTGGGCATTTGCGCGCCGAGGATCCGCCGGCGGACTCCTGGGAACGCTGCATCACAGCTGCCCGCAACATCACGAGCCTGGCGTTGGCGTATCGCTCCGGCTATTCGCTACGGCGGGCGAACTACATGCTCAGCTACGCGGTGTATGTAGCTTGCACCATTCATGCACGCAATCCGGCCATCCGGGAAAGTACACGACGCAAAGAAGCCTCGTCTCCATTGACAGTCTGTCTGCGCTGTCTAGACGAGCTGGCAATCCCCAACTGCGGAGTGTCGGCGCCATCGAAGATTATCCGCCGGCTGATGGAGGCCAACGGCATGTCCATCCAAACGGGTACGCATCCCAATATAAAACCTGAAATTTGCTAACAAACCAGGCTGCGACCCTACCATCCAAGACCCCTTCCAGGTGGACATCAACCTAGACTTCCAAACATTCCCGGGCCTCGACTTCAGCCCGCGCCGCCTCGACCACGACAACCAGCTCTCCGGGTTCCAAGACTTCAACCAAGATCTGGATCTGCTGTTCGGGTTCATGAACGAGCCGGACGTGTCCATCTCATCGATCTTCAATAGTGTTGTTCCTTACTAACTGTACATCCATACCCTATCAAATAGACCTTTCTTTCACTCTAGAACAATCGTCATTCCTAAAATCCATAAAACTAAATACCCACGTAAACTATCCATCATCATACCTCCCCCCTCCCCCAAACCCACCACCCCAGAAGCATAACTCACTCCAATACAGCAGGATCCTCCCTAACCACCTGATCAAAATACGGCTGAAACGCCAACCACATCTTACTTGAATTCCCACTCTTCCTATGCGTCAACTCCGCCTCCTCCCGATTAATAAACACCTTTTCCCACCCGGGCCCAGCCGCCGCATTCGCCATCATCTGCGCATGACAACATCTATCCAACGCAATGAACAAAAACGCAGCCTCATCGACCGTCTTCCCACAGGTAATCATCCCATGATTCTGCAATATCACGCTCCGACACGTCGGGCCCAATGCCTTGGCAATCCGAGCCCCTTCTTCCGTGGAGAGAACCGTCCCTCCGTACCGCGGATACACGGCGAGATCGTTGTAAAAGCGTAACGCATCCTGGTATAGCATTTCGATGGGACGGGCGAAGCAACTGAATGCTTTCCCGTAGACGGAGTGCGCGTGGCATGCTGCGTTGAGGTCCGGACGCGCTTTGTGGATTTCGCTGTGGATGGCGAATGCGGGGCCGTTGATGGGGGATTGCGCGCCGCCGGGGAGGACTTGGCCGTGTTCGTTGACGAGGACGAGGTCTGAGACGCGGATGAGGGAGAAGTGTGTGCTTAGGGGGTTGATCCAGAAGTGGTCTGTAGATGTTAGTTTGGCGTTGGGGTTTGGGGGGGATGGGGTAAGGGAGGTGGGGGTTACGGGGATTGAGGGGATCGCGGAGGGAGATGTGGCCTGCTACGCCCTCGTCGAAACCCTGTTTGGCGAAGACTCGAAAGGCTGCTGCTAGATGCTGTTTCTGGTATTCGCGCGATTCTTCGGCGGTGGTGAAGGTGGGAGGGGAGCGGATTACCACTTTGCCTTCTTTGTCGCCGAGGAAGTGCACTTCGTCGAAGAATTGGGAGGGGGTGCCATTGTTCGGGTTGGTTTGGGTTGTGGTTTCGGTGGTGGTGGTCATGGTGGGTGGTTGTTTGAGTGTAGATCTGAATGTATAGTCGTGGTAAAGGGAAGATTGTTGGGATTGGTCAAGGTAATACCGGGATAGGGTTTGGACAGTTCGATTGATGGATCCTGAGATCTTGTATTTTATAACCTGCCAGTGGGTCAAATGCAAAGGTATCGAACCCGTGGTGGCCATCGCATCGGATAGACGGACAGTAACAGGCACGGAGAGTCGATCTCCGTCGACGGAGCCTGGCATCCGCCCGTCGCAACTCAATGGCCTTGCCCCGTGGTGGCATCCCCGCATGTGATGTCAGCGGGGAATAAGGCGATCCATCGCGTACACCATATCATTCCCCCCTCGCGCCGGTTTGTCCGATCCAACCATACCTTCATTCCGCAGCATTCAAACAATAACCGACATGAAGGCTGTAGGAGTCAAAAACGGCAAAGGGGATGCAGATGCCCTCTTTATCGAGGACGGGATCCCGGACCCAGTTCCGGTGGGGAATCGCGTGCTGGTCCGCATCAAGGCCTTTGGATTGAATCGAATGGACATTATGCAGAGGGAAGATCGCTATCCGTATCCGTTGTTGCCGGAGTCGGGGAAGATCATGGGCGTGGAGTTTAGTGGGATTGTCGAGGAGAAGGGGCCAGACTGTACGTCTATCATGTCATTGGTAGAGATTTTTGCTGAGAAAGTAGGCTCGGATGATTTCCAGATGGGCGATAAGGTGTTTGGACTTGCATATGGAGGAGCAGTATGTCTGTTCTTTCCCATCATAGACATCGATTGACAATGGAACAGTATGCGCAGAAGATTGCAGTCTCGGAGAAGATGCTCGTGCATCTGCCCTCAACTCTGTCTTTCGAAGAAGCAGCCGGTATTCCCGAGGTATGACTCGTTTACTCTGTGCCAGAGAAACATGTTAACAAAAACCAGACTTCTTTCACTGCCATCCAGGCCATTCACCTGGTGGGTAACCTCCAGCCCGGCCAGTCGGTGCTCATCCACGCCGGCGCCTCTGGAGTCGGCCAATCCGCCATCCAGATTGCCAAGGTCGGCGGTGCATACCAGATCTTCACCACCGCCGGAAGTGACCAAAAGTGCGACCTGTGTCGTTCCCTCGGGGCCGATTTTGCAGTCAATTATCGCTCGGGAGAGGACTTTGCGGAGGTGATCAAGAGGGAGACGAATGGCAAAGGCGTGGACCTGATCATTGACCTAGTAGGAAGAGACTATTTCCACCAGAACATGGCCTCGGCAGCCATGGACTCCCGGATGGTGCTGGTGGCAGCACTTAGTGGCAGCAAGGTGGATGACTTTGATCTGCGCGCGTTGCTCAACAAGCGGATTTGGCTCTTGGCAACGACGTTAAGAACCAGATCTGCTGACTATCAAGGCCAACTGCGAGATTTGTTCGCTGAGAAGATCCTTCCTCATATTAAGACTGGGGAGGTGAAGACAACGGTCGACAAGGTGTATTCGTGGACCCAGGTGACCGATGCCCATAAGCGGTTGGAGTCAAATGTCAACGCGGGGAAGATTATTTGTGTGGTTAATGAGACTTAGCTTGTCTGAATATGAGATTTCATCACATTGCGATCCTCGTAGCGTAGATATATGAACTAAACGTATGAAAATAAGCGGCAACAGAAACAAAAAGAACATATAGTCATGGAAATCAAATACACACGGTCAATATGCAACAGGCCGTGAAGGTGAACTACGGTACCGAAGAGCATATACGCCACAGGAGCTTCGTCCGAATTCGAAGCAATAGATGAAAGTCTTTCTCAACTATACCTGGGAGACTAATGCCATTAAAGAGTACCGTTATACACTGGTAACAAGGCACGTAAGCTTGTAACATCCAGAGCCCTTTAACGCAGGATGAAATACGTGGTACGTCATAGTATCATGTTTACAATCATAGTAGGTCCTATAATAAAAAAAACCCCTTGTTGTATCGCTAAAACCAGATTCATGGCTCTTCCATACGTCGATCGATGAATTCCAAAGCCATCACACTCCAGGGGCATAGATCCCTACAAAATCAGTAGCTCACTAGAGGAAAGACTTCACTACATCAGGTTTTGTGTCGGCGCTCAACTCAGCATCATGGCCGAATAGCCACTCCCGACGCAACTCATGTCCCCAAAAGATCGGGCTAGAGGAACTGTCCTGCCGCATCAACTTGTCTTATCGGCGCTGCTCGATGCCGTCATCGATATACAAAATATACTGATGCTCTCAGGTCTTCGACTGGATAAGGGATGCTCTTGGGCGTCGAATAGCCTCATATTGCTTCAATGCACTCGCAAGGTCGGTTCCTTGAGCGAGAACCTTCCGGATAGTGGCAGCATCTTCCGCCGCCTGGGCCGCTCCTTGGGCTAGATAGGGCAGCATGGGGTGACACGAATCACCTAGAAGACATGCCTTGCTAGACGGATGCACCCAGGTCGAGAGCACGGGAAGATCACACAATCGCCATTTCATGAAGGACTTGGTCAAACGACATACCTTCTGCACCCGGGGCTCCCAGCTGGAGAACCTTGCGCAGAGCTCCTCGTTGTCGCCCTCCACGACCCAGGTGTCATCGGCTGTTTCTCCCTGCGAGGTAGCGCATACGACGATGTTGTAAAGCTCGCCATTGCGGATAGGATAGCCGACTAGGTGGGCATCCGGTCCACACCAGGATGTATTTGCCGGGTCTGTGATGAGGTCGGCGAGGTCCGGATCTGCAAGGAGGTCTTTCCCATGGATGAGGATTCGGTATGCAACGTCTCCAGTGTCTCTAGGGCGGTCTGGCTGGCCTGTGAGAAGTGGGCGAGCAGTGGATTTGATACCTGGGACGGTCAGTCATGAATATTATCATATAAGTGAAAACCGATACCATCAGCACAAATGATTAGATCGGCCGTCCATTCTTTTGAATCTGCTGTGATGGCCTTGGGAAGGGTGAAATCGTAGGACGTGACGTGTTGGTTGTTGTGGATGGCCACCCCCGCGCGGATGGCCGCGGTAAGCAAGCTTGCGTGCAGATCGGCTCGGTGAACCATGTAATACGGCGCGCCATGTCGTTCCTCGATATCTTCAAAGGGAATCTTCGTAATGGTTGAACCATCCTCCCAGCGAATAAAGTGGTAACGTCGGCAGGTTGATTTCTTTAACCCGTCTACGTCAATGCCCCAACGGCGCAGGAGACGGGAGCTGTTGGGCGGGATGCGAATACCGGCACCGGCCTGATATTGACATGTTAAAATCAACATGTCTATAAAACAGTTTGAACTCTATTTCTGACCTCTTTAAATTCCGTGGAGGAATCCAGAAGCGTCACACGGTGGCCATCTTGTCGCAGAGCCAGAGATGCAAAAAGACCCCCGAGGCCAGCACCCACAATAAGAATGTCAAGCTTTTCCAAGTAGGAAGACATTGTCTTTCTGTGCAAGTGGATAGAAATTATGGAAGAATAGCGTCCAGGTGCACCATTGAAAGAAACTTGATCAATCGATGCTCTTGTAGGTAGATAGGTGGGGTTCCGCGGTCGTAGATACCCGGTTGGGAGCATGCATCCGGTGGGCAGAGCTGCAAATCCCCGATTATTTAGTGGAGAATGCCTCATGGGTGTGGTACACACCGTTGTACACTCTGCTGTGTAACTAAAGAGTCATCCTTCTTAAAACCCATGTCGCCCTGCTCGACGGGGTGGTGCTCCATCAAACTGCTCCTTCTATGATTATGGCGAGATCACTATTACTTTATTTGTTAATTTGACTAGCAGTCTGGAATACTGGGAGTCTGTTGACATATTCATCATCCCATCATACCCACCAGGCATGGAGAAACGGAACTCACATGAAATCATGTCGTCCTCCAAAGACTGACCATCCTCCAGCTGTGGGTTTCAGTATGGCAGGTAGGTCGTGTGACTACCTGAACAACAGTTCATCTCCTTAATTTCCCAACACTTGGTAGAGTTCCCAGACAATTCACGACAAGCTCCGCATCTTGGCCATAAACCTCAGTGACCTACCGTGGCTGTGACTACCATTTCATTCAACTGCGCCACGGCGGGCCTGGTTGGTCTCCTAGTCCAAGGTCTTGTCCGATGGTTTGTCGGAGGTCAGAACAAAGCGAGTCAACAGAGCCCTAAACCAACAATGCGACGATTGTCCATCGGGAGACAATATCCGGCCCGGACGGGAATCTTTGTTGGGTAGTTCCGTCTTTTGCGCCGTCAGCCAATGAATGATGAAACCCTCATGAAACCATCCACCTGGGAGCCAACAAAGACAGCGACTCAGCCATGAGTACAGCCACCAAAATTATTCGGGGTTTCCATACTCTTTCACTCACAGAGCTAGGTATCTGTCCTACACTTTGTCAAAGAATGCGCATTCATGACCGATATGACGCAAATGGCCCTTTATTCTGGGATACATCCGACAAACAGCTCCATTCATCTACATATGATGGACAACAGCACAGGACAAATACCGAGAGCATGAGATGCATTCAAGCACGAGGCATTATATAAATCCCTTGTACACCTGTGGACTGTTGTCTTTCTTTCCCACCCAGCAATCCATCTCCAACTTCCCACATCACTATCAGAAAACAGATCGTCCGGTACCCTAGCAAAGCTACTGCCTTGACCATCTAGCAACCTCGTCAAAATACTTTCCCTCCGCAGTTCCCACTCACTAGCCGGACCTGTCGGGCGCAATCGTCAAACCAAAGACAAAATGCCTTCCGATATGCGTGGCTCTCTCAAGCGAGTCAGCACTCTCACCGGTACAACTCCCAAACCGACAATCTTCGAAAGGTTGAAGGCTCACGTGAGCATCCGTATGCTCTTTTTGTGGATTGTCCTGCTTAACATCCTTGGCTGTTTGCTCGTGGGCGTGGTCATTCTATTTGACCAGTGGTCTCGCACATCCCCATCCAAGCAGCCATCTTTACTGCGTCGCTGGGGAGGGTTTGAACATCGTCCGCTGAACAACAAGTGTTATCGTGAGGAACGCACGGCAACTCTCCTCTCTATCTTCTTGGGGCTATTCGGTGTGGATCAGTGGTATGCTCATCACTGGGTCCTTGCTACTTTCAAGATGCTTACTTTGGGGGGCTGGGGGGTCTGGGCTGTGGTTGATGTTGTTCTGTGGGTGGTGGGTGGTGTTTATGGCACCCCTGGCTGCCCTGGAGGGCGTTCTGGATGGTATTAATATTGTCATTCACTCGGACTACAGGTATATATATATATATATATATATTGATATCTATATAAGGGACGTGAGAAAAGAGGTCGTCCCGGTTGCTCGGTGTCAAGATGATATACGATGAGAACTGGATATCAGGTTTTAGAAATTATTCTCTGGGCCCCAACATTGAAACCAATTTGAATGTATGCTTCAATATTCCCACATAGTTTTCCATCTTGTAGTAAGGCCTCAAGCATGAAGACCGAACCCGCGGTCACGTGCATTCTGCATCAAAGAGGCTATTTTGGGATCCTTTGTTGCTCATCACTCGGCCGACTTGGAGCAGACGCTCTTCTCTATTTGCAGAACAGCCAGAAGGTGATTAGTAAAGAGGCTCATAGCCATGGCTTCCTGCTGGTGTAGCCGAGGTCCGGATGCACACATCCGCTACCCCAGTCTTCAGTCACCCGTGATTCGGACAGATACAACACCCGATCCTTTCTGCTCCTCGGATGAGTTCTTCCTGGCTATCAATCCGATGTGGAGCAATGCTTAACACATCCTCGGGTCCGCGACGAGTTACGGAAGGGTACTGCCCCGAGCTGCGATCTATGCTGAAAAGTAACCCACCTATCCACAAGGCCTGCGTGCACCAGCCAAACGGGGCAACCCAGTATCGGTACAAGCATTTCCACCGTGCAAGCTCAGACAAGAACGTGTTCTGTGTCAGCGAAGTGGCATCCCATGCATCTCTAACTACCAGCGTGAATCCTCTGTAGATAACATGCCCGCCCTCGGCCGAAATGTCGGCTGCTCGATGTCGCAGTCAAGCACTGATAACGAGCACAGCCTCGGTAAAGCCAGCCAACCAGTACTGCGGCGTGTCAATGATAGCCGAGGCCGTTCTCACGATATCGGACGGTAGGCTCCCTCTCCTTTATCGATCTCCGCAGCTTGGTCTCTGAGCGACAGCCGTCTGCTCTCTTCGCTGCCGATACCGTTGCGGGGGCATGGGGAATGCAGTACGGCCCAACTCAGTTGGCATTGTGAGTTATTTATTCTTTTCTTGAAGAAGCTACCCGAACATGTGGCATGAGTTCATAGTCTATGCGGTAACCCAGCTTCCTTGTACTGGAGTAACTTTGAGCAACTTCTCATAACCTGAACGTGGGCTGAGTACAATTGGTACACTAGTGGCTGTAACTATACTATCGAGTGTTCAGATGCAGTTTTTCAATCCATAGTGTGATAACCATAGCATGCGGTACACCTGGAAGCGGGAAATAACCAAAGTAAGGACTGAAAAGGTGCGAACACCTTGCCTACAATGACTACCTAGAAGATAGGCTAAGTGGCGCTTAGGTAGTCACTGAGACGAAGACATGTAAAACATTTTGGCCTTGAACTCAGATTCATTCTGCCGAGATTGCTCTCCCCAACTTTTGTTCTCGAAATAAACCCCCCCGGTCCATCTGATTGTGCAAACCGGTCCTTTTGAACGCTGACCATCAACCTGACATCTCCTTGGGCGCAACATGGCCAGACTGGAGTCCCTCCCGGGCACTAGACATCAACACACATCTCCAAGGTCATATCCCTGCGAATACGCTCTCCCCTGGAAATCATCTCCTGTGCCTTGTCCTTGTTCTCATCCCAGGTATTGCGATCGAGTTGGTATCGGTAGTTGACATACTCAATCTTGACCACGACAGAATCGTCCTCCTTTTTCTTTTCTGCCTCGGACACAGCGAACGAGATGGATTTGATTTCTGTTCCGCGTTATTAGTCTGTGACACCATATAAGGGAATTGAAAACATGACTTACCCAAATTATCTTTCTCCTCGACCTTCAGCTCCACGTGGGTGGACTGGTACTGCTGAGTCTCGTCTGCACGACGCGCAGCAATGATCCGGTTGATGATGCGCAAAACCACATCAAACTGGTCGGGCAGTCTCTCGTCTGATTCGAGACGCACTTGGATCTCGTCCTCGAGTTTGGCATTCATGTCGTCCTCGTTGGTCTCAACCTCGATAGTGAATTGTCTGTTTTCGGTTTCCGAGAGCCTGTGTGGAGCAGGATTAGTATCCGTGGGTATAGAAGGGGAGAGGAGGGTTGAATCTACCAAGACTGGCTTCGCTCGCGCAAAGCGCTGATAACCTTGGCGCGGTAGTCGGTGCGCTTGATACGCGACTCCAGCAAATCGTCGGTAGGCAGGTTGCCTTTTCTCATCTGGTTGTTGAGTTGCGATTCCGCTTGTGCGAGCTCCCAAGCATTCCATGCTTCGAGGTCGGTCTTTAAGGACTTCATGGTCTCCTTGTCAGAGTCGGACACAGGTCGGCAGTAGTAAAGGAGGAGGAGGTTGGGAGTGCCGTAGTCACTGGTGACGTCCACGCCCTCGGGAGGGTCGACATAGTCGGCGGAGAAGAGAGACACGTCAATATGGGGAAGAGAGTGGGCAGGCATAGCTGTGACCGTGTGGGGATATAATAAGTTATGAGCAGTGCTGATATGGGTGAGATGCGGATGGAAGTGGTGAGCTGTGGAGGGAAAGAAATCTTTCAGCTTTTATGTCTGCTAACCCCGACGTCAAACGTAATCTTCTGACGAAGAAGATACCATGTTGCATATCTAGTTCAACAATGAGGCATTTCTGCAGTCCACTCATCCTGAATCTTCATGACAACACCTCCTGCTGATTCCGAACCCCGCCTTCAGCTGTATGGCAATGCAACGCATCCAATAATGCTTCCCCTAGTGGCGATGCTCAATATGCACCCAACGTAAGGTTATAATGTCGCCCTGGTGGATTATCGCGGTTGGGGCGGGCTGAAGAATGACCTTTGGGATCTGTTTGCCGATGCAGTCTCACAACGCACATACCAAAGTGACACGCCCTATATCCCTAGCATATTCGTAGTAAGACTGGCTCGGGGAGCATTCGCTGTTCTCCACTCCGAGAATCCATATTGAATCGACTGCACTTCGCTATTTCCCCGCCTTGCGTGATTCCACATAGGTATACGCGTCACTTGTGTGCTTTGAATAATAGCCGTCATTGATGCAATGGCCTTCATATCTTGGCTGAATTCAATATTGCCACAGTGCAGAAGCCAATCAAACAATGCCGTGCTATTACCCAATAGTGGAATCTGCACGCCGAGTTTGTCAATCGTTTCAGGTTGCGATGCTGCCTGCTGGGTGTAACCAAGCGGAATCGCCATAAATTTGAATATGGTAGATTTAAATATGGTCTAGATCTTGGCCGCAGTTTTGACTGGGGGCAATACGTTAAAGCTTCGATAAAAAATGCTTTTCTGGGTATAAAATGCGCTTAAGCTGGCGGTAAATGTTGGACAACCGCGGAGTGTCGATATGCTCTCCCCTCATTGTACGAGGTCCAGAGAAGGCAATAAGCTTAAATGATATAATCTGACTCGACTCCTGTCACCTTGGTCAGACCGGAAATTTCTTGGTTGACCCTATTCGGGGAGCGGGGGGTTGCACAGAGACCCATGCTCCCGTTGCATCGGATGCATAAGCAGCTGCAACATCACAAATATCTTCGCCACGAGCTAAGCGCTCAATATTCTCTTCTCCAGCGTTGTCTGCCTTACGGTTGCGTAATGGAAACGATCAAGGGAAGGAGTGTTATCCTCGAAGCAAGAATTTCCTAATCCTGGGCGACTTGCAATCGGTCCCCTTGGAAGACACGCACCTCGCCACGTCTCATCTCATGTATAAAAGGGTGTCCCTCAAGCAACGATGAAGATGGAAATACAACCCTCATAGGCTCCTACTTCGCCATTGTCTTCTCTGAATTCCTTGTTGAACCCTCTACTGCTCCAAAGTCGAGACAAGATGTCGCTCCACAAAGTCGCTGGTCTTCCTGTGCGAGCACCGATCCGGGGAATCCCTTACGAGGGAGACATCCATCCCTCCGACGATGGAATGGGAGTCAGCGACTACAACTCCACGTTCTATGTGAACTTCCAGGACAACCGAGTCCCCAGCAAGCTCGACTCCCGGGTGAAAGAGCTCAAAAGCATGCTGAACTATACTCATCAATGGTTGGACATTTGGGCGGGTAAGAACACCGATGACCAGATCAAGCAAGGAAACCTGTCTGGCAGCTCAGACATTGATGCCCAGACGGAGCGCAACAATTACCGTCACAAGGTCATTGATGTTCTCGTCGGCAAGGCTGCGTGGTAAGTTCCTAGGTTGCGATAACGCTTTTGTCACTGGGCTGACTCGGATGTATCTGCAAGGATGATGGAATCCAACACCGACACGAAGAGTTTCGGCATCGAGATTAAGAAGGAGAACTTCCACTTCGAGATCCTCAAAGCCATGCTTTCCGGGATTGCCCAGCCGCAGAGTTTACTGCAGGACATTGAGAATGCTCTACAGAGCATTGCGGATACCATCAAGGAATCGAAATCCGTCAAGCAAAGCCAGTCGATGTACAGCTTGAACCATGTCATTTTCTATGACTCGGCGGCGGACGATGTCACTGCCTGTGAGTTCCCCTGCCTAGTTTGGGCGTGGCTAGATCCATCCCGCTGACTTGCCCCAGCCTTCCGCACGGTGTGGTATTCCATTGATGAATCGATGAAAACCGTGGTTTCGAACAAGTCGTCCACTCAGGAGGTTAATGTGACGTTCGAGTTTGCGGCCCGGGACTTTACTTTCAACGAGGAAACCTGGCAATCCCAGAAGGAGGCTGTGGTCAAATTTGTTGAGGATGCAGCTGCAGCGAACATCAATGACCCCTTGGATGGTGGTGAGATTTTGCCTGATGCATGATTGACTCGGATGCCGCTGAGGCCACCTTGGTGTTTCTTTATGTGATGTTTCGTTGGTTTTCGGTCTCTCAGTGAGGTAACGGCCATGACTGTCCTTTATTGGATACGACTTGCTGCAAGCCTGTTGTCTTTGGAGAGAAATCCCCACCAGTACTTTCATGAGTCATTCCTTGAAACCATATCGTGTGAGTCATCTGATTGATCGTCGTATTCCCAGCTGTAGCTTTCCAAAGTGGAGTGTCCCTAAAGAAGACCTCACCGGTCTGGCCGGTCGTGGCATCCTATAGCGTATCATGGGGTAACCCCATAGCCTGATGTAGCGTTTGTCATGGTCATGTGATGGGGGGCTTCCTGGACGAAGAATCTTTGCCACCTGGAGGGGAAAGGTGGACGGATATAGTCACCGATAGACTCGGTGGGCCCCACCGGTGGTCTGGCGTGAGGCTATGAGTGAGCCTCCGTGAGTCAGGGCGGGATGGAAGGATGGAAAACCCGGCCGATTCCGGGGATGGGGACGATGGACACACGTGGCATGGAGGATGGAGCCGTGGTCGATTGCCGATGAGCAGGAGCGATCGAGGCCCGGCGGTTGGACGCTGGAAGCTGTCATGGGTCGGCTCACCGGGCAGACGAGTGAGTCAGGTCGGCATCAAGAGCTTCTTCTCCAGGCCGACAGTGGACGGGCCGGAGTGCTGCCAGTCGACCCCGAGGAATGGAATGCAGCTATACCGCAAACGGGCCGCCAGACGGGGTCAATTTGCGTGGTGATGTGCGGCAGTCTAACCCGATGGGGGAACGCCCCCGCGCCGGGCATGCTGGCAGTAGGGCTGCGCGACCAACCCTAAGCTGCGGAAAACCTTGGAATCCTTCTATGCGCCACCGTGACGCTGCAAGCGGTCTAGCGGCAAAGGTTTCCCTCCGGCGGCCGGGGGAGTTCCCAGGCCCAAAAGGCACCATTCGATTTCCGGGGCAGCCTGCCTTGAGCTAATTTGATCCTCACCCCCCCCCAGGTCCGGTCCCGGAGGAGCCATCCCCTGGCATTCTTCACGCCATTTGGCAGCAAAAGAACCCCCAGCGGTTTGTCGATCGTCTCCCGGTGATTCCTGAAGGCTGAGTAGGCTAGCCAGAGCCTTTTTGTTCCTGGATTCAGCAATGGTGCGGCGGGTGGGCCCATGCAGGGCCCCCAGCAGACCACGGGCCCGACATCGGAGCAGAGGCAAACGGGCGGCAAACTTTGTGTCACGCCCAACAGAGATTGCTTTACGGCGGCCTCTGATTTGTCCGTCCGGCCCTCCCATTAACTAAGAAAAACCTCTTCGCCATGCGTCAATGCTTCACGGTACTGCCACTGATTCCTTATAAGCCTGGCGGGCGTGCCTGCCTCCAGCTCCGCCACTGCCGCTGCTGCTACTGTCGCTGAGTGTGCTGAGACGGGTGCCTGTCCAACTTTTCCATCCCTCTCGCCATCCCCGTGGAGTCAGCCCGCCAACCACCACTAGCAACCATGTCGTCTCAGGACGTGAAGGATATCGAGAACGGCCCCGGCCCCCGGATCGAGGAGGATGGGGCCATGTGGGAGGGTGACGACCTCAAGGTGCCCACCATTGAGAAGGATCCGTTTGGGTCGGAGGGCGTGGGAGAGGTGCACTACAAGACCCTGGACTGGTGGTATGTTTCTCACTCGAACTAGGTATATAATGGGCCATGTACTGACAGTACTTCTCCCGCTGCAGGCAATCTGGAATCTGTATGACACACTTTGATATCGTGTCCATCGGGCTGCTTAGCTAATCATGTATAGTGATGATTGCAGAGACTGTGTCGCTGGGTGTTCTGTCCCTGCCTGCCACTGTGGCTGAGGTTGGCCTCATCCCGTATGTATAAGATGCTGTCATATCATTGCCAATGTCTCTAACCATGGTTTCAGTGCCGTCATCTTGATCGTCGGCATGGGTATCATCGCCACCTACTCCGGCTATGTCATTGGACAGTTTCGCACGAGATATCCCTTCATCCACAGCATGGCCGATGCAGGCGAAGTCCTGCTCGGTCGCCCCGGTCGCCTGTTCACCGAAGTTGCTCAGCTGTTGTTCTTCATGTTCGCGTCGGGCAGTCACCTAGTCACCTTCACCGTCATGATGAACACTCTTACCAACCACGGCACCTGCTCCGTCGTCTTCGGCGTGGTGGGCCTGGTGCTTTCTTTCGTCTGCTCCCTCCCCCGAACCATGAAGAATGTCTCATGGTTGGCCTTGACCTGTCAGTCCCCCATCAGTCCGTTGTTTGTCGGTCACTCCCGCTGACCTTCTCTCCAGCCTTCATCAGTATCTTCACCGCCGTGTTGATCACCATGATTGGTGTCGCCGTTGAACACCCGTCCCCTGCGCCTATGCAGCTCACCCGCTCCACGAGCTTCGTCAAGGGCTTCTCGGCTGTCACGAACATTGCCTTCGCCTACTGTACGTCGCGATCGACTTCTTTTGACCCGCATCCCGTGCTAACCCATGGCAGGCGGTCACCCCGCGTTCTTCGGTTTCATCGCCGAGATGAAGAACCCCAAGGACTTCCCCAAGTCACTCTGCATGCTGCAAGGCTTTGAGATCGTTTTTTACACGGTCGCGTCGGCCGTCATCTACCGCTATGCCGGTCAGGAGGTCAAGTCCCCTGCCCTCGGCTCCGCGGGCCCCGTGGTCCGGAAGGTCGCCTACGGTATTGCCATCCCCACCATTGTCATTGCCGGTGTCGTGTTGGGACATGTCGCCATCAAGAACGTGTATGTCCGTCTCTTCCGTGGCACCGATGTCATGCACAAGCGTGACGCCCGCGGTGTTGGCGCCTGGATTGGACTTGCTGCTGGATATTGGATCATTGCCTGGGTTATTGCCGAGGCCATTCCCGTTTTCAGCGATCTTGTCAGCTTGGTCGTAAGTTTACTCCTTTGTCCGCCATCGGACCGGACACTAATTGTTCCTTGCAGAGCGCTTTGTTTGCCAGTTGGTTTTCTTTCGGTCTGCCCGGTGTCTTCTGGCTGTACATGTACCGCGGCAACTACTTTACCTCCGTCCGCAAAACCCTCCTCACTCTCGCCAACGTGGGGCTGTTCCTCATCGGTGCCACCATCTGCATCTGTGGTCTGTGGGTGTCGGGATTGTCGATCCATAACGACAGCTCAGGCAGCAGTTTCTCGTGTGCGAATAATGCCTGAGATGGTCATGAGCTACTGCTTCCTCATGCCCGGGCTCTGTATATAGATATGTATTATAGTATAGATTTCATTTAATATACCCCTCTGCATTGCTTGATCGAATTCCCGTCTATCTATACTGCGTGCGTCTTTGCGATTATACTTGTAAGTATTCTAGATAACTCTAGACCTAGAATATGCTTTTGAACCGACAAACATCTTACGGTGATCACGGGCTGGCAGTAGTATTTGCAGATACGGGAACCATCCTATGACGAACACATGTCTGGATCAGCTCATCGGCAATGCTAAAGTCATGAATTTTATTGAATAGAGCAAGCTCCTGTATCGCTTATCATACGTCTTTCATCAATCCGATTCCAATCTACAGTTTTGGTGTTCAGGTGCTGTGTCGGAGTACACAGCGGGGATGAAAATATATATTCCCGTTAGCCACAAGTTCACAAGAGTGCTCCTCCTCAAAAAGCAGTCAGGCTACTGATAGGAAGGATATCACATCAATGACAAAAGAGAATACCTAATGACCATTCAGAACCGAATATACGATGCGTCGGACCATGTGAATTGATTAGGCGGGGTCTCGGCGTCGCGTTCTCTTCGTCGACTCTGGCTACCTCTGTGTACATTCATTGAAAATCATTCCACCCATCTGGCATCGGTGAATTTGATTATTTATGCTCCCAGTATCTCCATGGAATCCTTGTCCGAGTTACATTCCCAGTCTGCTTGCCCTAGAGACATCACCTTTGAAAAGCTCGCCAGAGATACCTGATCGGGTGGAAGGTGGGGGAGGAAAGTAACACGAAGCAGGCTTCCCGCATAAGCTTAGTAAGCTGCATAGCATAACGTAATCGGTAAGCGAGCGGGCAGTGTAAGCGAGCGGGCAGCCGCGCCCGCCAACACAACTTCCATGAAAAGATGAAGCAATTATTAGCCACTATATACATAAAATCTCATGCTTAGATGATGTTTTGATGTGTAGGACACCTTATTCTTGTATGCCCTACTATATTACAGTTACTGCAGCGAGGCGGTGCCCGGTGGCAAGACTGTTCTTTCTCTGCAGCCGATTTCACTGGCTGGATACTACTTACTTTATCAGCCTCATAAGCCTGTATAAACGTGTTTATAGCCTTGCTGACAGTAAGGCTGTTAAGACCTGCTATTTAATGATATGATCTCTTCTTCTTGGTGTTTTGCCTCTCCAGCCTGGCTTGTAGTTTGTTAACTTTCTCTTAAAGCAAGATAGTCCGGTTGAAGGCAATCTCACAGCCCTTTATAATATAGGCTAAGACTGCTTTCATCTACGAGGAAGAACTAATTGTATATTTATAAAGATATCTCTCAATTATTGTTTTATACTTCTTTAACTGCCTCGTATTCTTGGGTGTCTTTAACAGTGTTAATATAGTGATTATACTGCCTGTTAGAGTAGCCTCCCGTAGTTGTAAAACAAGCTGGCCAAGCACCTTGTCCGGCTGAAACGGTACTAATCCTGAAGCCTTAAAGGCGCTTTATATAGTTGACTTCTTAAAGATAAAAGAATGTGCCTCTGGATATATATCCAAGAAATCAATCTTATCAATATAATGAGTGTCTTGGCGAGTTAGCCGTTTCACTAAGCTGCTGTAGGCTCGTTTTAACAGCGTGAAACAAACTATATTAAGTGGTTGACAAAGATATGAAGAATGCGGAGGCATATAGATAGAGACAATATTATTTTAATTACAGATATTATTAAATTCCAGAGTCAAATGGGAGTTGTGTCTATCAAGAATCAAGAAGCTATATTGTCCAATCCGCCGGTCTTTAGTAGCTGGAATGAAGTATTCATAAAGCCAGTGTAGGCTAATCTTATTAGAAATCCAGCTATTTGGTGATAAATTGATATGCCAATCATGTAGAATATGGCCTTGAAGCCAGGCCTTGATATAGACTTTTCCTTTAAAAATCATATACAGAGCCAACACGGCGCTGGTAGTATTAATATACTTAATTAAGGTTATCTATTCGCGGTTGCCAAGCTGTATAAGAAACAGCTTGTCTATACAGTTAGATCGTGTAACTACACGCGCTGTAGTTACTATGCCTATGGCAAAGCTTATTTTATCAAAATTCTAAACATCTTTATTCAGGATTCTGTATTCTGTCTTAACAACTTTAACCCGGGCAAACCACTTGCTAAGAACCTTTGGATCCTTGCACTTTGCACGTTGATAGTTTAATCTTTAAGAAAATCAAGTCTTTAAAGCTTTATCGTGGTTCACGAAGTTGTATACCCATTTCTTGCCAACGGAGGCTGTAGAATTCGACTCATGCCTTTGAAGAAGGATATTAGCCATTCTCTAAATATATAATGGTTGAGGATAAAGTCCACGCTTTACAAGTGAGAGAATCTAATTCTTTAAAGCCTCTTCTTCAGAAAGAGTCAATTTATGAAGGTTGGTATATATATCATAGCAAGATTGAACTCCTTGCAGGCGTCGTTGAAGAGTTGTTTATAGAATATTAAAAACACGTGCAGCTTCTGTCACAAACGAAATTTTGCCCTTCTGAATAGCTTCAATGGCAAGGCAGATTCGGCCTTCTTGTTCCACCAAAGATTTTGACGATCGAGGCATTTTTGGTGGAGTTGTTGATGGTTGAATTGCTTCAACTTGAAAAACGCGAAACTGACGCGCACGGCTGCCCGCTCGCTTACCGATTACGTTATCACCATCACGTTCCCCCTCGCGACGCGACCAGCATCAGGCCATTCCTGCCGAGTCGCGCAACTCGTGCACTGCACTGCCTTGTTGGCTGCAAGAATCCACACGAGATCAAGCTACAATCTTATACTACTGAAATGGAAATCAAGACATCTTCTTTCTTATGTACATCGGCCTATTCACATCTCCCGGAACATCTCTGTTGCTTCCAGGAGTTCACAGTAAACAACAGACATGAGACCAGATCAAGACTAACTACTAATTACACCTCATCCAAGCCGGCGATTTCACAATGCGACAAGCACATACGTCCCGATCAGGCTCCCAACCCTTTTATCTGATGCGTCACGAGCCCTACGCGCTTACACAAGGTAGCTGGAGTAATAGCTTGTGCATGCGTCGTCGATGGTGTCATCGGCCACCAGAGCCGACACAACCGTCTTGTTGGAGGCATCCTCCCCTGCTAGCATCAAGAACTTGTTGCTCGTTGATTTAGGCCATCCCTGCTGCGCCAGACTATTCGCCGGGTCCTTTGCAAAGGCCAACCACAGGTCCTGCATCGTCTCGCCCACCTTGGTCTCGAACGGCGTGTTGGCCCCATAGAAGTCGCCCGAAGTACCGAATATCAGCGGCAGCTCGGCGGTGTGGTACGCGCCCAAACTGGGAGAGGGAGACACGTTGGAGAAGTTGCCCCGATACTGGTAGCGGTATGTGGTGAGGTCGAGGGCCTGGCGATAAGCGGTCGAGTATGGGACGGGGCACTGGAAGCCGGACAGGGTGATGGCCTCTGCCATGGCGTTGTCCGAGCCACCAGCCAGGATGGTACCCTCGTTCAGGTTCGATCCGAAGAGGGCGGGCTTGTTGCTCAGGTGGCCACCAAGGTACCGGGCGGTGTAGTTGTTGAAGACGACCTTGTTGTCGATAAAGGGCAGGAAGGTCAGGCTGGCCCCTCCAGCACCCAGGTAGGAGGTGATGTTCGCTGCGGGGACCTGACGCAGGCAGGAGAGCTCCTGTGCGGCGGTGCCCGAGCAGCCGAAGTGGGAAGCTACCGTGCTGAAGTTGGTGCCCGCCTCGTCGGTTGAACGCGTGTTCACGGTGAGGAAGACGGAGCCGGAGTCGCTGGCGAAACCTTGGACGATAGGGTCATTGGGGTAGGCAAAGTTCTGGATGTCCACACTGCCTGCTCCGGCACTCTGACCCCAGAGGATCATCTGATCGGGGTTGCCTCCGAACTGGGCAATGTTCTTCTGGAGCCACTCGATGGCAGAACGCTGGTCCAGGATACCGAGGTTCTGCTCCGTCAGCCCGCGTGCCGCGGGGAAGCCGAACATGTTCAGCCGGTACTGGATGCTGACAACGATGTGCTCCTGGGTACGTTGAATCCATTGAGAGGGAATCCAGGCCGGGGTGTCGGTGCCACCCAAGATGAATTCACCGCCGTAGATCCAGATGATGACTGGTAGGTCTGACTTGGCGTTGTCTGGAGCCCAGATACTGAGGGTCAGACAGTCCTCGCTGGTGCCTCCCGCGATCAGCGTCTCCGGGGCAAACCGGCCAAAGGGACTCATCATTGCGGAACCTTGGGGGCAGGCAGGGGGCATGGTGGTGCCATCAATGATGCTACCGCTCTGGTTAACTTCCTGAGGAGGCAGCCACCGGAGGTTGCCTACGGGGGGTTGAGCGAACGGGATGCCCAAGAACTGACGGACGTCCGGATAGGTGCTGTTCACACCACCCTGGACGACGCCGCTGGAGGTCTGAATGCGCAAGTTACTCGCACTGCCCGAGGCAACAGCAGTGGTTGCCATTGCCAGCACACTGGCTAAGGAAGCCGAGAACTTCATTGCGGCCGCCAAACAGAACTGGATGGAAATATAGGGTTGTAGTAAATAAGAGGGTGAAGTCAACTGAAGACGAACTGTGCACGAGTCTGCAGCAGAGAGGCGATGAGACAGGGCGTCTTATACAGATATCTCCCACCAAGTCCAGCATAGGATCAGATACCCGGATATTTCCCTTTGCTGCAAAACCCCTGATCTCAACCGAACCCAGGAGCACAATAACTTTACTGCTAGCCAGTTTAGTTGATTAATAAGATTTTAATAAATATTAATATCAATAATTAGTATCATTATATTAGCGTGATTAAATCTTTGATATAATGATATTATTAATAGAATAGTAGCGGAGGAGTGTTATATCTCTACAGTAATCAAGGAATTTTTAATATATATGGATTATAATATTTGAATTATTCTGATTTTATAATCTTACTTGATATTGTATTCCAGGAAGATTTTTAATTTACTTAAGTTTTTTAATTTAAAAAACTAGAATAGATAATATTTTATTTTATTAAAATTTTCTGTTTTCGGCGCTGCAACTGCAGAGTTATTGATAAATATTAAAAAAATAATATTATCTTTTTAGTAAAAAATTCAATACTATAAAAATATAACTTGTTAGAGCTTATATAGAATATACTTTAATTTATAAATATATTTGAAAGATTCTTTATAATAGCTGGTTAACTACTTTATAAGAACTTATTTATTTTAGATTAAGATATAGAAATAAGCTGTAGTAATATTCTACTACTCACAATATAAGTGTCAAACCCTAGGATCGCTTCTCCCGGTTCCTGTTAGCTTAGCTTTCGTTCCGATACGTACCTTTGAACTGAATCAAGGTAAGTCAGGTCGATGACTATCCAAAGAGAAGTGGTCCTGAACAGAAGAAGAGAAGTAAGGCCAGATAGTGCCATGCAGCTATCCGTAAGTAAGTGCAGACGAGTATTGTTACTAAGCTTTACTAAACATATGGTTACTTAAAGACAGTTGTATTAAGTATGAAGAACAGAACTAGCTAAGTACATAAAGAAGTGTTCTTATATATCCTATTTCCCGTATACTATCCTATATACCATCGGGTCTACCGTATACCCGTTTAGTAGTTATAGACCATGATGGTATGTTGTATACCATGATGATATATTGTATACCATATGCTTGTCTGTATACCATGGTCATGTGATATGTGACACGTGATGACTCAGCTCGGGACTTTACCCAATAAGAGTGGTCGTCCATCCGGGCATAGCCTTCTGCCTGACGTACCCGCCTTACTAGTCGTCCAGCTAGCAGGGGTCTGTAACACCACCTTCCTTCCTTTGAGGTTCTTGTCCTTAAGAACATAAAGATGCGTGTCCCTGTATGCGTTGACCTAGGTCCTTTAGTTCCTTTTCTCCCAGAATGGGTCATCATGCTTTCATATAATCATTACAAGAAGTGTTATTATCAAGCTGACTGAATCATTTGTAGCAGTATCTAGGTTAAATTTTCTTATACCTGGTATAATTCCCACAGCCTTTCTTACTTCATAGATTCCAAGAACCGAAATTATGCGGCCTGCACCCGTCATGGCTATAAGTGTGAAAAGTATTTTTACAGTGATTCTGAGTGGGATAAACTTCAATATAATAAAGAGAAAATAGCTCAAGAAATTAAAGAGACTGAAGAGTAGATTAAGCAGTTATTTACAAAAATAAAGCATCTGTGAAAACATCAAAAATTTCTTAAGGATTATGATAGTCAGATATTAGATCATGACTTAACTATGTTGGATTTGTTAAATGATGAGGATCCTCCAAGCACTGAGAATCTTCAGAAGCTGGGGTGTCTAGCTAATGAGCATGATGCTGCTCAGCTTGCCGCTGTGTCAGACGATTCTAGTCTGACTTAGTTAGTTAGTTTTTCTTCCTTCTGGGCGAACTTTGACCTGTCTGTTAATAGTACTGCTTTATAAGTTAGTGGCAGCCTATCAGATTCTTGATAGGTTTTCACGTGTTTTCTGAGATATCATATTCTACCTATTTTACCAGATATTATGATCTGCCGCTAATCTTCTTATAGTCTAGGATTCTTTTAACTTTATATTCTTTCTCTGTGTTGTTATCAATCTTCATATTTTTTATAATTTTAGTATTCTTTGGTGCGGGTTCCAGTAATAAGATATGAAATACTGGATGAATTTTGCTTATTGATTTTGATAATCTTAACCTGTAGTTAACCGGTCTCTTCTTGTTTTTAATAATAAATGGTTCTAGCTTGTGATAATCAAGTTTCTGATTTAGTCATTTTGTCTTGATGTTTCTGCAGAGTAGGAACACTTTCTTCCCTCTTTTTAAGTCAGGTTTCTTTCTATATTTATAATTATAATACATCTTACTGCACAAGTTTATAAACTTAATATCTTAGAATAACTAGAAATGCATGTTTTCTATAAATATAATAATATTCTTAGCTATATTAGTAACTTACTGCTTTTCTAATAGTGTTTCCAGAAACCTGGGATGGTAACTGTAATTAGTGTAGAATAGTGAGATTTTAATGATTAAGTAATTAATGTTATTATATAAGAATTATATTATTAGTAACAGGTTTATTTAATTATCCTGCTAGTAGTTTATATAATGTCTCAAGTATTATTTAATTATCTGGTTAATCTTTTTTATTTATTTATTCATCTGCGGGTGGTAAGCTGTTATTATTTATTCTTTAATTCTTATAAGATCTATAAGTAATCTCTAGAACTTTGAGATAAACAGCTTGTCTCAGTCTAATATGATGTACTTTAGCATCTTATAGTATGTAACAATATTTTTTAGAAATAGCTTTATTATCTGTATTACTGTTATTATTATCTTACTTAATATAAGATAGATATATTTAGTAAGGTGATCAGTGATGACTATAATAATATTATATCTTTCTAATTTAGATAATAGACTAATAAAGTTAATTATTATCTATTTTCATGGCTGTTGTGGCGCCTTCTATACTTATATTTGTCTGTAGGGTTAATGCCTTGCAGGCTTATCTTTAATATAAGTCTTGCATTGTCTAACATAATCGCATACTTTTTATCTGAGGTTTGGAATATAGTAATTCCTTATAATTAGTTTAGTAGTTTTTTCCACTTTTAAATAATCCTTAAATGATTTGTTATGGTATCTAGCCATAATCTCTATTCTTATTATAGTTAGTATAAAGATTAGTCTGTGAAAGTATGCTAGTCTATCTCTGTTAATAATAATCTTGTTTAGTAAGTCCTTACTTATTTTTTAAAATGTTTTATTATTTTTAGTGGCTTCAGTCAATTATTTGATTAAGTTATTACCTATTTTCAATATTGCTGCTAGATTGGCTTTATTATAACTGATCAATCCATCTGTGTTTTGCTTCAGGATGGCCAGTTTAATAATTTTCTTGCTTAATTTATAATCTAGCCTGCAGCTCAGTATATCTGTATATTTATTTTCTACCTCTTTACAGTATATGATTCTGAAGTCATATTATGATAGAATCTTAGCCTATTATACCTGCCTTCTAGTCAACTCTTTGATTATTATAAAGTAGGTTAAGTTTTTATGGTCTATCTTTATAATAACAGTATGTTTTATTTCTTTAAGATAGATCCTCCACTGCTTAAAGATTATTATTATAGCTAGCAATTCCTTGTCGTGAATGTCGTAGTTGAGTTCCACTTGAACCAACTTTCTTAAATAGAATATAATCAGTCTTGACTTTCTGTTTTCTCCAGGTTGTGTCATATGCATATTAACAGCATAGTCTGATATATTAATCTTAATAGTTATTTCTTTCTCTAGATCATGCTGTATAAGCATCGATGACATGATAAGTTACTATTTAATATCTTTAAACATGCTCTACGGTGGTTCTTTTTACTAGTACTTCTTTAACTTCTTTATAAGCTTAAAGAGTGATATTATATAGATAGCGTATCCGTCTATAAATCATTAATAATAGTTAACTAATCTGATGAATTACTATAGTTCTTTCAGATTCCTAGGTTGAGGCTAATCCTTTATAACTTGTATTTTAGCTTGCTCAGTATAGATTCTCTTTATAGATATCTGATATTCTAGGAACTCTGTTTTCTATATATAGAATTTATACTTTTTCAGCTTATATTGTAACTAATATAAGTATAGTTTATATAGAACTAGTTTCACATGTCTTACATGTTCTTCCTCGGTTTTTGAGAAGATTAATATATTATCTAGATAAGTGATTATAAACCTATCAAGATATTCTCTTAAAATCTTATTAATATATTGCTGAAATAACGCTGGTGTGTTGATAAGTCTAAATAGCATAACCAAGTATTTAAAGTATCTATATTTTATTCTAAATATGGTTTTCTATTCTTTACCTTCTGTGATGCGTATATAATAATATATATCTATAATATCAAGCTTAATGAACTACTTTGTTCCTCGTATCTTGTCTTGGATTTCTAAAATTAAAGATAACAGGTGTTAATTCTTAATCATAATAATATTTAATAATTAATAATCTATACATAATCATAAACTGCTGTTCTTTTTTAATATAAATAAGACTCCATGTTCTGCTGATGACTTTAAAGGCCTGATATTATCTTTTACTAGTTAATTATTAATATATTCTTATAGTGCCTGTGATTCCTTCTCAGATATTGAATAAATCTTTTTATATACTAGTGACTTTTCTTTCTCTATAGGAATAATATGGTCATATTTCTTGTACTGAGGTAATTCAGGTTGTTCTAGCTGCTTGAACAAGTCCTTGAATCTCTTATACTATAATAGGATCTGTGCATTATTCTTAACCACAGCTAGAAGTTCTTATAAATCTTCTATTTTCTAGATAGTTGTCTCAATCTCTGTATTGGAGCTATTAATACTATACTCTTAGTACTCTTCTATTATTATTAGTACCTATCCTGATAATTCCATAAGCCAATCTCTTTATAATAGCTTAGTTACTGCTATTACTTATATAACTATACTTAAAGTGTTATTTTTCTCTAGGTTATCTCTAATACCTGGCGTGTTAGGCTTTTATAGCATTCTCAATATTTCTGTGCTAGGTTGCTTAATCCTTGCTTCAGCTTCTTGCTGTATAACAGGCCGTACGGATTCAGACTCTATACCTGGTTCTTGCTAGTGTTATCTTGGACAATCATAATTCATGAATTAGAGACTCTCAGTC